ACCCCCCTTTGTGTATCCAAGGTTGGACCACATGCAACGCTCGCACAATCGCATGCAGAGGGGCTGAAACTTCGGCGTCACCTCTGTTCCTTCAGGACCGACCATGTCCGGCCCAAAGCGGCGAAGAGAGACAGGAGATTCAATCGCATCGGAGCCACTTCGCCCATCCACACTGGTGCTCGATCGTCGAAACGACAGGATATCGAAATTGCAGACGCTGCGACGGAAGTACAATGATGCTGCTGGACCGTCCACCGTTGACTACGAAGTCGACCAGATCCGCGAGTTCATCCGCAACAAAGCTCTGGACGAAGACTTCTCTGTCGCCATTCGAGAGCGGTGGCAGACGTGGTCACGCAACGCCAACCCTTTCCGCTCAACACTAGCTTCATCGGCTGCATCCGAGCTTCAGTCAGCCGACCACTCAGCCTCGGAATCGGACGATCAGTCGGCAGGCTCCGCAAGGGAGGACCCGAACGATCACAAAGCGGACGAACCATCCTCGAAAAAGAAGCGTGGGAGACCGGTTCGTGCCAAGCGAGCTAAGGCGTTACACGGCAAATCCGAACTCGACGTGATGGAAGAATGGGAAGCAGTTCGGAGAGAGCGAGAAGTGCTTCTCGCCGACATGGATGCTGCCCTTCCGAAAGCCTTCCGATACAACGAGCGTCAAGTCAAGGTGTACGCTCATCGGCTCAAGACAAAGTACGTCAATTCACTCGATCGACCTTTTGAAGCCAAAGAGGTCCATAGGCTGCTTCATCCATCTTCTCAAACGGGCCCTTCAGCTACAGCAAATGTACGAACAGCACAAGCACAGCCGAATGTGTTCACAATCTCAATGTTCAGCAGCAGCATCGACTGGAGCAAAGAAGCAGCCGCTGCCAAGAGCAAGGGCGATCCGTACGACCCGCCCTCCGATGACGATGGCGACACCGCCAGAGACGACTACGTCAAGCGCATCTGTGGCGACGGGCTTGGAGGCATGAGGCGTACCCAAACTGTCGAGCTTCTTTCGTTGCAGACTCTCGCGGACCTTCACTCTTCTCTCGTGTGCTGGTCCGACGAACAGCCGGAGCGGTGCGACTGGCAAGAACGCCTTCGACGCTATATCAAGCGACGCGAGGCTGGAGAGCAGCCGCTTGAGTCAGCCTTCGGCACCACCGAGGACGACGATTCCCAAGACGTTCGCACTGCGCGCTTCACGGGTCGACGAAGACAGACGGACGCAGCGCTGGTCATCGAGGACAAGCTCTACGTCAAAGGCATTGAACACGGCGATGCAGCCTTTGAAGCTGACTATGCCACGCTCATCGACGACTGGAAAGGGCTGGTGGGCAACTCTGATCCCAAGATCGCCTCCATCTCGAAAGGCGGTGGGCTCGACCTGCGTTTCGATCAGATCGATTTGATCCGCGTTGGCCAGCCCTACTGGATTCTGCACCAAGGCGATTGTGTCCACTGCTTTGTCGTCGAGCAAGTGCGAGCACTGCGTCCAAGCGAAAACAAAGCACTTCGCAAGGGCCTCAGCACATCCAACATCGAGGGCGCTCCGGTGGGCACAGCCTTCGTACCGTTTCCTCGTATCACCTGTCTCTCCACCCCAACCATGCTCCGCTTCGCTGCGGACGACAAGCACAACTACGGCCTTGGACATCACATTCTTCGATGGGAGGACTCGCTTGCCATGACGCAACCTCGAGCAGGTGCGGAAAGCAAAGCAGCAGAAGGAGGGACTCAGGGCGAAGCTTCAATGCCCAACCCGTGGCAGGTGGCCAATCTTCGGACCAGGCGCAAGGACGAAGGTCTGTTGCGCAAGAAGCAGGGCAAGTGTCTTGCTTGCTCGTGGCGAAAAGCCCAGGTTGGGATCCTTGGTGGCAAGTCGGTTCGCCTCCCTCTCGCGAGCGTCGAAGTTGACGAATCCGATGGCACACAGCCCGAGGCCGCGGTCGACGGCTTAGATGACTACCTTACTTCCATTTGCACACCGTGCGCTGCGATTTTGGGCCTTCCCACTCTGCCAATGGCTGACGGAGGCTCAGTCGAGCTCGACTGGGACCGCATCAACAGCGAGAAAGACCGGCAAGCGGGCTGGACCGTCTTTCCCATGTACTGAAAACTTATTTGCAGCAAATATACCCATGCATCTCACCCACAACACACGAGCCTCACGCAGCAGATACGGAGAGTGGTGTCGCAATATCGGAAGAGTGAACGGTAAAAGAACAAGGGACGCACATCTGAATGCAGGAACGGAAGCGAGGCGGGAAAAGGACTCGATGTATAGGTGGTGTGAATATCGTACAAGATCATCTGTTGAGTGGCACGCGAGCTGATGCATGCTTTTGGGCGAAGAGTCGTGTTCCTCCGCTTAAGAGTGGATCTGGGTAACGATACCGGTTCCGACGGTCTTACCACCCTCACGGAGGGTGAAACGCGAGCCCTCCTCGAGAGCAATGTCGTGAACCAGCTCGCCGTCGAGCTCGACGTTGTCACCGGGCATGACCATCTTCTCGTCGGCGTCCTGGGTTCCAGGAGGGTGGGTGAGCGACACGGTGACATCCGCCGTGCGGATGAAGAGCTGTGGGCGGTAGTTGTTCATGAAGGGGGTGTATCGGCCGCCCTCCTCCTTCTTGAGGATGTATACCTGGGCGCGGAACTTCTTGACGGGCTTGATCGAGCCAGGGATGACCATGACCTGACCACGCTTGACCTGCTCGCGCTTGACACCACGGAGGAGAGCACCCATGTTGTCGCCGGCCATGCCCTGGTCGAGCTGCTTGTGGAACATCTCAATACCGGTGAGCGTGGTCTTGAAGGTGTTGCCGAGACCGAGGATCTCGACTTCGGCACCCTTGTTGATGGTGCCACGCTCGACACGGCCAGTGACGACGGTACCACGACCAGGGATGGAGAAGACGTCCTCGACGGGCATGAGGAAGGGCTTCTCGAGGTCACGAGGCGGCAGGTCGAGCCACTTGTCGGTCTCCTCCATGAGCTTGAGGATAGCCTGCTGGCCGACGTCGGGGGTCTTGCCCTCGAGGGCGGCAAGGGCAGAGCCAGAGACGAAGGGGGTGTTCTCACCGTCGAAGCCGTAGGTGGAGAGGAGATCACGCATCTCCATCTCGACGAGCTCGAGCATCTCGGGGTCATCAATCTGGTCGACCTTGTTGATGAAGACGACAAGCTTCTTGATGCCGACCTGCTTGGCGAGCAGCAGGTGTTCACGAGTCTGGGGCATCTGTCCGTCGGGGGCCGAGACGACGATGATGGCACCGTCCATCTGGGCGGCACCGGTGATCATGTTACGGATGTAATCGGCGTGACCGGGGCAGTCGACGTGGGCGTAGTGGCGGTTGCCGGTCTCGTACTCGACGTGGGCGGTGGAGATGGTGATACCACGAGCACGCTCCTCAGGAGCCTTATCGATGGAGGCATAGTCGATGAACTTGCCGGTACCCTGAGCCTCGTGGAGGGTCTTGGTGATGGCAGCGGTGAGGGTGGTCTTTCCGTGGTCGACGTGGCCGATGGTGCCGATGTTCATGTGAGGCTTGGTACGCTCGAACTTGCCCGACTCGGCAGCGTAGGTTCGCAGCTGCGAGGCAATGGCGACGCGAGGAAGCTGAGCGGCGCAAACTCGAGCGCGAGCAGCGAGGGTGCTGGGCGACTGGGTGGAAGGACGGGTGACGAGGGTGCGAGCGCAAGCAGGAGCGGCGGCGACCGACTTCTGGGCAGCCAGCGCCCTGGCGACGGAGCGAGGTGCCTGTGTGCGAAGGAGGCTCATTTTGCAGAAGAAATGAGAGGACGGGATGAGGGTGATGATGATGGTGATGGTGGTCAGCTGTCCAAGACAGTGTTGGTCACTTGCTTGCGTTTCAACTTTTCTTGGTTTCACACACCGTCCTGGAAGAAGTGGCACTGAGCTCGTCGAGGCGCTCTTTGGCTCCGCGTTCCGAATCATTTTCGCAAGCTTCCTCGGTGTCTTCGAGCACATCTCCTCAGCTTCGTCTGGTCCGATTCGGTCGGTCTAAGCCCGACTCTGGGTCATCACACAGCTCTCTGTCCGCCCTCATTCGCCTTCAGCATCCTTTTCATTCAGATTGACCACGTATCATATGTGAACGCCGCCTCTTAGTGATCCAAGCTTTGGTCCGCCTCGTCATGATCGGATCATCAACTTAGCCAAGCAAGGCACAAATTTTTGGTTGGTTGGAAGGGTGCGCGAGCAAGAAGAATTGAAATTTATTCAACCTTTTTTTGCTTTTCTTCCCGACACGCCTGGGCTGAGTCCATCGCCGATCAGCGCCCGATTTCAATCGAGTGACGCTGACTTTGACGCAGAGGCTCGAGCTTCGCAGACCGCCTGCAGTCTCACAACTGCGCGCCAGAAATCGCAGCCAGGACCCCTCTGTTCATCTCTACCATCGCCTCTTTCCCTTGCACCTTTCATCATCATTTGATCCGTTCGTTCCACTGCATTCCGACAGAAGAGTTCAGATTACGTCGTCATTTGAACGTCGTCGGGCGATTCTGGACCTCACCCGCCTTGCCAAGACGCAACTCGGTCCACCAACAACCCGCTTCAGTCCACACCGAGTGACCAGCAGTATATCCTCCACTGGACGCTGAGCGCTCTAGCTTGAGCAGCGCAGTCACCATGGAGAACGACCTCGACATCAAGCACGAGGACGAGAAGCCTCGTGCTCTCGCGGATGGCGACCAGGACAACAGACCAAGGGTCCAGCACGGCGGCAAGAGGCCTATCGACCCCTTCGCTGAAGACGATGATGACGACGAAGAACAGGACGAGAGGCGTAGGGACGAAGACGACGATGAAGATGACGACGACGACGAGGACGATGAGGATGACGACGATGAGGATGAGGAGGACGAGGAAGACGGTGGACGCGCTTACCGCAGACGAGCCAAGAAGCAACGTCGCAATCGTTTCCTCGATGTCGAAGCCGAGGTCGACGATGACGAAGAGGATCTCGACGAGGAGGAGGAAGAGTTGGCACGAGAGGACGGCTTCATCGAAGAGGACATCCCCGACGACACCGAGGACGTACAGAGGCGCGCTGCTGCCGACAACCAGAGGCTCGACCGGTTCCGACGACAGGAGGAAGACACCAACGCCGAAGCGCTCGCAGAAGAGCTGCGCCAACGCTACGGCCGATCTGCTCGCTATGCTGCGCAGTCCGACTACGCCGAGGTGCCACAGCGCCTGCTCATGCCCTCCGTCGAAGATCCCAGCTTGTGGGGCGTTCCGTGCAAGCCTGGTAGAGAGCGAGACATTGTCATGACGCTCGTCCGCAAGGCCATGGCGGAGAACTTCACGTCTAGCCCCATGCGCATCATTTCGGCTTTTTGCCGTGATACCATTCCCGGCAGAGTCTATGTCGAAGCTCGCCGAGCTGATGATGTCGTCAAAGCCTGCAATGGTCTCGCGGGTGCCTATGCACGACAGACCACGTCGCTCCACCTCATCCCCATCTCGGAAATGGCCGACTTGCTCAAGCTTCAGAAGGTGCAGAACGAAATCCAAGTAGGCGGCTGGGTCCGTATCAAGCGTGGCAAGTACGCTGGAGATTTGGCACAGGTCCTCGATGTATCTGAGAACGGCGAGGAAGTCGGACTCAAAATGATCCCTCGTATCGACCTCAACCCGAAGGACAGCGGCCTTTATACCGACAGTCTCGGACGCAAGAGGAAGAAGGGCGCAGGCTCGTCCGCCACGACCGTCGCCTTCAGACCACCACAGCGATTCTTCAACCCCGAAGAAGTGCAAAAGGCCTACCCTAAGGACACGCCCACCAAGCGCGGCAGTCAGTGGGTGTTCCAGAACGACAGCTACCGCGATGGCTACTTGGAGAAGGACGTCCGAGTCACGGGTATCATCACCGAAAACGTCAACCCCACTCTCGACGAGATCACCAAGTTTGCGGGTGAGAGCTCCATGGAGGATGGTATTCAAAAGCTGGGTGCCGTCGATCTCAGCCTGATCGCCGATGCAAGCAAGAAGGCGACCGAAGCGCTCTTGCAACCAAAAGACCAGGTCGAGATCTTCGAAGGAGAGCAGGCCGGTGTCTACGGTATCGTCAAGGCCATCAACAACGAGATCATCACCATCCAGCTCGAGCACGAAGACCTCATGGACCAAGTCGTCGAGGTACCGGCACGCAGCGTTCGCAAGCGTTTCAAGCCTGGTGACCATATCAAGGTCATGTCGGGCAAGCACGCCGACGAGACGGGTCTGGTGGTCAAAGTTGAAGACAACGTGACGACTTTCCTCTCGGATCTGTCCATGGCCGAGGTATCGGTGTTCAGCAAGGATATTCGCCAGGCTGCCGAGGTGGGCTCCGGTGTCAACGTCATCAGTGGCTACGAGCTGCACAACCTGGTTCAGCTCGATGCTCAGACCGTGGGTATCATCTTCAACATCGAACGCGAAAGCTTCAAGGTGCTCGACCAGACTGGACAGGTGGTCTCGGTCAAGCCGCACCAGATCAGCTCCAAGAAGGACACCAGCCGTGCGTTCGGTCTCGATCACGACGGCAACGAGATCCGCGCTGGAGACATGGTCAAGGAAGTCGCGGGTCCCTTCTCACGCTTGCGTCAGGGTCAGGTGCTTCACATCTACCAGTCGATGATCGTCTTCCTGCACAATCGCGAGTACACGGAGAACGGTGGCGTTTTCATTGCGCGTGCTCGTACACTCGAGCCCTTGGCACCGAAGAGCGTGTCGACCAAGACCAAGAAGGACGGCGGCGACCTGTCCAAGATGAATCCAGCGCTGTCCAACCTCAGCGGTGGAGGTGCCAACGACGTCCGCGTCGAAGGAGTGCGCCGTTTCGGTGGACGCGACATGCACAGGGGCAAAAACGTCGCCATCATCAAGGGGCCTTACAAGACCTACCGCGGTCGCATCACCGAGACGACGGGCAACATGGCGCGCATCGAGCTCACCTCGGTCTCGAAGCCCATCACTGTCAGCCTCGACTGGCTGGTGGAGAAGGACCCCGTCACCGGCCGCAGCACCAAGCTGACCGGGAGTGGTTCGGGTCCGCCGAGTCGTGGCGGATACAACGGAGCGGGCTCGAGCATGGGCGGTGGCATGTCGAGCAATCCCTACTCGTCCAGCGGCAGCTCGATGGGCGCTCCTGGCGGCTACAATCCTTACGGCGGCTCGCAGCCCATTTCGGCAGGAGGCGGTTACGGATCGTCTTCGAACGGCGCTGGAGGCGGCTACGGCGGCTACTCGCAGCCTGTCGCTTCCTCAGCCTCGAACGGCGGTGGCTATGGTGGTGCAGGCGGCATCGGTGGCCGAACACCTGCTTACAATCCTTACGCAGGCGATGGTGGCAAGACGCCGGCCTATAATCCCTATGGAGACGGTGGCAAGACGCCAGCTTACAACCCGCTAGGTGACGGAGGCAAGACACCTGCCTACAACCCAGCAGCAGACGGAGGACGCACCCCGGGGTACAATCCGTACGCCGGCGATGGGTGGTGAAGAGCAAAGACATGGTTCGGATACGTTCTCTGCTAGTCAAGTCCCGGTCAACATCACATCAAAATCACACGCATTCTCTGTTGCTACGATCACATTGCTCATGGCTCAATCTCACGCATTCCAAATCTGAAGTGCTCACCATCTCTGAAAGCTGATCCTGGTGAGGCGGAATAGCAATCTCTCGTTCTGATTGCAGGGTATAAGGATCCAATGTGACGAGAATTTGTCCAAGAACGCGGCTTGCCGTCAGCAATACCGAAACTTGGCGAGGGCTTGTTCGGTCCTGATGGCTGCGATGACCCTTTTCGTGTCTGCCGCGTACCGGTGCTGTTCCGCCAAGGCCTCCGGGTCGATGTTGTGCGGGATGGAGCAGAGAATCGACTGCAGATGCTGCCTCACGACTTTGAAGGGCGTTTCAAAGGCATCATACTGGTAGCGGAGATCGATGTACTCTTCAGCCATTGCGCGGGATGACCGTTCCCAGAAGTGTCCATCTTCATACGCCTCTGGTAGGGAAGGACGAAACAGCGCTGGATTCTCCAGTAGCGTCTCGCCTACCATGACGCCGCTTGCACCCGTTAGGGAGAGATTCGTGACGACGTCGGACCAGCATCGGACGTTGCCATTGCTGACTACTGCGGTGTCGCCATGCGGTCGATCGCCGCTTCGAAGCAGTCCTTCAACCTGCAGAGCTTCTCGCACTCTAATCACTTGATCGAGGTCCGCCAGGCCTTTCCTTCGTCGAACGGACGAAGCAAACCGTGGGTGGACAGTGACGAGACTGCTTCCCGCGCGCGCCAGCACCACAGCAAGCTCCGGAGTCTGCTCCTTTGGGACCGTCAATCGGATCTTGGTGGTGATGGGCACATCTACAGCCTGTGCCAGACTCGACACGATCTCTGCGAGAAGGGGCCAGTTCTGTTTGGGCAATAGATAGGCGCCGTAGTGACCCTCCTCAGCATGCTTTTGCGGGCAGCCTAGGTTCAGATCGATTGCGTCCGCGAAGGGTGCCACCTTCCTTGCGGCCTCTACGAGCTGCTGCACATCGTTTCCGGCCAGCTGCACGATCTGCGGCGCTGGTTTGCCGGCCAGAGGATTGTTGACGTCGCGAATGACGTTGTCAGGGGTGTTCCGTCCGAGCTTGAGAGTCTTGCAGAGAGTGTGGAGCGTATCTCGATCGGAGTTGAGTTTGGAAGCAAGATACATCTCCGTCCAAGTGGAAGTCGCTCCATTTCGGACAGTCTGTAGGCGGAAAGGAAGGTCTGACTGTCCCACCATAGGGGCTGCACAGTAGAGCAAGCTTTCGAGGGGAAGCTTGTGGTGGACGACCATCGTTGCGCTCCTCGTCCCGCCGTGCTGCCCGCTTCAATATCGAGGCAGATCCGCTACGCTTTCTCGATTGTATATGCGACCGTCATGGCTAGCTTGCGGCCCTGACGTCGGCGCAGGATTGAGGGGAATGTTTGTCGGTATGGCTGGAAGAGGATGTCCAAGAAGCAGTCAAGGAAGTGGTCCTGTCAAAAATCGAAGTCACGTGCCGCTGCACCCTGAAAGCTTGAGGATCAGCGCGACTGAGAGAGAGAGAGAGCAACACTCGAGGTTTTCGCTGCGCTTGTGCCTGCTTAGAATCGCGATTTTTGTTTTTGGGATTTCGCCAAAGGAAGACAGGAAGGAGAGACGCGACTGCAGCTCAGTCTGCGCGTCTGCTGTGACTGCCAGAAAGACCAACACATGGAGCCACGGACAAGCCGATGAGCGATTCTGCCCGGATCAGTTGATGCTCTCGACATCCATCACCTCCCTGCTCAGCCGCCACATTCACCGTCACTTCTCTCGTCCCCACAATCACAAACTGCACACGTTCGACTGCGCCATACACCATTAGAGTAGAGACCTTTTCACGATGCCATCACCTCTCAAACCACGACGATCACCGCGGTCCAGAATGTCGCTCGCCGGCACTGGCTCGGGCGGTGTTCCCCTCGGAGGCTCTTCCATGACCACCAAAGTATCTCTCCATGATGCCGCCAAAGAGAACAACAGATCCGCCAGACTCTCCTCCACCGCCAGCAGGGACGACACCATGAAGGCAGCAAAAGATCGCGCCACCAACAAGAAGCGCGCCGCTTCGATTGGAGGCGGAGGTGAGGAGCGCGATACGTTGCTCAAAGAGTCTACCACAAAGGCAAACGCCACCGTCGCGGCGACGAGCAGACGTAATGCACCAGCACCACGAAAGAGCGCCATTCGTCAGGTCCCACAGATCTTCCTCAGCCCCACCGGTCTCGTGCCAAGTCCCGAGTCCAGGAAGGGTCTGTCCATGCCTTCCCTCACCGACCAGATCGCTCAGATCGGCAGGCAAGAATCAGCGACGAATGGCAAGTCTAGCAGAGCATCACTGCCCAACTCCAACGCTCCAGAACGCAGTGCTGCCTCCACCTCCAGCTTGGGCGCGAGCATGGCCAGGGCGCGTGACTCCATACAGACTCCATCCTTCAGCTCGCTCGGTGGTGCCGCGACGAGCATCCTCTCTGCTCCTACTGCCGCCACATCTGCACCCAGGAATGCCATGACGCAAGTCCTCCGTCCAAAGCGGAGAGTCACGTTCAGCTCTCGACAGGAGAAGACGGAATTCGCACGCGACGAGCCCACTCTGCGTCTCGGCAGCTTGAGGAGAGAACAGACTTCGCCGCCATCCACGCCCGCCAGCTCGTCCATCGTCAGTGCCGGCTTTGCTTCGTATATCCAGTCGCAGGATGACTCAAGCTCGGACAGCGACAGCGAAAGCGAGTCTGAATCCGAGTCTGACATGGACCTCGACGCCTCTAACGAGCTGGCAGCCAGGTCTCTAGCCGCATCCATCGCAGCCTCCTTGCCTCACGATGACTCGACTCTTGATCCTTCGCTAGACGCATCGACGGATGATAGCAACGTCTCCGCTTCGATGGAATTCACAGGCACACATGGCTCCGTCAACAAGCGCACCCTCGCTGATACCTCGGATGACCAGGTCGAGATGAGCCTGGCTGCTGACGGAGAGGAATCCATGCAGATGGACATTACTCAATCAATGGCGTCTGCACCGGCGCTCAAACGCAGACGAAGCAGCAACACTGCCGCAGACGACTCTGCCTCCACTGATGCTTCCGACAGCACCGAGCGCGCAGCAGACGCATCCGGCATGGACTTGGACCAGACGGCCACCATGGAGTTCACCGGCGTCCACGCAGCCGTCGGCGGCGGTGAGAGCGACTCGGAAGACTCGGACAGCAGCAACGATGGCGGCGACGGTATGGAGATGACCGAGGCTATCACGACGAGAATCGAGGCCAAGAAGTATGGCGACGCCACGACGACGATCATCGCCAAGTTCCCTGATGTGAGCAGCAGCGACTCGGACGGCGACGATACTATTCAAGCGGATGCCACGATGCCTATGGAGATGACTCGTGCTGTCACCGGATTCATCCGGGAGAAGGACCATGCTTCGAGCGACATGGATCTGGTCGATTCGCTTGATTCGAGCTCCAGCAGGGCCTTCGGTCCAGCTTCTTCCGACGACGTGTCGGTGGCCATGGACATGACCATGCCCATGGGCTCCCATGTCTCGCCATCTAAGCCTCATCACAGTCCTTCAAGGTCACCCACCAAGCTCGGCACTGGCGCGCCAAGCCCATTCCAACCCACGCCGGGCAAGTCGCCTAGCCGCTTCCGCCAGTCTCTGCGTGGAGGCGTCGCTGCTCTTGACGCAAGCATGCACTCGCCTGCCCAGCGTGTCGGAGGCACTCTGCCGCCAAAGGGACACTTGCCACACGCCGGCTTGCCCTCCGACACTACGACGTTCCGACGCTCCATCATTGGCGGCATTGCTTCGCCCGCCTATCAGCACTCTCCTGCACGACGCGTGCAGACCCAGGACGCTGCCGACAGACAGCCGGGAGCTCCATTGACAGCGCACAACCTCGCCCAGGCAGGTCGTGCAGCGAGCGCATCGCCTTCATCGAAGAACAAGACCTCGGTGGCCAAAGTCCTCGCGGGTCAGCGCAAGTCTCTGAGCAGCGTCGGCTTCAACTGGCCATCCAGTGGTCCCGTAGCATCCTCTTCGCGGTTCTCGCCATCGAAGGGCATGAGTCCCAAACGACGAGCGGGGCGGTCTTCGCTCGTGGCTGCCATCCTGCCCGATCTATCTTCCGCGGCCACAAACGAGGACTCTTTCCACTCAGCCGTCGAGTCTCGTGTCAGGAGCTCCAACGGACCGAGCAGCGATGCACATGACACTTCGATTGCAAATTCTGCTGCTTCGGAGGTGGGTGTCGGTGTCGACAGCTTTGATGACTACAGCAACGACGAGCGCGACCAGGTGCCCGTTCAGATGCCGCTCAATGACTTCCTCCGCTTTGTTGGCGTACACTTCAACGACGACATGAGCGCGTCGCGTCGCAAGCCTGTGCCACCGGCCAATGGCGAACAAGCCGCTCAGGATGGCGCTTCAGCAGAGCCTCAGGGACCCGTCTCGATGATGCGTCTCGTCAAGGCAGCTTGCGGATCCGTGCCCCAGCTCGAGGCCCTTCGAGAAGCCTGCAGGGAGATCAAGGAGCAGGTGGACGACGGCAGGGAGAAGATGGTCGAGATGGAGCAAGCCTTCTACGACTCGCCGCCCGACTTTGTCCGCGAGATCATGGGTCTGCAGAACGAGGAGGAGCGACGAGACATGGAGGCGCAGTTCAAGTTGCAGAAGCAGGCCGCGCGTGCTCTTGTCAGCGCCGACTACTACGGCTGGCGACTCGACAAGGAGTTCGATCAGGAGATGATCCAGACGCTTCAGGCCTACCATGGTCGTCTGCAGTGCGATCTGCACATCGTCAACTCCAAGAAGGAACAGCTGCAACAGGACATTTTGCCGGTGCTGCGCGTCAAGCACGCCAAGCTCAAAGCCGATCTGGCCCTGGCCAAGAAACGTCAAGACGAGATCGAGACATGCGACGCCGACGAGCTCAAGGGTCTCTATTCGAGTATCGAGGAGCAACACGAGGTGCTCGAGTCGATGCGCGCCCAGGTGATGGATGTCGAAGAGCAGCACGAGCGTCTCCTCGTTCGACTCGAGGAGAACCGCGAAAAGATGGCGGCGGCACAGGAGATGGTCGACAAGGCGCATGCCACCGTCGACCAGATCCAGGGCTACACGCGTGGTGAAGCAGGACGTCTGTTGCGCGAGATTCGCAACCTCGAGAAGCTGCATCTCGTTCGCGTCCTCGACAACGGTTTCGATCCCACTCTCGACGAGGTCGAGAAAGGAGCCGAGAATGTGGACTTTGGCGGCAGTCGCGATGTCGTGTTCATCCTCGACGGCTGGCTGCAAGTCTCCATGTCGCTGCTGACCAGTAGCAGCAGCAATCAACTGCCAAACAACAGCAAGGTCTCGCGCATCCAGCTCAAGCAAAAGGGCACACGGGCGAGCAACGACGACACCAACCTTGTCCGAAAGCTGTCCGTCCAAATCCTGCAAGGCGACTTTGACGTCGAGTTCGCCGACGGTATTCCTCAGGACGCCCTCGTTATCCTGCGCCGAATCTCACAGACGCTCATCCGCCAGCGCATTCTACTCGCCGAGATCGAGCACCTCCGCTGCCGATTCCCCGTGCAACTTGTCGACGACCTCGCCAAATGCCCTCCGAGCATTCTCAACGGAACGCCCGACGCCTCAACCAGCTCCTCCGCCGCCGCCGAACGCGTTGACAACGAGGTGGCACTTCAAGCCTCGGTGCTGCTCCCCAACAAGAGGAGCAAGATCGTCATTACGGCCACCTCGGACCTCAAGGGTGTCGGTGAAAGCCGGTCGATCCTGCTGGCGGACAGCGTGCGCGTGGAGCGGGTGTACGGCAGCGTCGACGCCGAGGCCATGTCGCTGCAGATCTTGGACTGTATCGAGACGGATCCGACGATCGGCTCGTTGAGCAAGGCTTTCATCGAGACGATCGAGACTTTCGATAGCTAGGTTGTTCTTCACTGCTCCATCTTGTCCCGCTCCGTCTGTCTTTGCACCGGCGATGTACACTATTCAAATACCCATTCTCTACAGTTCTCTCCTCTGTCGTCTGCAAACTTTGGCTCCGAGGAACGGTGATGAGATGGAGTGCTGAGTTGTGCGATTTTGATGTTGTTGCTAATGTACATGGCCGTCTGTTTTCTGAGATGTTCAGAGTCGATGGTCCGAATGGTAATGTTACAGGTTGATGCCAACTGTCGTTGGCCCTTTTGTAATGCATCAGCTGCTGTGGGTGCTTCGTGGAGTCTTCGGCTGCGACTCGCCGGTGTCGTCTTGTGTGGTCGGCAGCACGCAAGCTTGTGAAGATGCTGAGGGACGCATATGATCAGAATGGCCAAGGAAGTCGTCCAGGCTTTTTGATGTGCACTATTGCGAGTGAGCGGCGTCATGCTTGCCGATGTCGATATGTATGAATGCTTGAAAACATCATATCTGTTTTGACAGCCTTGCGAGGTGGTAGTTGATGGTGGGCTTGGAGACGCCGCCGCGGGATCTCTTGCTGGACATGCAATCCTGCAACGCCTTGGCCGAGTCCTTGCAAGCGCCGATGTTGTTGAGGTCGTTGCTCGAGGCCCAGCATGCGAGCATGGTGGCGAACTCGGCGGCACACGGCGCAGAAGCCGCGTCCTTCTTCGGCCGCACTTTGAGCTTGTTCAGCTTCATCGTGTTGAGTGGACGATCGCTGCGATGACGGGTGAAGGACAGGAGGAGGTGATGAGAAGAATGGAGGCTCAAATTTCAGTGGAAGTGTGAGAAGGTGGAAATTCTTGTCGGCCGATAAGAAATGGTAGCGGGACCGAGTGAGTGAGGTGGAAGCCAATTCTAAAGTGAACGCCGCTTTGGGCTGCAGGCAGGCTGAGCGTGGGGCAACTTCTTCGCAAATGCACCTTGGGACGATCAGACCAACCATTCGCATTTCGCCCTCCATCCCATCCGTCGACACATCATCCTTGCGAGTCTCGAACAGCAGCAACATTGCATCGAACACGGTCATCCCTGCTTTGTCATCCCTGTAGCACACAATAAATATGGTACGTATTCTCACGACCGCGTAGAGGCTGCAGACGATAACTAGGAGCGCATCTGTGACTGACTATCGCCTCCGTCTCCCCCTCATGTCACACTCGCACACTGATCGCCCTCAACCTGTGACACCCGCATTCGTACCCGGCCTGCATCTTGTCGCACTCTCAACGCTCTCGACGACAACAATCAACTACTCGCTTCGGCTGACTACGCCCGGATCAATGTTCCGACCGCAACTTCGCTATGCATCGCATGGACACTCGCACGACGACATTCTCATCTGCAGTCTGACGCAAAAGCTACCGGCGCCCAGCCCAACCTCGCCGCTTTGGCAAGCAAGAACTCGCAGGCCGTCCGGTATGTACCTCGAACTCGCGGTTGCGCACCTCGCCCTTCCTTTCCTGACAGTCGGACAAGGATGCTGACCACCGCAACCCCTCTGTGTTCTCCCCGTTTCATCTCACTCGACATGGCACTTTCCTCCTCGACCGATCCAACAGCCGACGAGCCGCACAGCAGGCCGCAGCGAAACCCAACTCGACACGCGCCGCCGGTGCCGGTGGATCGTCGTCGACCATGATGCGCCTCTACACCGACGACAGCAAGGGACTCAGCGTCGACCCCGTCGTCGTGCTCGTGCTCTCCATCGCCTTCGTCTTTTCCGTCGTCTTGCTTCACATCATTGGCAAGTTCATGCGATGGTTCGCCAAGTAATCTGTCTCGACACTAGGGACAGCGCTGAGGGACAGCTTCATCAGTCGTTTGTAAATACTTCCTCGTTGCGATTGAAAAGCTTCAGTCTCTCTCGTGTGTGCTTGGCTTCTGTTGCCCTGTCCGAGCTTGTTACAAGGGTGGAGTGTCTTGTGCGAAGCCAGGGAGAGTCTTGCAGGAGGTGAGGCACGGTCGTTGATGAGGGCCAGATCGAGATCGTGTTCCCGATCCAGGGCATAATTAAAGGTGGACTTTCCGGTCCTCAATTTATTCGCCTTTTTTGACTCGAGCGTTCTGAAGACGAAAACAACTCGACGATGCAACTCGCCGCACCCAGCGAGGAGCTCATCAATTTGGCTGTCGTACCCTTCTCTACAACGGGCCGGGACCTGCAGTCCTATCGTAGTAATCGCAGCGGTTCCAGGAATCGAACGGGCCCTCTCAGCGCGGAATGAGGTCGAGATTCTGCCCACAAGTGACGACAGCTGGAGCGGGGACGTTCGTGCCTCAGCCCCTTGCACACGACCCGCTCCCTTCCAACTGAAGCTCGGGCTGTGCAGCTGAAAGGCCAAGCACCCTGTCCTTCTAGGCTCAGAGAGAGAGCCGCCATGCCGTGTGCAACCTCAACCTCAACGCACCACCGAATCCGAGGCGCATCTCCGAGCCGCCGACGCGCATTGCACATCATTTGCTTGACACCTGCATGACACTCGTCTAGTGCCTTGGGAGAAATTAAAGCTTTGACGAAAATCGCACCTGCTGGCATGCCCCTTCGGAGCGCTGGCCCAAAAGGTGCAGCTGTCAAAAAACTTAAGCGGGTCGATCATGGATCGCCCCGACTCGTTCTGATGGCACAGTGGCCGTGCCAGCCTGACCGAATTGCATCAGCGCTGCAATGACTAGAGAAGCGGCGACACAGGATGATCTGCAACGCGCATCTCCTGTTTCAGAAACGGATCGCTGACCGAGCCTTTTCGAACATGCTCCCTGATTCGCTTCTATGCGACGTCGATCCTGGTGAGACAAGCAGTTGTCGCGATCCTTGGTGTAGCGCTCGATACACGACGCTCCTTCATCTCTGCTGCAGAGATCATAATCAGCGGTCAATGGACGCGCGAAAGCCTCAGGAAGCGTTCTGGCAAGGCAAAACGAAGCTCAGGGCTTGATCTCACAGAGAGCGGTCGGGCGGCGCTTGCGTGCCTAGAATGGATCTGCACCTCATGGAAGCTGCTCGAGACCCTGCCGAATCCAGCTGCCATTACTCGGCGAGTGAAACTGATGTCGAGCAAATGCCTGCACCGGCCAGCTTGGCGGGGACGTGCCCCTCCAGTCCCATGCCGCCAAGCGAACGCTTCGGCCGTCCCTGTGCTAGGCTCCCGCCTGCACTGTCCAAGTCCCTTGCCTGCGAATGCACGTCGCCGATCCTGCACCAATAGCTGGCCGTACATGGCATCTACTGTTCCTGTCTGTAAGGCTTCCGAAGCAGATCATCCGCCTAAAACGACTTCCTGCTGGACGGCGCATGGGCATGAAAGGAGGCAGATGCCAAGTCTCGACTTCACGCGGCTCGAGGCACTCCCTCTGATGCACACCCTGCCGCGCCAGTTGCCACAAGCAGATCTGCAGCCTTCATTTCTCTCCTCCGTCCAGGCCTTGGCTGGATCTTCGACCGTCAGATGGCGAACATCAGAGCTCGCTTTACGGCCGGAGGTGCCTTGATTGTCCATATGATGCCGGAGCCTGCCGCCTGTGTCTGTCGAGGATCTCATATAAGTCCTGACGATGAAAGCGGATATGTCCTCTTTTCCCTCTACCATCTTTATCCCCCCGTCTGCCACTCTCACTCCTCTCTCGATCCTTTCCCACAGGCTGCCACTCTTTCCAGCCTCTTCTCTGCTTCCCCCTCTTCCACTGCTCTCGACTCCATCAACTTTTGACGACTCTCACGTTCAAGACAGTTCGCCATGAGATTCTCTATCACCTTTTCCGCGCTCCTGGCGCTCGCTACGACCTCGCACTCGGCCTTTGCGACCCAGTTCCAGAACCTCGACCTCCGTCAAGGTGGCGACGTCAACAGCTTCCTCCAAGGCCTCCGCGACAACAATCTCACCGCGCTCGCCACCGTCCTCCAGGCGCACCCCACCGTCACCGACCGCATCTTTGCCGAGAACACGGAGAAGCTCTTCCTCGCTCCCACCAACGAGGCGATCTCGAAGCTCCCTACGTGGGTGACCAACAACTCGTCGCGTCTCGAGGCGACGCTGCTGCAGCATGTGCTGCGGGGCAACTTTGACGCAGCCAACCTGAACGCGTACCCTCTGCACACGATCGGGCACTCGCTATTGAACGAGAGCGCCTACTCGAAGCTCCCCGGTGGAGCAGGGCAGGCGGTGGCGCTTGCCAAGTCCGGCAACAAGACGTTCGTCTCTGAAGCGGTGAACAACGATACGTTCGTGCAGAGCCCCGTGCGGTTCGACACGGTGACGGTGCAGCCGATCAGCATGGCCATGACGGTGCCCGGTACGATCACCGAGACGCTGCGCTTCATGGGCTACAGCGAGATCTCGACGCTCATTGCCAATGTTCAGAACGGTGCGCTGGCTAGCACCATTGACAACATGGCGGGAGTGACGCTGTTCGTGCCTACCAACGAGGCCATTCGCAAGTACGTCGGTACCTTCCCTAACCCTACCGCGATTCCGACCGTGTTGGGACAGCACATTGTCGCATCCCGCGTCGTCTACTCCCCCCTACTCATCGACCAGGGCTCCATGATCTCCTCTTCCGGCCAAGACATCGTCTTCGACAACGCAGCCGGCACGGTCAAAGTAGGCAACTTCACCGCTAAGATCCTTCAAACCGACATCATCGCCCAACAAGGAGTCATCCACCAGATCGACAACGTCCTCGCCTCGACGGCTCTCGACGTCGGCCGCGCGACCCAAGCGCAAAAATCCGCCGAGGAGAGCATCGATGATGAAGCCGCACAGTCGTTCACCGGTCCTGTATCCGGTAAGAACTCCATCACGTCCCAAGGCACCGACGTGCCCGCGGCTCAACCGGGTAGCGGCGCCAACAACCGATCCGCCAACGATAACTCGGACACCGCTGGCTCGGGTCAGACCGAGAGCGCCATCGGCAATGGTACGAATGGCAACAACGGCGGTGCCAGCCAGGCGGGCTCGAACAACGGCAGCGGCGTCATCAACGGTCTCAACGGCAATGGGAGCGGGATCGATCACCGACAGCCCAATGCCGCTGTGTCGAGCAAGAGCGGGATGGGATTGGTCGCCGCTGCGGTGCTTGCTTCGTCCCTGCTCGCCATCGCTTTCTAAACGGTACTGGATGAAGGGTCGACGGCTGGCGTCTACCACGTCCCCGATTGGGACGCGAGCCACATCCTTCCCACCTGTCATGCCTCCGTTCGTTCAGCCTGTCACCTTTCCCAACCCTTCTGTTCTGCCTCCCTCCCGTCTCGTATATTCTCGCCGTGCGAGCGAAGCTGTATCCTTAGCTCTTACCACCTTCTTCCTGGCCCTCCGTTCGGGCTCAGAGTCTTCCGAAATTTCCACGTCTTCAGTTTCTCTCGGCGTGACTCCATGATGAGGATGCGATGAATTGACCAGTCAGGCATGCTCGATGCCGAGAACCGACAGAAATGCTACAAAATGAGCCCAACACAGATCGCAACAGAGCGGACCAACAACTAGCTCCCCTGCTTTCAATCGGTCTTACTCTTCCCATGCGACGCGGGGACGACCCACTCAACCACCTCCAACGCCCTCGTCAGAGCCCCCTCAACCAGCTTCTCCGCCGTCCTTGCGAGCGGCACATTGCGCACCACGACGCTTCTGAGCCCAACCAGGGGGAGGTTGATCCACGGTCCATCGTTGGGCGGTGTGCGCGCGCAGCTCTCGTGCGGCGTGTGCGAGGCGAGCAGGCGTGCGGACCCGATGTGGTCCAGTTCGTCGTCCATGCGTGTGGCGAGGGCGTGCCACTCGCCCTCCCCTGCACGACGGGTTGAGTTGGAGCGGCGGGGGAGCAGGGCGAGCGCGTGTCTCGGCCGCAGAGACCGCACCGACCCGATGAGACCCGGCAGCGAGCGCAGACCGTGACATTCGAGCTGCACCGACAGCTGCACGTTGAAAACCAGGCGCGTGTTCCAGTTGTCTTTCCACAGAACGGATCTGCACAGAAGCCGCGAACGAGCTGTCAGCTTGCGTACGCCTAGCGGTGGGAAGGGGGTAAACAAATCTCACCTACCCCACCATGGATCTCTTTCTGCCTCGCATGCGAACTGTTTTCCCAAAACCATCAACAAGTCAGTAAGGGCTCAGCATTGTCAGTGGAAAGCGTGGGGAACAAGGGGGACTTACCTTCTTCGAGCTTGCGTCGGGTCTCCTCCCACTTGTTGAGTTTTCCGCCCTTGCTGCGGCTCTTGCCGGCGGATCGGGCGGTGACTTCCTCCGCGTAGCTGTCGAGGATGGTCTTGAAGAGCGATTCGGACGCCGGGTGGGTGGACGCAAAGGCGCGCTCGAGCACGTACAGGTCCACCGCCTTGTCTTCGGCAAATGCCGACACGGACGACAGGCCAAAGTCGATCAGCACCACCTCGTCGTGGTTCAAATCGACCTTGGATGCACCCGATTGGGCAGAGGCAGGACGAAGCATCATGTTGGACGTGGTCAGATCGCCATGGATGATGTCGGCCTCGTGCATGATGGCGAGCTGTTTTCCGATCAGACACATGAGCTTGATCTGATCGTTTTCGCTCAATACCTCTTCGTCGTCCTCCGCTGCGACCGCTTCTTCTTCGTCGACGATGGTCTCATCTTCGCCTTCAGCCCCACCACCGAGCCACTCGCGCACGCTCCTCCCTGCAATGAGCTCGAGCCCCAGGATCCCCTCCTTCTCATCAACACACCTCACCGCAGGCACCGCCACCCCTGCCTTGGCGCACCGCAACAGTGCGCGCGCCTCCATGATCGTCCGACTCGCCGTGATGCTGCTGGACAACGTCGGGTGTCGATACGTCTTTGGGAAGCGCCATTTCAACAATACGTCCGCTGGCGGCTCCACCTTCCTCGACTGCAGCGTTGACGAGCGGGGTTGGGGCCAACTGAGGATGTTGTCCGTAGCGATGCGCGAGATGTACACCTTGGCCTCGGCACCCTGCTTGATGAGCTTGGAGGTGGATGAGTCGGAGAGGAGGGCGACGAGGGGTGGTGCATCGGGTGTGGTCTTGGGTGCACCGGGTGTGGGCTTTTTGGGCGTGCTGGGGCCCGCGACTTTGGTGCTTGGTGCAGAAGATTGGTCACGAGAGGAACGGCGGGACATTGCTTGGGTGTCGGTGTCACGGGCGGGCGTGGCGGCGCGAGGTGGGCTGGAAGGCTTGGACGAAGGTTCCTCGATCTTGCTGCTATCCAGAGAGGTGCTCGTGACGGGCGTCGCTGCGGCTGGCCTTGCGGTCGTGGTGGCTTGCAGCAGGGAGGGCAGCTTCGGACGGCTCCCCTCGCCGCTAGACCTGGACGTGCTGGACGCGGTCCGAGGGCGGTGCGACTTGGCAGCGGCAGCAGCATCCTTGGCTTGGGCAGACGCGAGCCGGTCGGCGGCTGACTGGGTGTGCTTTCGTGGTGAAGCGCCGGTCGATGCGATTGATGAGGCCGGCGACGTCGAGAGGACGACCTCGGCTGTTGTTTCGACCGAAGTTGTGGTGGTGTCGACGATGGATGTCGGCCGCGCGCGAGTTGTGGGGAACGCCAAGCGAGGAGTTCGAGCCGACGGCGGACTCGACGACGAGCCGTCGCCTGCGTGGCGCTCGATTCCGGACATGTTTGCAATAGACCTGCTGGGGTGGAGCAGAGTCGTAGTTGTGCTGAGTGCAGTCGTGAAGAGAGATTGTCGAGATGCAGGGCTATGAACTGCGACGACTTGGAGCGTGGAGGCTGTGACGATAGCGAGCGTCATTTTGGCTCATCTCAAGATCTTCTAACCGAAATTTTTGAACCCAGATCGGCTCCACATTAAAAGCAACCTAACATATTGAAAAATCGTCCCCCCTTCATCTCCTCAATCTTGCGCATGATCACACTCAAGAGGCAGACGCTGTTCACGAGTTCCGCCCGCACGAGCTCGAGCAAATGCACATGCCAGACGGAAATTGAGTCTGAGGACAATTGTGGAAGAGAGATTGTCTTTATGTTCACGTCCTATCGAAGTCTAGAGCTTGATCTTGGTCGAGTTGTCCACCTTCGTATGTGACCCGGTGACGGTTCGTACGGTGCGTTGCCACTTGCCATCGTGGACTGGTCCCTCGCCATCGTCCTCAGTCCCGTCTGCACGCTGAACGATCCAGAACTCGGCGGTGAGCAGTGCGATGTTCTTGCCCACCTGTGCCGAGTACACGTCCATCTCGATGACCGATCCGATCGGGCAAGCATTGAGATAGAGCACGTTGATGTTCTGTGAGACGCCGAGGAACGACCATGGCTGGCCGTAGACGCCCGAGGTGTGGTAGAAGACGACCATGCTGGTGATGTTGTCGACGAGCGTGGCAGCGCAGCCGCCGTGCATGTTGCCGAGCGAGTTGTCCATCTTTTCCGTGACTCGCATGCGGATTGTGAGACGTGCGTGGACGTCTTTGCGTACCAGTGTATCCTGCGTCGCACTGCCAGAGGAGCGCATGGTCAGCCGCGCCTTGTCTTGCGAGTCGTCAATGTCGGCCGCTTCAGTGACCAGCTTGCCGTTCTCGTCGAGCCCACTGCGTTCCGCATAGACGACGGTGACCGTGTGGTCGACGGCCGAGCATGAATAGCCGTCCGTGGCGAGGTTTCGCGTCATCCCGACGGCATCCTGCGTCGCGTCGTGGAAGTTCTTGAGGAGTGGGGCTGGCATCTTGTCGTCGGTAGTGTCGAGCCGAGTCCGATAAGTGCTGTTTCGCGGCCTAGAATGGAGTCGCCGTTGGATCGAATGTGGACACAGAAGGCAGATGCAAGTCGTGTTTGCGGGGAGGGCTCTCAGGTAGCGAGGCGAAAGGAACGGAGGTGATGTGGATGATAGCAAGATGTAGGTTCGGATGTGCAGGGTGTCAATCGCGGCCGGTCACCAGGGTCCCCGCAAGCCGGTTACCACAGCTCGCTCGCATTCGGCTGCGGTGCATTTTTCACGCGAGGCTTCTTGACGCCAGAGCACTGACTTCGTCTCGAATCTCAGAAATCGCTCCTCGTCAGACTCCTAAATCAAACTGTCGCAACATGATGCAGATGGATGTGTCAGATGTGTTCATGCTGAAGCAAGTCGCTCGCTCGCGGCCTCGCCGCTGGCCACATAGCCTGCGACCGACACAACAATGTCAAGGATCTGGCGAACCTGCTCTAGGTAGACTTGATCCTGCGACTCGTCCGAGCGAGTCCAGCTACGTTCGAACTGTTCTAGGCGCGCAGACACGCGGTCCACCTCTTGCTTGTTGTCCAGGTGATGATGGAGCCGCAGCATGTAGTATAGAATCTGTGTTTGAAGCTCGAGACACTCTGCTTGACTCGCGTCTGAACAGGTGGCAGCGCGAAGCATCGTAGTTCAGAGGAGAATGGGCGGGTCAGTCAGAGTTTCGGTCTACTTCTGAAGAGGCGTTGCGCTCCTCCGAGCACTTCACTTACCTTGCTCGGCTTCTTGCAGCCAATGCAGCACTCTGATCAAGTCTTGCGAGTCTTGCTTGTCCGAGCACGAGAGCAGCAAGCGTGCGTAGGTCCATTGTGCTCGCGCTCGCAGCTCAGCATCGTTGTTTGCTAGACAGTTTGGCAGATCGGACTCCATCAGCAACCGCACTCCGTCCTGCATCTTGAGGTGGATCCCCAGCGTCTCAGCTAGCTGCACTCGGGCGGCAAGGATCAAGCGACTGTGATCCATATCCTTGGCAATCGAGAGAGCCGCAAGCGTCGGCATCAGCGACAGCATCGGTTGACTGCTCTGCGTTCGTTGGGCAGCTTTGGCAAGCAACGCTTCCGCAGCCTCTTCTGCTGTGTGCTTGCCGAAGACTTGAAATCGCAGCCCGAATGAGCGCTCCGCTGAGCTCGATTTGCCGGATTCGAGGTAGCGCAAGGCGAGCTCGACCAAAGCATCGGGCGTGTCGACGGCATCTTCAACATCGAGGCCAGAAATGTCGAGATCGCGCGATGGAAAGCTTTGCGCGAGGAGCTGCAGGCCGGCTTCGTCCTGTCTGCGTGTGGCTCGCAGGCGAAGCACGTCGGCAATGGTGCCATGCCAGATCGTATATTCGCTGAAAGAGATGGTGGAAAAAGTGGAAGGCGAGACCAGCAAGCCGAGCGCGTCGTCGTATCGACCTGCTTGTGCGAGCTGTGTGTTTATCGAAATGTGAGATGTCAAAGTTAGTCAAGATGATTCGCTATGTTTCGAACAGTCTTCATCAGTCGGGCCACCGTAGACACTTACGCTTTTCGCTTGGTGGCAGATGCAGTCCATCCCCGCCTCGTCTTGCAATGCCGACATGGAACGACCACCCTTGCGGAGATCGACGCGCTTGCGATAGACATCGGCTAGTGCCGATTGACCCAGTGTTCTCCAAAGCTGAGCCACCTCGACGTCGCTCTGTAGCGCGTCCCGACCCAGCCGTCGCTTGGCGTCTTCCATGAGCTCCAACGAAGCTTCGGAGGCTGCCAGCGTATCCCGAGATGGCTGACTAGGTGAAGAACTCTCCTCCAAGTCTTGAAGCACCTCGACTGCAGAGCGCCCTTTGGCAAGACTGCAGCGCGCCTGCCACACTGCATCACTGACAGACTCTCGGTGCCTGTCGACAATGGCCGCAGCAGGGACAGCAGCAAGGGTGCTGGTGCCTACGCCCTGAATCCGCAGCATGAGACTCTCGCAAGCAGAGATGCAGTCGCTGTCGTTGGCGGATCGCGCGAGACTGATGGCTTCATCCAAAGCTGCTTTGGCGGCAGAGTAGCTCTGTGTGTTGACATGAAACGCTGCCAGGTGCAGCAGGGTGTGCTGATGAAGTTCGCGATCGGCTCCGGGAGCGTAAAAGTCGAAGAACTTTTCCATGTTGTCCTTGGTCATGACGTAGTCGCCGCGAAGCAGGCCAAGCTGGTAGTTACGAAACGCGCCTAGTCTTGCGTCGCTCGAGTGCAGCTCTCCGAGACTGGCGGGCCCAAGGTCTGCAGGAGCTTGCTTCCATGCGCGTGCTGCGAGTGTCAAGTGGTCCTTGGCCTGCAGGTCGAGACTATCGAAGATGAGCTTGGTGCGGCGAAAGAAGAGGCCAAAGAAGGATCTCCGCTCAAAGAAGATGTCCGATGCGTTGAGTACACCCATTGGCTCGTAGCTTGGCATGATGCGATTGAGCTTCTCGTTGAAGAGCTTGGTGAGGCCGTCTGGCACATCGAGAAGATGGAGCATGCCATCGAGATAGTCAGTCATGATACGACCGTTCTCCTCGTGCCCGTCCATGGTCCTTTGAAGCTCGTTGATGAAAGCTGCATAGGAGTGTGACGGCGAGCGCGTCTGATAGACCTTGTCCATGAGGAACAGCAGCAGCTTCTTTCGAGCGACCTGCGCTTCATCGCTGAGCTGGATGCGGCAATGAAAGTTGAAGAGGATGAGGATGGCGATGGTCTCTCCATTGATCTCGTCTGGCTGTGCCACGGCGATGTCCATCTTGGCTGCCAACCGGGGTGACCATCCGTGAGCGTCTTGAGAGAGAGTCGGCAACAGAGTACGTTGGTGTCAGCCAAGAAGAATCGAAAGCAACACTTCTGGGCACGCGTCCGGTGCCCAAGCCGCGCTGTGCTGAGCTGCCTGTCAGCTGAGCGGAGCAGCTGCACCTGCGATTTTGCCTCCACCTTTGCAGCTCAGCGTGGGAAGAAGCGGAAATCGGAGGTCAAGAACTTTGCGCCTTCTCACACTTTTTCCTTTCACATCGTCACATCAAAGTATCGGCTACCATCCTCTCGAACAAGTCACATTCGATCTCAAACCATCACAATGGCTCTCTCAGAAGACACCAAGGTACGTTGTCAAGCTGCTCTACGCTACGCCTCGTCCTGTCAATGTGGGCGATATCTCGGCGGCGCCATCCCCCCTTCACGTCACCTCTTGGCATGCCGCCAGGTGTCGGTCCATGACAAACGCATATCGGTCGTTCCGACGACGTAGCCTCCCGAAGTGCAGAAATCACGATAGAAGACTGAAAATAACCTGCTTTCTCTTTTACATTCGTATGTCGGCGTCGCCGCGCTGCCAACAGGAGCGCATCGTCAAGGCGGTCGACGTCTCCAAGACTCTGCTGCACTACGGCTGGTAAGTGCGACCTGACTTTCATGGACCGGTTCATTTCGAGGCTGACTGATCTCGGCAATGCTTTCGTGAACTCTTCCTGTGACATTGCAAAGGGTTCCATTCGTACTTTACATCGGCTTCACCCGAAGCACGCCACAGCCAAGCTTGATCAAGTGAGTGATCCCGACGGAACGTCCGCTGCTTCTGTAGCATCGCGGGAATAATACTGACCCTGTTCCCTTTCCTTCATCACGCCACAATCTGCTACACCCTTCGCCTTGCCATCGCCTGCGCCCGTTTCGGTCATCTGCTCACAGGCTCATCAGCCCTCTCGCCTAATTGGACGTCACTCCGGCTCTTCCGAATAGGGTTCCCTGCGACCGTGGCGCATCACGCTCCCGGGGCATGTCACCTGTGTATCGCCTATCTTCGACTCAGCCTCTCAGGCGGTCCTAGCAATGACCACCACTTTTGCACCTCACGTGCTTCGCAGCACGCCTCGGCGGCTCCCCGCCATCTGGCTACGCACCGCGAGACTGTGCACAATCGATAGACTTATATATCAGCGCCTTTTCATTTCCGACCCACCCGTCCTATCCCATCCAAGCTAAGCCACCCCTCATCGAGGCCCTCCGTCCCGATGCGCACGCCCTCTGAGCCGTCGAAATCTTCTGCTCGTTGTATCTCTCCCTTTCTGTCTCATACTGCCCGCCTCTGACCACTGACTAACACACCACTAGCCAAAGCACGCCGAGCAGGTCACGACCATCTACGCGATGTCGACAACAAGAAGGAAAAGGGCCGGGATCAGCTCTCACGCAACAGCCGGTGGCTCGCGGCCCCGAAGTGGTCAGGATCAGGGTCAACACCAGCCATTTCCAGCACCAACCGGGCGCCCTGGAGAAGCGCCACTACCTTTGCCTTCCAGAGGCTTTCATCCATTTCAGACAGACACAGCTCGGCACCACGCCACCTATCCAATTCCGGTCGGACGACAGCCTCAAGCATCCTGCCATACGCGTCCCGCTCCGCGTTCCAGCACAGTCGCAACCTACTACTCGGCAAACGAACTGGCTCAGAGCGGTCCGGCAGTCGGTTCCACCTGCTCTTCTGCTCGTGCAGACGCTCAACTTCCCTCGACGAATGTTCAATGTCTCTCGTCCTCTTCAAATCTAGCGGCCAGCCTCTCCCCAAGCCGCTTCAGTGCTTCCCGAGAGCACGACGCCGTGTACGACGGTGGGCAAGATCAGTCGCTCCTTTTCCGTGCGACCGAAAGCCACCCGTCGCGTGCTCCAGGTAGCAGCCCTGCTCAGAACACCTACGGGCACAGAACTGCCACGGCAAAGCGAAATCGGACGGCAGGAGACGGATCATCTGCTCATCCTTCGGCCTCACAAAGACCCGCGTCGTCACAAAATGCCGAAGGCCATGATCCTTTGTTCACGCACGTTCGAAAGCATCTACGTCAGACGGAGGAGGCTCAGACCACTGCAGAGATGAATCAGCGAGCAACGATGCAGAGTCTGGCTGCGATCGATCGACTGCAGGTCGAGATTGCGGATACGATCCGAGGCATGGCGGCTCGGCAGTATGAGTTCTGCGATCTCCAACAGAACGGGTTGCAGTGGCAAGAAACCTTGCACAACGACGTACAAGACATCCCTGAACGAATAGGTGAGTCTGCCGTTGCCCTCATGCCCCCATACGCCTCTACGATTGCACTAATGCCCGAGGCCCTTGCTTTGCAGCCGAGCAATTGAGCGAGACCACGAGCAAGATTTACGATGTGGCCGAAGCCACACACCATCTCGCTGGCATACGAGACGACCTCAACCACCTCAAAATCACGGTCGCCGGAATGACTCCATTGGCTAAGGATCGTCATGAAGCCTACGAGAAACAGATTGCTGAAGTAAGTCTCTTGCTCTGCTGACAAGCCCTCGTGCCGAAGTATCTGACTGCTTCCCGTTCCATGCCATACGCAGCTTCAGGACGTCGTGCAAACACTTCGGAACTCCATCCACGAACAGCCTGTCCGCATCAGCGAAAGCTTGCAGCAATTTGCGGCAGAGGTAGCCGAACAGCAGTACGAACGGCTCCGCACCGAGTTGCGCGACGATCGCATGTCCCGAGACGAGCACCGTCAAGAGATTCGAGAGCTGCAAGGCATGCTAGTGGGTCTCCGAACGATGCTTGTACAGCCCGAAGGCAGTAGGGCATCCACTTCTCAGGCTGCTTCGACTTCGACACCCCGGAGGATCTTAGTGCCATCGACGCCTGACAGGCTGCTCGAGGACATTGTTGCGCATGATTACGATCCCCCTGCCATGGACTCGGATCCTGCTCCTCTCGACTCGGCTTCGCAATGCGGTCAGAGGGTGATGGGGCACGGACGAGAGGCTGATGCGCGCCCGGAACATGCGGCCGACGACGATGTAGATTTCACCGACTACGAGGCGCTTCCGAATGCCCTCAAGCGGACCACCGGGCGCCGTGCGTCGCAGGTCCAGACCCCTCGCGATCAACAGACGGTCGAACCTCCCCCTTCAGCGCCTGCGCCGAGAAAGTCGGGCCAGGCAGGGGGACGAAAGACGCCAAAGGGTTCGAGAAAGTACGCAAGTACGTCCAAGAAGCGAGCACTGCCTGCCGAACTCGAGGACGGCGAGGACAAGGACCGATACTTGCAGCACGCCAGTCCAAACAGGCCAGGACGCACGTTCGACTTGGCGGTAGGCTTGCAAGAGGCTGAAGACGAATGCTCTGAGCAGCAGCAAGCGCCATCAGCCGATCCGAAACCAGCCGCGCAGCGAAGTCGAACGAGGCCGGCGGCTGCTAAGGCCCCGAAGCGAGGTAGAGGCAAGCAGAGCGCCAACCAAGCGAAGATAGCTGAATCCTTCGAGGGCGCGCCTCGGTATCAGACCCGAAAGCAGACGCGAGATCTGCACCTACAGGACAACCTACTTTCGCCTCTGGCATGACGTTACTTTCCCCTGTTTCGATTTTGATGTAGCCTGCATTCTCACCCCTGCGCTTGCGTGCGTGTTGTGTCTCAACTCAGTCTGCTCTCTCGTCTGCTATCGGCGCGGCCTCGACATCAGCAGGCTGAGGTGCCAATGTCATGGCGGTAGAACGTGCGATGCGATTGCAATGTGATGATGGTCGTGTGACAAGATGAAGTCGACCGACTGCGAGCCGCAGAATGAACAAAAGCAACGCGCGTCAGGGTCCTTCAAGGCGGTGGACGACGAGCCATCACGTGGTCTGGCCTGCAGCCGAGGTCGCCGACGCCGAGCAAAGGTTTTGAAGGGGTGAGAAGCATCGAACAGCACGGCAGTCTGCACCGATCTCTCTGCTCTTGGTCGTGAGCCCGCGAAAAAACGATCTGACGGAGTTGGAAAGCCGTATCATGGGATTGCTCGACACTGGCTTGGCGGCCACCGCTCGAGATGTTTTTTGAGAGCTTGCCGGCGTTGCGGCGAAGCGGGCGATGTTGTGCCTGAACGGAGCCCGTCTAGGAGACGCGAGAGGGTCTCAGATTTTGAGCGGAAAAGGCGTCTTTTTTCTGTCCATGCGGGGAGCGAGCGGGTGCAGGTCCAAGCGCGTCGAGAGAAACAAGCAAGCGTGCATGGTGTAGCGCTTCGCAATACACAACAAACGACCATCATCACCGTCGTCCTCCTTGCGCATCTTCTTTTTCTCACCTTCGACCCATCTGGATCCAGAACGTCTTTACCTCGCTTTCGCCTCCTAGACACTTCGCCCGACGCGACGGCGCTTTGGTTCGCAACATTGATACGCACTTATTGCGCATCCTCGCGACGGGTCCACCCTCCGCCCTCACTCTCCGTTTCCCCGGCGTCGCAAATCGCCAGTCGGCACATTCTCGCATCGACGACCTTCCCCATTACATCCAGTCCGACCCGGCTTTGATTCGTCGCTCTCGAATCGAAGGCCTTACACCACAATCTCACACTCTTCGGATGACCTTCAGGCGGAGTGGCTCTCTTTAACCTGCCCGTTGGGCACGATTCTTGATCGACCCATTCACATGCCGCCCAGCAGACGATCCTGATCATCTTCGCACCAAAGTCTGGACGGTGCGTTCCTCGCGATGGCATCCACCGTGAAGGGCAGGGAGGAGGCCCCTCCCGCTTCACCGACACAACGTGAGCCGCAGCGTGGACTGGAAGCGCTCTCGAATTTCTACGGCCGTCTCTCCGCGGATCATCGCACGAGAAATCAAGAGGCTTCCCTGTCCAGCTATGCCAGCAGCATGCGCAGAACCTCATCCGGAACCGAGTTCTACAATGCTCGCAGTGCCCATGGTGGCGACGAAGTGACGCCTGCCGGTAACGCCTCACCAACCCAGCCCAGATCTCCTCGAGTCTACACGTCGTTTTCGGCAGCGGCAGCGGCAGCATCTCGATCATCCCTGAACAAAAGGGCATCGCAGGCAAGCATTCCTGGCAACCCAACCGCACCGTCTTCCATTCGCAACTCGTCCGCCCTCTCTTCTCCTCGCACCAATACCTTTCCTGCCTATGCCAACCAAACCACTTCTAACAGTGGCGCCGGTGTTGCCGCCTCAGGTCTTGCCTCGGCAGCCGCGCCATCCAAGGGCACGTCGTTCGACATCGCAGCTATCAATCGGTACTCTCCCAGTACCTTCGCCAGTGCCTTTCCATGGCTCTCGAGCAGCTCAGATGCCGCATCAAAGCGGACACGCCAGGCCCCGACCGACTACAGCAAGGCCGACTCCTCCAAGGCAGCTTCATATAAGTCCAAGACCGACTCGCCACCTGTTGCACAATACAGTCAGGGAAAAGGCTTTGGCTGGAGTCCTACGAAGGACCAGACACCTCGAAAATCGAACTCCAAGGCGCGACCAGATCTCCAAGGCTCTCAGATCACCCCGGTGGGTCGCGGCCTTGGCCTCGAATCCTCTTCCGAGCTTGACCTTCCTGGACGCATGCGTGATCAACGCAAAGGTGCGCCGGCGCCACCACGCCTCTCCCAAGATCCAGTGGCACTCGGCCTCGACGCCGAGGTGAAACCCAGATCGAGCTTCAGCAAAGATTCGGCCTTTTCGCGACTTGGCCGTGCCTTCCGCCGCAAGAGCAAGACAGGCAGTGACTTGAAGGCTGATATCCGTGCGGATCTTCGCAACGCGCCGCCCGTACCGGCGCTACCCTCCAGCATCCCTGGAAAGCTCTCGGATCCTCTCGCTGCAAAGGCGCTCGAACCCAGCAGCGGCTATCCAGACCGCTCTATCGAAGGAGCGAAACCTAGCATGGACGTCAGCGCAAAGGACCTGCAACTGAAAGCAAGCGCCGCCACAGAGCAAACGAGTGCGATCGACGCCTCGCTCCACGGGTCGACAGAACCAGAGGCCAATTCATCGACCACCGACTCTGCCCAGGCGAATGTCAACAAAGGCTCGCCCACCAGACGACCAATGTCCATGGACTCGACGACGTCCAGTGCCCGCCGCAGATCACTCGCCTTCCTCGCCTCGGCCATCTCCATGGGTGGCATCGCTTCCGAAGCAGAAGGCGGCTCCAACGATAAGCCTTTCGAGAGAGAAGCGGCGATCAGTGAGTCGAAGGAGGACCCTGACACTCCGACACGGAATCCGAAGGCCGCGGCAGCAATCCCGACGCTTCCTTCGAGATCAACGTCGATCACAGCATCCCACATTGATTCCGATACCTCAATGGATCGACAGACTGTCGCGGCTGAGCCGACGGCAACTTCGTCTTCCGCGGCCATGTCGCGCATGTCCAGCGCGGATCGCAGGCGCCTCGAGCCCAAATCGCCAACGCGCGACGACCACGTCCCCAGCATCTTGACCGACTTCCTCCAGATGGACGCGCAGGGGTCACCAAAGGATGCAAAGAGAGGCGAGTCCAAGAAGCAGTCTCGATCGGCTCGCGATGACTCGTCAGCAGCAGATATCTCGACCGACAGCTCGAAAGCCGCGTTGGAAAGCTCGCACAGCGGGGCGTCCGGCGGTCGCAGGTCATCGCTGAGCTCATCACCAAAAGATGCCCGCGCGATAAAAGGCCTCTTCGCATCACCATCCGCAGGGCCCAATATGGGCGTCTTCACATCGCCTTTCTCCGCAGCCCCGCTCACGTCGGCCGCCTCTGGCCTTTGGAATCGCACGAGACGCACATCGGATCGTCGTCCAAGCGCAAGCTCGCGCTCGTTCCAGAGCGAGGACACCGAGAGTATGCTTTCCGGATCGCGTCGTGGATCGGCTGCGGTTGCTGCTCCTGAGAGCGGAAACAGAGACGAGCAGCAGTCAATAACTGTCGCCGCCGGCCGGAACACAGACGGCAAAGCCGGTCAGACTCGCGGCACCACCGAGGCTGAGAAAGCCAAAAAGACCCGATCCTTCGGCAATCTGCGTGCCATGGCCAGGAAAACCAGCACAGAAGTCATGCCGCGAGCCAGTACCTCGCAGCTGCCGTCGTCTTCGGACGCGAGCGTACCGCACCGAGATGTGAACAGCGTCTCACAGGAAGGATCGCCATCACGGACACGAAGCGTTGCCTCACGATTCTTGCGCCGCCCCAAGACGAGCGGAGAGAATGCAGGCATGGCAGGGAAGCGATCGACCGAGGCAGCTAACCGCGTCGAAAGCTTCCTCAGCTCACGTAGAGGCTCGGGGCTGGGACGTGCGTCTATGGACACTTCCGGTCTCTCCCCCAAACCCTACACCTCGTCGCCGATGGAGGGCAACTTCGACACGCTCGCATCGCAAGACCCAGCAGCTACGCCGAGAATGTCGCGCGACACCACCAACGAGCGACAAGGGAGCAACCGATCCATCGACCAATCTCGTACATCCGGTCTCGACCGAAAGGAAAGCTCGCTCTTTGGGCGCAGGCCGAGCGAGCAGTCTGTCGGCGCGATCACGCCTTCTTCGTCCCGGATCGAGTCGCAAGGTGGTGCCGGTGGTCTCTTCGGCAGTCCTGCAACGCGACCACGCACCTCATCTCTGATCCCCTCCTTCGGATTCAGCAAAAGTCGGTTGGCATCCTCCGCAGACCTCGACGGCGCTAGCAAGAGCCCAGGCAGCTTCGCCAACGGCGCTCGCTCGAACTCCAGTGACGTAAGGCGCGATACGAGCGAGCTCGTCTCCGCCTCGGCTTCCACCCTGCTGCCCGTGCAAGCAAACGGAGCTGACAAATCACCACGTGTCTCTTCGAGCTCTCGGCCATCCCTCAGCGGACAGCTGTCTGCAGGCACTGCGCCTTCCGATGCCGAAGCCAAGCTGTCTTCCGAGAAGCCCGAGAAGAAGGTGTCACTGTCCGCCTACCTGCCGTACGATGACGAGGAGGCGACCGAGTACGCTGAACGCATCGCTTCGACGGCGCCCAAATCGCAGATCGCAGCCATTCTGGCTTCGAACGCCGATGTCTTCTATGTCGAAGCGCTTCAGCATTTCATGAGCCGCTTCTGGTTCAACAGTCTTCCGCTCGACATCGCGTTGAGGAAACTACTCATGGACCTGCATTTGCCCAAAGAGACGCAACAGATCGATCGAATGATGGAGGCGTTTGCGAAACGGTACAACGAGTGTAACAACGGCCTTTTCGCTTCGGACGATCAGCCGTACATTCTGTCGTTCTCGCTGATGATGCTGCACACGGATGCGTTCAACAAAAACGCCAAGAACAAGATGACAAAGGCCGACTACCTCAGAAATACGGGCGCCAGTGGCGTGCCGACCGAGATCTTGGAATACCTCTACGACAATTTGACGTTTACGCAATTCATCTACATCGAGGACGAAGAGGCCTCGGGCAAGCGACGCCCATCGGAAGCCTCGGGCATGTCGCTTCCAGCTTCAAGCATGTCGACCTCGCTGGGATCGCAATCGGGAGCGGCAGCAAACCAGCGCCTCAAGATCGACCCTTACTTCCTGATTGCGCAAGGGCGTTTGGGCGAGCTGCGACCGGACCTGGAAGATTTGATTCCAGAGGACACGCCATTCTCCTGCACCGGGTCTTTGCCAACGTTCGACGTGGAACGACTCAACTCTGCCTTCCTCCACGCACCAAGCATCGAGATCGTCACCACCAAACCCGCTGGTGAAGAGCCAGGCGCAGCCGCAGCGAGCCCACTCGACGTCGAAGAGGAAGTCGTTTCTCTCAAGGTCACCAAGGTCGGCGTGGTCAATCGAAAAGACGACGTTTCGGATGGGGGCAAAAAGGGTGCATCTCGCAAGTGGAAGACGAGCGGACTTCTGCTGACAGGCTCACAGCTGTTGCTGTTCAAGGATGTCATCTGGATCAATGCGCTGCAGTCGCAAATCCTTGATCAGGTCGGGCACTCACTCTTGAACAACGGCATTCCATCCGACGAGGACGGCGCCGACGACGTGGTGGAAGGCGGCGTTGTCATTACGCCAAGGATCACGTATTTCCGCCCGGACGGTGTCATCTCGCTTGCCGATGCGGTGGCGGTGAAGGACCAGTCGTACGGCAAGTACGACCATGTCTTCCGACTAGTGGCCGCCAAGGGCCGACAGTACCTCGTTCAGGCTCAAAGCGAGGACGACCTGAACGATTGGATCCACAAGATCAACTTCTGCGCCAGCTTCCGCACGTCGAACATCAAGATTCGCGGTCTCGACTTGGCACCTCGCGTTGGCCCCGGCGCCGCACTGAACGACGCGGACACGGCAGAACGGTTCGCATCGCTAGCGAAACGGTCGTTCTCGGGCTCGGAACGTGCGACTCGAAGAATGGATGCTGATGAAAGCGGAAGATCGACGCCGATCGGCGACGACAGCGGCGAGGTTTCTCGAGACGGCACATCGCGATCCAGCATGGACCCAGTGACGAGACCGGGTGACAGCAGCCAACCAGCACGCCCTCGCTCGTCTGCCTCCCTTCGACTCAGCCCAGCTTCGTCTGCGATTCAAAAGCGAGCTCGGGCGCGTCGCGAGTTGATGCTGACCAAGATTGCCGAATCCGAGGTGCAATTAGAGCGAGCCACGTCGCGACTGTCGGAGGAGATCCGACTGGCTCGACACTTTGCCATCTTGACGCCCTTCCTCAAGACGACGCGGGATCGCATCGAGATGTCGGCTCTGCCCTTGGCCAACCGGATCCGGTCCCTCCGATTGGATGTGGCCAAGACCGAGGCGCGATGCAAGATCTTGCGTCTAGACTTGGCTGCAGGCGAGAGGGTGGCACGAGCCCTGCTGCCAAACACGTACCTGTCGTCGTCGGCGATCCGAGCAGCGAGTCGACTGCCTTCTGGCCAGGTCGGCACGCCGCAGCTGATGGAAATGGGCCGTGCCTCTGACTCGCAGTCGCAGTTCGAAGATCTCTTTGGGGCGCCTGGCAGCAACGGGGCCAGCGCTCAGGATTTGACGTCGATGCCAGCTTCGCTGTCTGGAACGATCAACAAGCCAGCATCGCATCAACGGAGCCAGATGAATCTCAACGCGGTCTCTGAGCAGCCGGCGGATGAATCACCGGTGATGGCGGGTGGACGACCGCTGCCCGACGCTGAAGTCGAGACGACACAGCCTGGCACGGAGAGGAAACTGAACAAGAAGCACTCGGCTACAGACGAAGTTCCGCAAGACTGGGACTTGAGCCAGGTGGCGAGGCCAGGCACAAATCGCATCAGTCTGGTGAACCTGCCTTCGCCCAACGAGCTGGAGCAGGCTACGGGCGGACGATTCCGATTTGGTCGAGACACGTCCGAGTGACAGACGTCTTGGGCGTCAGCAGGGACATGTCATCGGATAGTGCTTCATCGTAATGGAACAAGGGCTGCACTATTCATTGTTTCATCTGTGTGATTGATTGTCCCCGCGTTACCCGCATGAGGTTAGGGTGCGGGGTAGACTGTGGATGCTTATGACCGGAGTGTTGGGAAGCGCGAGGTTGCTTCTCGCGCGAAATTCGAAGCTCACGGTCTGGCACACGCACGAAACTCGGTCCCACTTTCGGCGTCAGTCGTGCGACATCGAGGCTCGCTTCTGGAACGACGGCGAGCATGTGCCGTCTTCTCCCAAAGGCCGCGAGTTGCATCGACGTCTCATCTACATGCTGTGAGGAGCGTAGACCGCACTCAAGCGTGTCTCTGGTCTGAGATCGCGTTGATATGAATGAAGTGGATCGACCGATGCATCAGCAAGAGACCCGATCTGTTGACGAGCAGAGTAGGCCTCGAGGCTCAAGCACGCGAGAATGGAAATTGCAGCGTGAAAGCGTTGACGCAAAGGGTCGGACTCGAAAGGGCAGATCTGGACGAAAATCCGGCACTTGGGCAGTCTTACCGGATCCAGAGCTGAAAACGTAGCCGGACTTCGACACGGTCGACGACCTGTTTGTGTTGCTCGCCAGACCTTGATCTTCGATGCAAGGGCAATTGGGGCAGCCAAGCTCGCTAGCAAGCGCGCACCGCAGATGAGAATGTCATTTCACATGAGATGCCTGCCACCCCAGAGTGCGAGGATGAAAGTGTGCGAGATCCTCTATGCCCGGCTGGCGTTGCTCGCCTGTGCTCGACATGGCTCTCGCATCGCTTGGTGCCAAGCTGTGCGCGTGAGGGATGAGCGGTGCTTGCTCGGGCTGGCTAGTCCGGGCATCACATCCTTTGCTCACTGTGTGGCTTTCAAGGCACTGTCAATTCAGGTGCGAGTGTGGGGAAGCATAACAGGGCAAAGTGATCCGTCCGTGCGAATGGATCGACTACAAAGCCAACCAAGCGCCCGAGAAGGATGTTGAGAGCCGGCGTGGTTGAGATCTGGTTGCTCGCTCGTAGCCTTGCCCGGCTGGATGGCAGACCGGCTCAAACGGGCGTTGAACTCCACACTTTTCGGCAACAGACGCCCGCTGCTGTCACTGCCGTGCACGTCCAATTTCTCTCGAATGAGCCGGATCGAGACTGCCACTTTTCCCTGCTGAATTGCCTCGACTTCGCGCACGAAACCCAAGAAGTACCGGTGGGCTTGCTCGCCTGTCTGATGGCCCGTACAAGCGGTCTGAGCAATCACAAGCAGCCAGTCCGCACTCACGCTCATGCTCACCAGCTCCGTTGAAATACGCTGCGACCCCACACCTCGCCTTTCCTTCTCGCTTCTGCTTTATCGCTTCGTTCGCATTCTCCTTTCATCCATCATCTATCCTCCCTCCTCATCCGTTTCTCATTCCTGGTTCCGTCCTTCCCATCGGCACCATCACCAGCAAAACGGCTAGACGGTCATCCATCCCATCTCGTACCGTCTTGACAGTGCATACGTTCACAGACACCCTCGCATTATAGCCGCCTAGTACGGCAAACACATCCGTCACAATGTCCGACTTCCCTTCTACCGAGGGCGGCAAGATCTCGTTCAAAGGTCGTGTCGTCGTCGTCACCGGTGCCGGTAACGGTCTCGGCAAGGCGTAAGTATTCAATCCCGCTCCACAGAGCTGCTGGTGCAGACAGGAGATGATTCCATGAGACTGACGACGAACCCTTCCATTCGATGTCTTTTTCTATGATGATTGCAGATACGCCCTCTTCTTCGCTTCTCGCGGAGCAAAGGTCCTCGTCAACGATCTTGGCCCCTCTGCCAAGGACAAGGACAAGAAGGCCGCCGATGTCGTCGTCGAGGAGATCACCAAGGCTGGCGGTGAGGCCATCGCCAACTACAACTCCAACACCGAGGGTGACAAGATCATCAAGCAGGTCATTGACAAGTGGGGTCGCGTCGATGTTGTTATCAACAACGCCGGTATCCTTCGTGACAAGTCCTTCAAGGCCATGAGCGACAAGGAATGGGACCAGATCACCGCTGTCCACATCACCGGCTCGTACGCCTGTGCCAAGGCCGCTTGGCCCCACATGCGCAAGCAAAAGTTCGGCCGTATCATCAACACCTCGTCCGCCGCCGGTATCTACGGCAACTTCGGTCAGGCCAACTACGCTGCTGCCAAGCACGCCATGATCGGTTTCGGCAAGACCCTTGCCATCGAGGGCGCCAAGTACAACATTCTCTCCAACGTCCTCGCCCCTGTCGCTGCCAGTCAGCTCACCGCGACCGTCATGCCTCCCGAGATGCTCGAGAACTTGACGCCCGACTACGTTGTCCCCATCGTTGCCTACCTCGTCTCTGGCGAGAACAAGGACGTTTCGGGTCAGGTCTTCGAGTGCGGTGCGGGCTTCTTCGCCCAGGTCCGCCGTGAGCGCAGCCGCGGTGTCGTCTTCAAGACCGACGACTCGTTCACCCCTGCTGCCGTTCGTGCCAGGATCGACGAGATCCTCGACTTTGACGAGAAGCCCGAGTACCCCTTCCGTATCACCGACGCCAACCACATGGAGTTCCTCGAGCGCGCCAAGGAGGCTAAGTCCAACGATCAGGGCGACGGCGACGTCAAGTTCGACGGCAAGACCGTCCTTGTCACCGGTGCCGGTGCTGGTCTCGGCCGCGCTTACGCCCTCATGTTCGGCAAGCTCGGTGCCAACGTCGTGGTCAACGACTTTGCCGAGAAGAACGCCACCGCGGTGGTCGACGAGATCAAGAAGGCGGGCGGCAAGGCTGCCCCCGCTGTCGGCTCGGTCGAGGACGGCGAGAAGGTGGTCAAGGCTGCCACCGACGCTTTCGGCTCGCTCCACGTCGTCATCAACAACGCCGGTATCCTGCGCGACAAGTCCTTCGCCGCCATGTCCGACGACGAGTGGCACGCCGTGATCAACACCCACTTGCGCGGCACCTACAGCGTCTGCCACGCCGCCTGGCCCATCTTCCAGCAGCAAAAGTACGGTCGTATCGTCAACACCACCTCGGCGGTCGGCATCTACGGCAACTTTGGCCAGGCCAACTACTCGACCGCCAAGGCCGGTATCATTGGCTTCACCAACACGCTCGGCATCGAGGGCAAGAAGTACAACATCCTGGCCAACACGATCGCGCCCAACGCCGGTACCGCCATGACGGCCACCATCTGGCCGCAGGAGATGGTCGACGCGTTCAAGCCCGACTTTGTTGCGCCCATGGTGGGCTACCTGGCCAGCGAGGCCAACGAGGACCTCACCTCGAGCCTCTTTGAGGTGTCCGGTGGTTGGGTCGCCGCTGTTCGATGGCAGCGCGCCGGTGGTCATGCCTTCAGTCACGGCAAGGCTCCCACTCCCGAGAAGATCGTCAAGAAGTGGAGCAAGATTGTCGACTACGAGTCGAACCCCTCGTGGCCCACCAGCCCGAGCGACTCGCTCGGCGACATCATCTCCAACTTTGGCCAGGAGGAGGAGGACGATGACGACGACGACAGCGAGGGTGGTTCGGGCTCGGGCGACTACAACGACCCCGAGGACCCCGAGATCGTGCAGAACGCCAAGAAGGAGCCCATCGACGAGTCCGAGTTCACCTACACGGAGCGCGACGTGATCCTGTACAACCTGGGTGTCGGTGCTACCGCGCAGGAGCTCGACCTTGTCTTCGAGCAGGACGACGACTTCAAGCCGGTCCCTACGTTCGGTGTTATTCCTCAATTCATGGCTAGCGGTGGTATCCCTCTGGACTGGCTGCCCAACTTCAGCCCTATGATGCTTCTGCACGGTGAGCAGTACCTTGCCATCAAGAAGCCCATCCCTACCAGCGCCACTTTGGTCAACAAGCCGGCGCTCATGGAGGTGCTCGACAAGGGCAAGGCAGCTGCGGTCACGTCGATCGTCAACACCTTCGACAAGAACAGTGGCGATCTCGTCTTTGAGTCCCAGAGCACCGTCTTCATCCGTGGCTCTGGTGGATTTGGCGGTAAGAAGTCGGGTAAGGACCGTGGTGCCGCTTCGGCTGCCAACAAGCCTCCTTCGCGCAAGCCTGACAAGGTGGTCACCGAAAAGACCACCGAGGGTCAAGCCGCACTCTACCGTCTCTCGGGCGACTACAACCCTTTGCACATCGACCCGAGCTTCGCCCAGGTGGGTGGCTTCGACAAGCCCATCCTCCACGGCCTCTGCTCGTTCGGCATCTCGGGCAAGCACGTCTTCCGCGAGTACGGCGCGTACAAGGACATCAAGGTGCGCTTCACCGGCTCCGTCTTCCCCGGCGAGACGCTCGAGACCAGCATGTGGAAGGAGGGCAACAAGGTCATCTTCACCACCCGCGTCGTCGAGCGCGACGCCCAGGCTCTCGGCGCCGCCGCCGTCACCCTCGCCGACGAGTAAACGTCAAAGAAACGTGTTCGAATTAGTCTTTGAATGTTCAGGTTGTGTTTCCGTGATCGACAGATAGACTGACTGCATGTGAGAGTGTAGGCCTCAGCCCATAATAAGTATGCGAACTGATGGATTTCGACTGAAAGAAATGGCCATCAGGAAGAGTGTGAACCTGAAGCAAGTACCCTCCCGGTCACCGATTCGCTCCCGACCACAACATGGGGTGCGGCCGTGATAAGTGGCACTGTCCAGAGAAGCGATGACGCAGGCACGAGTCGAGGCCCAATGATGAACAAAGACAAGAGGCGGGCTAGACAAGGTACAACGTCTGAGAATGCGAGCGGGAACGGGACTTAGAATTCGGACGCCAGCTCACACAAGAGGCGTCTGTGCGTGCTCGGCGTGCGAGAAGAAAGCGCCTCGGGACGTGGCTGTCGAAAATGGCTTTGCACAACCAACACCTGAGCAAAAGATCAAAGCGCGTCGTTGCTGCGACCCTTGCCTCTTGCTTTCCTACTTTTCGTCCATCACGCTTGCTTCTTTTTGTTTGTCAAGAGCGAAGGGGACAGCTTTGGTTTCAAGCTCAATCGTCGCTCCATTCTGTAGACTTTCTGGTCCAAAGGAAGCCCGACCCACCAGTTTCACCGTCGACGTGGCAGCATCTACTCAAGCCCCCACTTGTCGTTGATTTGAGGGGTGTCCCGCGCCACTTTCTCATCTCGCGGCGGCATTTCGATCCAGCTGGCCCCATCCCTCATGCGCCTCCCTCCCTCTACTCGTTCTGTCACTACAACCACCAGCAGTGCGACCGCCATCAGACCCGTTTTCCCCTCACAGACTCGTCAGGCCCACACCCTGCGTCAACGCACTCGCCTCTTCACCCGAAGCAAAAGCACCCACCACCCAACACACCTGCCGACCAACAAGTCACCCGTCCTTCCCAAACCCTCGCACATCGCGTCCACCCTTCCCTCGGAAGACGCCGACCTGCCCACCGCCCACCCACAACCACCACCGCACCAAGGCCCTCCCCGCCTTGTCCGTTACGAATCAGACACGCAATCGCAGCGTCCCTCCTCGCTCTACCCGACCTCGTTCGCACACGCTTCGTACCCGGACCCCGTGTCGTACCGCGCCCATCTGTCGACTCGACGCGCGCCAGCTAGCCTCTTCGGTCTGTTCCCCACCACAAGTGCCACCGCCGCGAGCTTGAAATCGCGTTCGGATCCGTTTGCGTACACACCGTCCGGGTCGAGCCTTCAAACTCCAAGTTCGGGCGAGACGACGATCGAAACCACCACCATGGCGAGTAGCTCATCGATTGTAGACGCGGCCAAGGCGGGCGAAGCTGAGCTGCACCAGCGCAAGCGCGCTAGCAAGACCCACGCTGCCGCCGCCGGCGCGCACCACCACGGCCACGGACACGGGCACCACCATCACGACCACGGGTCCGCCGAGGAGGCCGATGCGCTCCTCGCCGCCCTCCGCGGTAAAGGCGACCGCGGGAGCAACATCACCCTCGCCGGTCTCGTCTCCAACATCGGCCTCTGCGCCGCCAAAGGCACGGCGGGCGTCTACCTCAACAGCGCCGCTCTGTTGGCCGACGCGGCGCACTCGCTCTCGGACATGTTTGCCGATCTTGTCACACTGTTCTGCTGGAAGATGTCGCAGAAACCTCCGTCGGCGAGCCATCCTTTGGGATACGGCAAGTACGAGACGATGGGTTCTCTCGGGGTATCTCTCGTTCTTGTAGCAGGAGCGGTGGGGATTGGGTTTCACTCGTACGCGCTGTTGGTGGAGGCATTGCAGCCAACACTGGCGAGTGCACCGGCGGCGATCCAGGCACTGGGTGCGTGGTCCGGTGGTCTCGCACACAATTTCCACGATCACGCCCACAACGAAGGCGGACTGTTGGATCCTAACGCCATGTGGTTTGCTCTGCTCTCCATCGGCGTCAAGGAATGGCTCTACCGCGCAACCCTCAAGATCGCTCGTGAAGAGAACTCCAGTGTCCTCGAAGCCAATGCCTTGCATCATCGCAGCGATAGTCTGTCCTCCGCCGTAACGTTCCTGGCCATCGGTGGGAGTTGGTTGGGTTTCCCCGTGTTGGATCCGCTAGGTGGGTTGTTGGTGGCCGGTCTGATCGGAAAGCAAGGGGCGGATCTGTTGATCGGCGCATTGGGAGAGCTGTCCGACCGCGGAGTTGAGCCCGAGATGCTGCAGACGTTTGATGCGGCGATTGACGAGGTCAGGCAGAGGTTCCCCGAGCTGCTGATGGGGTGGAGGGATTTGAGGGCGGTCAAGAGCGGTGTTAGTACGTTTGCAGATGTCACGGTTCAATTGCCTAACGATGCCACGCTGAGACAGGCGGGCGAGGTGGAGAGGGCCGTGAGGGAGGCCGTCATGGCTTGCACAAAGGGCGTCAAGGAGGTCAGGGTTAGACTGGTCACTGTGGACGCCGAGTAGGCGTGCAGGCAAGGTCGCGCGGTTCGAGATGAAATCGAAGTTCAAGAAAAGATGGATTGCGTGAACGTGGATGCTGCTACATGCTGTGAAATGCGTGATATACGTAAGGAAGGGATCAAAGTTGCTCAAGTCGCTGTCGTTGTTGAAGGGGCTGCATCCTCCGACGGCGGCAGGGAAGTTTGCCGTGATGTAGGCGTTTCAGGCTGATCCGCCGCCGTCTGTGTGGATGAAGTCGCGGTCGAGAGCACTGTCTGGTTGGAAGCCAGCGATGTGCTGGACAGCGTCTGGGCAGCGGCGCCCATCGACGCGAGTCCGCCCGCGACCTTGGGCTCGGCCTGATCTGGTCCGGGCGTGGCGACATTCGGCGAAGTGACGGATGCTTTGCTCTGCGGAGACGCGAGCTTGCTCGCCACTGACGGAGAAGTGACACTAGAGCCACCTGGTGTGGCAGTCGCATTGCCTCCCGTCGTCGCTGCGAAGAAAGGGAACGAAGTGCTCGGGCTGAACGTCGTAGGCGACAGCGGCGGGTTGACTCCGGGAGTCTGACCGTTCCTCTGGCGTGTAATGAGCGTCTTGAGCGCTGAAATCCACTTGATTTCTTCGTCCTCACCGGGCGCGCAGAGGATGAAGGTGCGCTTGGGAGTGATAATCTGGAAGCAATTCTCCTTGCGCTTCTTGGACGAGCCTCCAACCATGCCTGCAGTCATGTTCGAGGCAACGCCGGCGGCGGCGTTGATCATGCTGCCTCGGCGTTCTGGCTTCTCGGGTGCGGCTGCAGAAGCTCCCGTGCTCGGCGAGAACGCTGCATTGCCGTCACGATCGCCGCTGCTCTCGAAGCCGAACGGGTTCGTGGTCGGCGAGCCGATGCCAGGCGAAGTGGGAATGACGGACGACGCCTTCTTGGGCTCGTATTCGAGCGCATCCAGTATCGACGAGATGGGGATCTGACGATGTGCTTTTGCGTCCATGTGGCTGCGCGAGTAGAGCAGGCGCGATGGTGTCAACACGAACCAGCGCTTGCGCCAGACCTTGCGACGTCCGCTTTGCTTCATCAGATAGCCCTGCGTGATGACCTTATTAGGATCGCGTTGCAGTTCTCCCGTGGTCGCCGGCAATGAGGAAATGTTGAGCGGTGCGGGCTTTGAGCCCGGCTGCTGTGATTGCTGCAGTTGCGATTGCTGGGATGTCTGCGAAGTGCCGAGGGCTGGCAGTGGCATAGCCTGATCAGCTACCTCCTCTTCGTCCCAGTCGTCCTCCTCGTCTGAACTGCTTAAGATCTGGTTGCCACCGCCGCTACCCTGGGGCACCGTTGGGCTCGGAGGCACATCGGTTGCTCCGCTGGCGAACAAAGCCAGTCTGCGGCTTGAGCTGACACTTCGCTGACGTGGAATGTTCCCGAAGCCTCCTGCAGGGCGAGGTTGGTGACTGCTCATGTCACTCATCTCGCTTCCAGAGTTGTGGCCACCACCGCCCCCAGGCGATTGCCCAGCCAGCAGGAACGAGTTGGACGGGTCTGTTCGCATCGACGGGCTACCAGAGATGGAGGAGCCGGTGTAGCTGAGTCCGAATCGATCTGTGCCCGTCTCACTGTCACTGGTGGCCGTCAGAGGACTGAAAGCGGCAGAGCCCGGGATCGGCCTTGGCTGTGCCGGGGCCATAAAAGTGCCGTGGCCCGGAATGCCGATCTTGATGGGGGAAGAGGAGGTAGACTGCATGCGTTCCTGTGAGATGGTACGCTGACGCGATGGAGTACCATACTGAGACTGCGGGACCGTCGATGAGGGTGCCGGGCTCTCAGCGTTGCCGAGCTCCAAAGCAGCCATCTCCTGCGTCATGGTGCTGCTCTGGGCATACTGCGTCATGATCTCGTTGAGCTTTTCGATCCAAGACTCCATATCCGCCCGAGAAGCAGCACGCACGTAGAAGGTACGCTTAGGTGTGACGATGCCGAAAGTGTTGACGCTCTTCTTGAGCTCGACGGAGGCGACCGTCTTGATGTCGCTGACATCGATGAAGCGAAGAAGCTGGTACTCCTTCTCGTTCTTGTAGTAGGCCAGCTTGGAGGAGCGAAGCACGAACCATCTCTTCTTCCACGTCTTGCGCTTTTCACCCTTCTTCTCGAGGTAGCCAGATTTGACGGTGGACTCATTGATCATGTTGTGATGGGCTTCGCTTCCATCGAGCTCGCCGTCCTCATCATCCTCATCGTTGTCGCCATCGTCACCACCGTCGAGGTCGTCATCCTGGAAACGTGAAGGAGCGAAGATCTTGGACGAGGGTTGCGAGGAAGGCGTACCTGGATGAGCAGCTCGAGCCGCGAGCGGGTTCACGATGGCAGAAGATGCCGTTGCTGTGGAACCGGGCGTCATGATTGAGGGCGAGTTGGTGGTGACGGCAGAGACCGTACTCCCAAGACTGAGTGTGTTTGATCCAGAGGCGAGGTCACTGATGTTGCATGCCTTGTTGGTGGGTACGAAAGGACGATATGATGGAAAAAGAGGCAAGGATCGGCGTGATGATGGTGAGGTGAGTGAATGTGGGAAAGGAGTGGTGTCGCTCTGACCACCTCCACCCGATCCGCAGGACGACCCTCGCAGGTCCAGCCAGGCCTAGCCGAACTGGGCCTGTTCTGCTGAGTGTGTCTGTGTACCATTATCGTGGGCTCAGCGCTGCCGTGGCGAGTCGTGCGAGAAAATTCCAAATTGGCCTGTGATGCGGATCCGCGTCTGGGCCATCGGCTCGCATTCTAACATCACACTTGCCTCGACTCTCACTTCATCGGTAGCAAACACCATCACACCACAAGCACCATGTTCCGCCAAGCACTAGCATCGTCCACACGAACTGCTGCACGGGCTGCTGCCCTGCAGCGCGGCACCGTCGCTCAGGCTCGATTCGCATCTGGAGGATCCTCTTACAACCAGCCCACCGGTCTACTTTTCGGCGAGAAGGTAAGCAGCAGCCCTTCAGCAACGAAGCTCATCGTCACCTTCAAGGCTCGCCTTGAGACTTTTTGACAAGCTTTCTGCATGGAGATGGCTCTCGATGACACCCCGATCCACTGACCACCTACTCTGCCCATGACTCCGCATTTCGACCATATCAGGTTCCCAAGGGCCAGAAGCGACAGAAGGAGGACTGGGAGAACATGTACTACATTGGTCTCTTCGGCGGCATGGCCTTCGCAGGTGTTGTCCTCATGTACAAGCCAGACACCAGGTATGTTCCAACTATCAGCCATTGTCGCACTCAATCCGCCAGACTCCTGACACGAGACTTCATCATCACTCTCCTTCATCCACGTTACGCAACCGTCCCGACACGTTTCTCGACACAACAGCATCCAGACTTGGGCCATGGCCGAGGCGAAAAAGCGTCTCGAATCGTCCGGCGATGAGTGGCAGTATAAGCCATCGCCCAACTCGGGCTACCCCAAGGGCGTGTAAAGTTTTCTCGTAATCAACAGCTTCGCATACCAGAACGATACATATGCGCGACTGTCGCACATTACTGGAGCAGCGACGCAGACGAGGTGCTCCCTGAGCGAGTCCTTGCGTCGGAAGAAAGGACGTCCGATCGGACATTCAGCTCGAGTGCTCGATCCGGTACTACCATAGTGAAGACTCATCCACGCAGTCCACGCACGGTTCACTACTACTCTGAAGACAGCATTTCCCCCCGATGCCGCTCAGAGGCATGATCGAACAGCACGGACAAACGAAGTGACGATGAAGGGTATATGATTGGCAGACGGAGCATGTCACACCGTAAACGGCGGAAGACTCTTCTACATCTTGGCAATGTAGTCGGTGGGCTTACCCAGCGCAGTGCACTGGTCGCCTCTCTGTGCGAGCGGTTTCATGACCTGCGAGATGGACATGCTTAGCGTCCTGAGGCTCGAGGATGTCAGCTGGCTCCAAGCGCCCGACCCAGTGATCCTCGCCAGCGAGGAGGCGTATGCTTTCCCGCGCGCCTGCAGGTATGCTGTCGACGGCGTCGGGTTTCCTGTCCTAATGAAAGCCGAGAACTGATCCATCACACCCGCCATCCACGGCAGATCGTTGCTGTCCCGATAAGGCAGCTTGAACGCCATACCCACGGAGTGAAAGAAAGGGATCAGATCGCCCGAGTGACACATGTAATACGTCGTTGCGCTCATGCTTCCGCTCTTGGGCTTGCACACGTTGTACGGATCGTAAAAGGGCAACTGATACGAGCGTCGATCGAAGATATACGCCCAGACGCTCGGGAAGACGCCGTTCACCACCGAGGCGTACGCCATGCTCTGAATCCCGCAGCGGTACTTGATCTCGGTGTTGACCGCAACCGTCAAATTCTGAACTCCATACGAGCTGACCGGGAAGACGCTGGGGTTGTTAAGAACGATCGTCGAGTAGTTGGAGCCGATCTGAGCGGTTTTCATCGCGTTGGAGAGGTTTGTTTCGGACGAGGGGGGTACGATGCCGAGTGAGGCCAGCTCGTCGCGCATCAGCCCCCAGATGACAGGTACGCGGTTGACGTGCCCCTGCGCTGATCCGGGTGGGCGCATGTCGAGTCGCGGGTAGCGGATGTAGTTGCCGTCGACGTTGACAAAGTTGACCGAGGCCTTGACGAGCGTGGTAACGGGCAGGCTGCGGAGGCAGGCGAGCACATCGCTAGCAGTGCCGCAGCCAACTTGGTTCACCACGTCGTTCCCGCGGAACTGACGAGCAGCCGCGATCGATGGATAGACAAATTCTGGACCATGCCCTCGACCCGACAGGATGATCGCACGGTGAAAGAGCCCAGTTGCAGGAGGAGAAGCAAGAATGTTCTCCACCATCTGAGCGCCCGCCGACTGACCAGCGATCGTGACCCGGCTCGGATCACCGCCGAACGCCTTGATGTACTTCTGCACCCATTGCAAAGCCGTCACCACATCGCCGACTGCATAGTTGCCGCGGATCTGATCGTTGTACGCAAGGAACCCCAGTGTGCCAAGACGGTAGTTCAATGTGAGCACGACGACGTCGCTGCGACTCGCCAGGTTGCCTCCGTCAAAGGTGTTATCCAGACCCGTTCCTGAAACGTAGCCACCGCCGTGGAAGAAGACGACGACGGGCCTCAGCGCGGAGCTGTTGGACGCCTCGGATGCAGATGGCAAGTAAGGCGTGAAGATGTTGGTGACCAGACACTGCTCAGAGTAGGCGCCGTTGACGTTGTCCTGCGGGCACTGTTTGTTTCTGCTCGTGTCAAGGGCGTTGATGAGGCTGCTGCCGGCAACGCTTGGGTCGAATGGCGTCGAGTAGGCGAATCGCTGTACCGGGTTGGCGTACGGCACGGCCAAGAAGCGGAACGAGAGCGCGTCGCGGTAGCCGGTATACTGGACATTGTTGCTCTGTGTCGTGACTTGCCATTGTGAGCTCGTATTGGTGGTGTCGGTGGTTTGCCAGGGCGCCCTCTGCGTGCACAGGGCAGGAAATCTAGCGCTGCTGCTCGGTCTGGACACTGTGAAACTGGACCCGCCGCTGTTCAGAGTGAAGGCGTTGCCATCAGCCACCCAGTACGCCTGCGAGCTCGGATAGGTGCGGCCAAAGATGAGGTAGTTGATTTGCGACTGCAAACCAGCGTCGGAAGCTGAGGATGTCGGCACGAGGGCTTCGCCGAGATTGCGGCAGCTTGTAGCAGCTTCGCTCGCGGTGAGCGGAGTGGTGAGGAGCAGGTAGCCAGGCTGGCGAGTTGAAGAGGAAGAGGCCTTGTTCCAGTCAAGGTCGTTCTGGTAGAGCAAACGCACGCCACTGCCGAAGGAGGAGATCGGTGCTGCTTGCGCGACCAAGGCTCCAAGCAGAGCGCAAAGGACCGCACAAAGACGAACGGACCACAGCATTGGTGCAAGCGGAGACCACGCTCTACCGGTCTATACGAGCTGGAAAGGAAGGGCGAGGGATGGATGATGGCGAGCGAGGCATCTTGTCGGATGGTGGCTGCTTATACCCCTCAAGGGCACAAAGTGCAAAGGCACGCTCAAGCGTCAATGACAGCATCGGAAGAGAGCTGCAGACTGCGCCGTCTCGCGCGGACAGACAAAGCCTTTGGGGCAAGACCACTTGGTCCGCTCGACAGGGACAGCACCAGGCACCGCAAAGGAGGAAGGGTGAGTCGGAAAGCCGGACCAGCACACACTGCTGAGAAGGCAGGTTGGCAGGGCGACATGTTGCACGAGGCACAAGGTTTGCATTACCGTAAACGGGGACACGTTTGTCTATTGTTTCGTGGTTAAGTGAAGCCTCGGCGCAAACAAAGGACTATGGCCAACGATGAGTCAATGGGGAGCGGGCCAAGACAGTTATGGGCCGATATTGAAGATCAACAGAATGCCACGGCGTGTTGTGTTTCTGCGAAGGTTCTTCGGCTCGAGCAAGTGAGCTCGCTTAAGCATTCGAGGCTTGCTCGGTGTTGGACCCTGCTCGGTTCGAGGTCGTCGATCGTGATGATGAAGCTCAGTGTCGTACAGAACCATGTCTCGACGACCACCATGCAAGCCATGGTTGAGTCTACTTCCACACGCCCGAGCTTGACCTCCGAATCGGAAGAGCAAGCGCTGAGCATGATCAGAATCAATCTCTGCACCTGCACAAGGGCGTTTCGCCATGTGATGATGTTTTGCTGCACGCCGCCTTTTCCCGCTGCGCTGTCAAAACACGGAACGCAGAAATGGCGGGGTCAGATGTAAGACGCCAAGGCGGATCTCAAGCAGTTCATGCATTACAATAGGCGCCTTGCCTTTCTGGCTCCGCTCCCGAGTCTATCTTCTGACAGTCGAGGTCTTGTCTGCTTGCTGACTCTCGTCATTGATGTGGTAGCAGTCCCAGGGAGCAGTACAGTCGGACGGGATACTGCAATAGACCACACGACAAGAACCTTGCGTGATGCGTGCTTACAGACCAGTTGCAGCTTGCCAAAAAACAGCATTCCGACAGCCGAACGCGCCGGCAGCCGAACGCTACCGGCGCTCTTCGACCAGCATGTGACAAAACCAGCATGTGACAAGCTTGTAACAACAGCGGTTCTATGCTCTTCGATGTCATCTGAAACGATCGCAACGGTTGTTTGCGATCTCGTGAGGGCGAACCGGGCGTCGATCGGCAACCCAAATGACCCAAGCAATCTTAACTTGCAAGCAACTCGAGAAACCTTTACCTTTCAGCGAACGGACCCATCGCATCAAGCTCTTAAGCTTGCCGAAGTTTGCTCTGCTGATACAGCAGCTTCGTATGTGTATGCTTTTGAGAGAAAGCGAGCGAACAACATCGAAGTGAACCCGACTGAGCTCTTCTTGTTATGTCCGGGGACCACGCTTGGCATTAGATCTAACAAATCAGAAAAAGGATCCTGCTTCAGGGTCCAGGTGTGGCGTCAGATCTGACGCGGCCTGTGCTGAGCAGCTGAGCCATGCATGCGCAAGCTCAGAGCCAATACCCGAGCCAGGGGCATGGCGAGCTCGAGGATTTAAAGCTCACTCCAGCTCGACCTCGAACGACATCTTGACTCAGTTGCTTGCTTTTCCTTCTTCTTCCTTCATCGCCCTCACCGTATGCAGCGGCAAAAAGTGTCTCTACAACAGACCGAGTCAAACACAATCAATATGCCGGAACGTTCGACCGGGCCAATGATGTTCATCGGCGAGCGATGCGCTTTCGACGAATGTCATCGAGAAGACTTTCTGCCTTTCAAGTGCAGCGACTGCCGGCAACACTACTGCTCTAATCACTTTCGACCGCAAACACATCGATGCTCACACTACAACGAGTCCGACGTCGACTACCGCGTGCCGCTGTGCCCCATCTGCGACAACCCACCCGAGGGCTGGAAGCGAGACCAGGATCCCAACATTGCCATGGACCGTCATCTTTCCGGTCAGTGCCCCAAGCTCGACAGCAACGGATACCTCAAGTCGAACGCCTCGATACCGTCTTCGGCGCCACTCAAGCAGATGAGCAGGGCCAAGAAGCCGAACGAGTGCTCGTTCGTTAAGTGTACCAAGATCATGGTGGTGCCCATCCAGTGTCCTCAATGCACATCGTCCTTCTGCCCATCACATCGTGCACCGAATCAGCACAGCTGCAAACATGCTTCATCGTCGTCCTCACCAACAGCTTCATCCACTCGTCTCGCCGCGAATGGAGCTTCAGGCAGCGGCATCAAGAGCGCCTTCCAGAACCTCAAGATCAGCAACACATCCGCAGCAGCGCAAAAGCCAGCACCAACAGCAAAACTTAACACATCAGCACGTCAAGCAGCCACTTCCACCTCAAGCACAGCATCCGCACCCTTTGGCAAGATGTTTGACAAGTCTCAAAAGTGGGTCCCCAAGCCAATCTTTGGCAAGGCTTGATCGGCGCAGCAGCAGCAGAGATACGCTCACCTTGTGGCGATTGGTACGCCTTGCCTCCAGATACACGCCTGCGTGGCCGACCCCGTGCTGTTGACTGACACCGCCTTCTGCCCTTGACCCGTCAATCACTACAACAGACGAGCAAAAGCAGAAAGACTGTCAGCCATACGAGCAATGCAAGCTCGCCAGCAGAAAGGCATCCTTTCCGAAGCAGACAAGCTCAAGCTCGCAGAGGAGATGGCGGCGCTGTCCAAGACGGAGCGTATGAAGGCTTCCGATTCGGACTGCGTCATTATCTGATGCGCTTCGACCGACCTTTCTCCAAGCTAGATGCCGATCGATGTGTATGCTCCGAGGAGCGAGCTCGGTTGCAACAGCCAAACGGCATGGGGCCCCGCCGGACAAATGCAAAAGACGCAGATGGTCTCAAGGCGGATACAGTAAGGGCGGCAGATCAATTCCGGTAACGCAGCGGGCACCCCATCATACCACGTTTAATGTGGTTCGGAGAGGGTCTCTCCACCGAGAAATGCACCACTCGAGAAGCCAGCAGAGCCACAGAGTTCCTTGACTAGGACTAGGACGATGGGCCCTCTCGGAAGGGCCCCAACAACGACCCCTTATACCCTTGTTCGTCGTTAGATACCAAACACCGTCGGTTACTGTTGGTGCTTTCCAGCCGGCGGGGTTGACCATCTGCTCCAATTTACTGTCGGTCTGGTCGGCTAACGATCAAACTCCGAAATACGCGTATTGCGCCCCCGAGTCGGCGGCGACCATCCTATGAGCGGGGCGAAACCTGCCTTATTTGCCGACAAGACTAGCTTGAAACACTCTTCAACACTCTTCAAAGTAGTGTCTTAGCGAAGGGTCCGACGCGATGGCTCGCTTAGCCATGGTGGTTGCCCCGTCAAACCTACGGGCTTGACCCTCCTTCCCCAGAACCATACCGGAGCACGCCGCACCATGCCCTCTGGTCGATAGGCCCGGCTCACATTCGAAGGAGGCCAAGCAAGGCTGACACGTCTATATAAAATCTTGGCCGCTTCAAGCCGGCGGTATGAGTCCTTCCCTCGACCCCTCTCCCAACAACGCTCCTTTTGCAACATGAGGTTCTTCTCTCGAGCTATCGTCGTGCTTGCGACGGCCGCCACTGTGGCCCTCGCTGTACCCATGCAGAAGAGGGCACAGTACCCTGACCCCAACGACGACCCTTTTTACAGGGTGCCAGCCAACATCAACACCTATGCCAATGGTCAGGTGATCCAGTCTCGCAGTGCCACCACCGACATTGGCACGCAAAACAACGCTGCGTCCTTCCAGCTTCTGTACCGCACCACTGACACGCAGAACAACGCCACAGCCAGCGTCGCCACGGTGTGGATCCCGAGCAAGCCGGCGTCGCCACCCAAGATCTTCTCCTACCAGGTGTACGAGGATGCTACGCAGCTCGACTGCGCCCCGAGCTACAACTACCTGAGTGGCTTCGACCAGCCGGGCAAAGGCACTGTCATCACTGACACGCCCATCGCCATCAGCTGGGCGCTGCAGCAAGGCTACTATGCCGTCTCTTCGGACCACGAGGGCTTCCGATCTGCCTTCATCGCCGGCTACGAAGAGGGCATGGCCATTCTCGATGGCGTTCGCGCCTTGAAGAACTACAAGAGCCTGCCTAGCAACAGTGCCGTCGGGTTCTACGGGTACAGTGGTGGTGCGCATGCCACAGGCTGGGCCGTCAGCTTGTCGGGTGCCTACGCCTCGGACCTCAACATCATCGGTGCCGCCTACGGAGGCCTGCCCGCCAGTGCTAAGGACACCTTCCTGTTCCTCAACGCCAAGAGTCCCTTCGCCGGTTTCGCCATTGCTGGTGTTTCGGGTCTGGCTCTCGCGCACCCGGATATGGAGGCTTTCATTCAGCCTCGTCTCAACGCACGCGGACGCCAGGTGCTGCAGCAGATCCGAAGTCGAGGCCAGTGCATCGGCCAGGTCTCGACCGGCTACCCGTTCCTGGACACCTTCTCGCTGGTCAACGATACCAACCTGCTCAATGAGGAGCCTATCGTGAGCATTCTCAAGGCCGAGACGCTGGTGCAGAGCGAGGCGGGCTACACGGTGCCTGTTCCCAAATTCCCCCGCTTCATGTGGCATGCGCTCGAGGACGAGATTGTTCCCTTCCAGCCAGACGCGCAGTACGTCAAGGAGCAGTGCTCCAAGGGCGCCGATATCAATTGGAACATCTACCCCGTCGCAGAGCATATCTCGGCCGAATTGCTCGGCTTGGTGCCTGCTCTGGCGTGGTTGGAGACGGCGTACGCGGGACAGGCTCCGCGCGTCCTCTGCGGTGTCGGTGTGCCCGTGCCTCAGCCGTCGGCATTCACCGTGCTCGGTGACAAGCTGGCACAGCAGTTCAAGAGCCTCGCTGGTCAACAGTCGGCTTTCGGCAAGACTTTCCCTAGCATCTAACTTGTCTGTTTGTCGTCTCTCTTTTAACAATGGAAACCGTTTTCTGTATTGCACATCTCAATCGTCGTAGACGAGCTGTCGAAAAGTGATGCTGATGCGGGGAGTCTTGACCTTGAGCTCCTTGGGTATCTCGTGCGTGTAGAACTTTTGTGTTTGACCTTGCATCACCAACAAACTGCCACCTGCCAGCGTCCATCGTTTCTTGACCATCTCCGTATCAGAAGCGGCACCGGCTTTTTTGCGCGGGGACTTGCGTTGCATGATCCAACTCCGATCTGCGCCCAGACTGACGGTGACAATGACCTTGTTCTCGATGTTGTCGGCGTGTTTGCCGATGTAGATGCTTCCGTCGTCGTAGCGATTGAGCATGCAGTGGTTGAAGCGCACTTCTTCGCCGAGGCAGTCGGGTGAGGAGAGGAGCGAAGCGATGTGGTTGAGCAAGGGAGGGAAAGGTGCATGCAGCTCGACAGGATGACCGCTGTACTTGAGGTGCAGACCAGGTGCCGTGGCGTACGCTGCGATTTCGCGACTCTGCGTGATCTCGCGTCCGTAGACTTTGAGTTTCGGTCGATACCATTCGGGTAAACGATCGAGTTGCGAGCGCCACTCCTCCGCGAGACGGCGAGGGATAAAGTCGGGCTTGTAGTAGATGTCTGCGTCGGGGAGGTCGGTGATTGCGTAGGTGGAGCAAAAGTCAGGGCGGGTCACCTGATGGAATGGTCCTCGATGGTGATACTTGGGCGCGGCGGAAGGTGCGGTTGAGACAGAAGTGGCTTCCGTTTTGGGCCGCTTCTCGTCCTGTATGCTGTCGTCGTCCTGTGCTGCTGACTGTGACCGTGTGCGTTTTGCGACGCTGCTGTCCGTCTTGGTTGGCGGAAGACGGTTGCGTTGGGCGCCAAACTTGACGTTGAAGAGGGTGCTTTGGAAGGTGCGCTTCGTTGGGGAGGAGCTGCTCGCCACAGGGCTTGTTGACGGCGCTGCTGGCGGAGACGGTGCGAAAGAGGTGACTGGCTTGACCATCGCGTAGTCAATGCGTTCGATGCCTTGTCTTTTGCTATGCTTGTTGATGCTGTCGTCGGTCGAAAGGATAGCGCTGGTTCGACCCACAGCTTTTGCCACCACGTCGGCTCGGCTATTCACCGCTGCGGAGGTCAGGGTCCAACCTGTTTTCGTGTGTGGTGAGTAGCCGGGCCCGATCTCAACTCGAAGTCTAGTTCCAGAATCGGCAGATTTGAAATCCGGACCGCGTTTTTCGCCGCGTCGTTGCAGAAAGTGAGATGCAGGTTCACCTTAGATCTTCTTATCGTCGAACAACCTTTCTCGCCGTTCGAATTCGTCTTGCATTGTGGCTCGTCCTGCATTCTGACTTTGCCCATCGGACAGTCGATCATGTATCTGGAAAAGCGATCTTGATAGCATATAAGATGCAAAGCTTGCATCAACGAACGTGGGCTTTGTTTGACAGCCCCTGCTTGTGGGCGAAAGGACCGGCGAAATTGGCTGGCCCACTTGGGTTTTGGAAAAGTGGGCTCAAGCTCGGGACTGCGCCGCCGGTGGATGCGCGGTGGATGCTCGGTCGAGCCAATTTCTGTTTTTCGCGACTTTTTTGGCGTGTTGGGATCGACCTCGTGGGCGCAAATTGCAGTGGCGACAGTCAGGGTCGAGCAGAGTATCGCCTCACTTAGTAGGTCGAGGCTGTTCACACCAAGGTGCGGTCGACTGATGGGGTCTGCCATGAAAGCTTGGATCCAAACGAGCGACGATGAAGGAGACGACGTCAGAGACGTCTGCGCAGGAGCCACTTTGAAGGTGGCTGGTATCAAGTCGGGCAAGCGAGTCAAGCGAGGCTAGCACTTGAGCAGTCCGGCGAGTTTATTTTTCCCATGGTGCGGTGCTGCCCGTCTGCGCAGGTGTTGGACTTTCTTGACCGGCGTGGCTGAATTTTTCTTATGTTTTTGGAAGCACGGTCCGTTCGAGCGAGAAGAGATCTTATCGGTCCATCTCAGCTCCGCCGTCTGCAGTTGCAATTTTTTATGAGACGCGGTCTTCTCAAAAGTTGGAAGAGGCAAAAAAAAAAAAAGTCTATCTGAGCGCAGCCTAACTCAGAGTGGTGAGCTGCGCCTTCTACCTGGTGCTGCTGTCATTGGGTGGGCCTCAATCGATTCTTGCTCGGCGCCGCGCTTTCTTCTACATCACCTCACGCTCACCTCCTTCCTCTTCGCCACGACCATCCATCCATCTCACAGGACCATCACATATCCAAGATGATCTACGCTCCTATCGCAAAGACTCAGCTCGAGTGGTACGCCTCGCTCAACCCTCTCGAGCATGGCGTCGACAACAAGTTCTTCCGTAAGACCTCGATCATCGCCACCATTGGCCCCAAGACCAACTCGGTCGAGATGCTCGGCGCTCTCCGACAGGCTGGTATGAACATCGTTCGTCTCAACGCTTCCCACGGCTCCCACGACTACTTCAAGTCGGTCGTCGACAACGCCCGCGCCGTCGTTGCTCAGACCCCCGGTCGTTCGCTCGCCATCGCTCTTGACACCAAGGGCCCCGAGATGCGAACCGGTGTCATGGTCAACGGTGAGGACGTCAAGATCCCCCTCGGTCACGAGTTCTACGTCACCACCGACGACGCCTACGCCGAAAAGTGCAGCCTCGAGTACCTCTACATTGACTACAAGAACCTCGCGCAGAAGGTCGAGGTGGGCCGAACCATCTTCATCGATGACGGCATCCTCTCGCTCCAAGTGCTCGCCATCGAGAGCGACAAGCTCGTCAAGGTGCGCGCTGTCAACAACGGCGTGCTCTCGTCCAAGAAGGGTGTCAACCTGCCCATGACCGAGGTCGACCTCCCTGCCATCTCGGAGAAGGACCGCAAGGACATTGAGTTTGCCGTCGAGCAGGACCTCGACATGATCTTTGCCTCGTTCATCCGCCGCGGCAGCGATGTTCGCACCATCCGCGACATCCTCGGCGAGAAGGGCGCACACATCAAGATCATCTCCAAGGTGGAGAACCACCAGGGTGTGCAGAACTTTGACGAGATCCTCAAGGAGTCGGACGGTATCATGGTCGCTCGTGGTGACCTGGGTATCGAGATCCCCGCTCCTCAGGTGTTCATGGCGCAAAAGATGATGATCAGCAAGTGCAACATTGCGGGCAAGCCCGTCATCTGTGCTACGCAGATGCTCGAGTCGATGATTGTCAACAACCGACCTACGCGTGCCGAGGTTTCCGACGTTGCCAACGCGGTTCTGGACGGAGCGGACTGTGTGATGCTTTCGGGCGAGACTGCCAAGGGTGCGTACCCGACGGAGGCGGTCAAGATGATGGCCGAGACGGCGTACCTGGCCGAGCAGAGCGTGTCGTACGTGCCGCTGTTCAACGAGATGCGCACGCTCACCACCATCCCCACGGACACCAACGAGACGATCGCCATGGCCGCCGTGGCTGCTTCGCTCGAGCAGCACGCCGGTGCAATCTTGCTCATGTCGACCTCCGGTAACACGGCCCGCCTTGTCAGCAAGTACCGCCCATCGTGCCCCATCCTGGTCATCACGCGCAACCCTCACACCGCCCGTGACGTGCACTTGTACCGCGGCTGCTACCCATTCCTCTACCCGCACGTGCGCCCCGAGGACAACAGCAAGTGGCAGGAGGACGTGGACAACCGCATCAAGTACGGTCTCGCCGAGGCACTCAACCTGGGCATCATCGAGAAGGGCGACGTGGTCATTACGCTGCAGGGCTGGAGGGCACAGAGCGGAAGCACCAACACCATCCGCATCCTCAGCGTCCCCGAGAGCGCCCGCGACTTCAGGCTCGAGGGTACCCAGATCAACTAGACGTCTCTCTCTCTCGCAAAATAAGTTAGAGGCGGTGCAGTCTGTCTTTCGTCGCGGCTCTTGTTTCGCAATCACATTTGGTTCTTCAGTTCAGTTGCAGTTTGGCCTTGTTTGGACGAAGAGTGTAAACTGAGTCGTTGCCGAAAGGGACGAGTATGACGAGTGACGAGGTCAAAGACTAGCAGCCTGGAAGTACGCCATCGCCGAAGCAGACTAGTGGAGGGGCTGCTCGAGGAGCAAGACGGAAGGCGTCCACGCGGAGAAGCGGCAATCAAAGCATCAAGACGGAGGTCCCTCCCAAGTCACCAAGTCGGCTAGATAACAAGCCATCCTTGCAGATCAAGATAAGATTGCGTGCGGACCGGTGAAATGTGACGTCGGTCATGGAGCGGTCTGCCGGTGTTCTAGAGGAGAGTGCTCGGGCAAAGGAGACAGGGGCGGTAGGAGGATTGGCTTTAGGCTGTGAAAGGAACAGACCGGGATCTCGTGGGAGCGGTCACAACCGGTACTACGCTCGGTAAATCTCAAATTGTTAGGATCGCTAAGCTCACACTTTCCAAAAAACCCTCTCACGGTGGCTTCATGGTCTTTGGCCGTGACAGTGGCGGTCACAGTGGCGATGGTCTGAGAGTTTCGACCCTTTCTGATCTCACATTGCCTCACTGCGTCACTAAACGGGGCCAAGCTGGGGAAGCTTTGACCGGAAAAGTCGGTTCTTCTGACGAGCGACGGGTTGAGCCGAAGACGCACCTCTGTTTGTTGGGGGTCGGAGCTACTTTTTTTTTCTCCCGTGACGCACACAGCGGGCGATACGCCGGTTTTTGCTTTGCCTCGCTTAGGAAAACTTCGCACCAAACGTCCGTCAAATTGTGCCACCGCTTTCTCTAGGTCGCTTGGCAAGAAGGTTGGCCTCTTTTTGGGCGAAAGGAAAGCTTGCTTCGCATTGACCGGTCTCGGGTGCCGGTTGGGTCTTTGCGAGGGTCGTGTGAGGTTGGCTTCTTGGAAGCGGGGCATGTGATGCTGGCTTGTGGGCTGGTCCAAACGCTTTCGCAAGTGCCACCCTCGTCGGCTCATCCGACCTTTCCTGGTCTTATCAATGTTGGCTGATTCACGTCTACGGCGTCGGATGCAGGCGTCGTTACAGGTGACAGAACAGGGTAGCGGCGTTCATGAAAGTCGGTGCGGATCCGCATGGCGACCCAAGCAGAATCCATGGTTCAATTGCAGCGGAGTCTCTCTGCCCGCTGCTTCCAGCTGCAATGAACGAGGGCTAAAAGTCAAAAGGTGCAAACTCACTCGGACGTCCGGAGGACCCTGTCGTCGCTTTCTTCTGTCTTTGGCAAGGTTGCGCCCGTGCCTCTCAGCTTGTCTTGGCGTGTTCGCAAAGTCTGTACAGTAAAGCGGTGCTCGAGCGGCTCTCCGGCTCGCACCTAGCTTCGACGACCGTATCTGTGTGGCGCAGTGATCGCGAGGAGAACAAGATGCCGGTTGATGCAGAGTGGTTTGCTCATGGCACTTATGCAAACGTGATTTGGCGGGGGAGACTCCGATGCGTGGGAAAATCACTCGTCAATCACCAACCCACCTTTGCAGCCTTGGCCAAGATGACTTTAGAAGGGATTGTCAGTGCAGTCAGGAAGAAAGCGAGATTGATTGCCGTTGCACCTGAGAATAAGATTGCCCCAAGGACCGGTCAGACGTGGGCCGATGCGAGCGAGTGAGCGAGTGAGCAAACAGCAGTCTCCAAACAAAGTTTCTCTCCCTTGCTGCACTGCAAACCTTTTTTCTCCTTCTTGGCTGGCTATCCAGGGTCCTGGCTCACTCCCCCGCAACGCCGCAAGAGAGTATATAGTCCACCCCTCGCCTTTCACCTTGGCGCCGTCGCCGACTGTCATCCACACCAACCCACTCCGTAGTCAGCCGCTCACCATGCTCTACGCGCTTGACAACCCCCATCTCTCGTTCTGGCAGCGTCTCGCTGTGCAGCCCTACCCAGCCAAGCCTGCCGGTCTCCCCGTCGCCGACTGGGCCTTTGAGCTCTCCCTCTCCCCCTGGGTGCCCCTCCTCACCGGTGTCGTCTACCTCTTCGCTACGCACGCCACCAACCACCGTTTCGGCCCGGGCAAGCCCAAACCCGCCGATCTCGTCAAACAATCCTACGGTCTCTCCCAAACCGTCCTCGGTCACAACATCCTCCTCGCCGTCTACTCGGGTTGGACGTTCTTCCATGCCGCCACCCGCATCTTCTCGTACCTCGTTGGCGGTGCTGTTTCCGGCGGACTCTCGGGTTTGACCAACGCCTACTGCACCGTCCCCATCGCCGACGCCTCCTTCGCAGGGCTCGGCATCTACGTCTGGCTCTTCTACATCTCCAAGTACTACGAGATCATCGACTCGGTCATCCTCATTCTCAAGGGCAAGCCCGTTTCTAATTTGCAGAGCTATCACCATGCCGGTGCGATCCTGTGCATGTGGGCGGCATACAGGTACTCAGCACCGGCCGTGTTCATCTTTTTGCTCTTCAACTCGTTGGTGCACACGTTGATGTACACGTACTACTCGATGACCGCCATGAAGCTCCCCTTCACGGGTGGGTTGAAGAGGAGCATGACCACGATTCAGATCACCCAGCTCGTCGTGGGCTGTGGTCTCGCATCGAGTTATATGTTCTTGACCTACAACCCGACCGCATACCCCAAAGGGGCGAGCCCAAGCCCCGGCCGCCACGTGCTCAACCCCGTTGCTGCTGCATTCAGCTCGTTCGAATCAGCGTCGAATGGGACCAGTGCAAGCAACTGGTTGCCCAGCAGCAGCCAAGAGGCCATGCAGATCATCAAGCAGACCGTCCTCGCAAGTGTCAAGGGTGGAAAGACGGAGTGCGTCGCCACTTCCGGCCAGTTCTTCGCCGTCTGTCTCAACGTGGCCTACTTGATCCCGTTGATCTATCTGTTTGTTAGCTTTTATATCCGGAGCTACCAGAAGAAGGCTGCTGCCAAGGGAGGAAAGGCGCAGTAGAGCACCATCGCATTGCAGGCGCCTCACCGATCAGCTCGGAGTGGCGAAGCGATGCTCGGCATCCCAAGTCTCATCATCATGTCCGTTCCATCCATGCGTCCGTTTCCAGAACCGTCATCTTGCGTCGCATTGTAATTCTACCCATTTACGTCTCACGCCGCGATGGAGTGTGGTGCTTCCTGTTGAGCACGTATGACCGTTTGCCGGACCTCTTGAAGCACAAAGTAGTCGGGGAGATGTGAGGCTGAACAAAGTGTGTGAAATGCGAGATGCTAGTGTACAAAACGGAACGGTGCCAAGTTATGCGAATGCGAAGAGGGTCGACTTGCTGTAGGGTGCTGTGGGGGTATATAAAGGTCCATGAGCCGGGTCTGTGTGGATCAGATGATGCCCAAACTGCGCAAGAAATGAGCCAGATGCGCAGCGAACCGCTCCGCGATCCAGTTGACCACCGCGTCCAGTCCCCAGAAGGCAAAGCCTTTGCTGAGACTCTCGACCTTCCTCACGGTCAACACGGCGGTTCTGCCATCCTGACCGATGTTGTGGTTGATGCCGTGTCGTCCGGCCTCCAGCAGTCCATCGATCCATTCGACGTCCGCTTTGTAGTAGACACTGTTCCATCGTCCACCGCGTTCCGCGGCAGCGACGAGGAGGTCGCGTCCGACATTGTACCCATCGCGATCGATCGTATGGTGATACTTCAGATTTTTCTCCTTGCTTACCGCCAGGAACCACGCGCCCGTATTTGCGTGCGTCCCGTTCTGCTTCCACACCCGAAAATGGTTTCCCCCATACAGACTTTCCCAGCACGCTCCCACCCAACGTCCGGGTGCGCCCGGAAACCCCGTTTCGCGATACTCGAACATCTCTGGTGTCCAACCCTTTCCATCGCCCAAGTCGGCACGTTGCAGGTTGCCCATGTGAAGGTTAAGACACTCGAAGCTGAACCCAATGGTGCGAATGTAATCTTTGAGGCCGAGGTCGGAAAGGACGTGTGCGTCGGAGTGACCCGAGATGATGACGTTGATGGGTTCACGCAAGCCGTTACCGACCAGGTCGAGCATCGAACCGCCATGAGTTCGGGGATCGAGCCAACCAGGGAGGGATGGGTCGCCGGTGCCAGGGGAAGAGTCCAGGTCGAACGCGGAATAGACTTGGGGTTCCGAGAAGGACGCGTTGTACGTGAGCAGGTCCGAGACGGTTATGGAGGGGTCGTTGAGGTCGAGTGACTCGCGTGTGGAGAATGGGAGCGGAGGGGAGGGCAGTGTCGGCTCCAAGGGCTGCCATGGCATCGCAGAGGTTGCCGGGACGATGGCGGCCGCGGCGGTTGCGAGGAGCGTCGGCAGCAGACGCATGATGGATGGTGGGGATAGGGACGGAGAGCCGGGTGTGATGCTGCGGCGATGCGATGATCGGTCAAGTCGGGTGAGATGATGCGATCGTAGGTGGTTCGGTGAGAAGATGCGATGGGTTGATGTGCGTAGGGGGCGGATGACGATGCGGGATGATCGTGGAGGACAAGCTACATGTGAATTGCCGAGGTGACCGATATCGAGTCGTGCCAGTTCTCAGCGCTAAAACGGCGTCACTTTCAACCGGAGAATTCGAGCAGCGATTGCGGGGTTGGCCATCAGCCCCTTTGATTTCACTCGTGCGAGTCACCCTTTTGGCGCGTGTCACATTACTCCACCTACGCACAGCCCTCCCCCTCCTCCTCCTATCTCTCCACCACCATTTATACTAACAATGTCGACCTCAACACCCGAAGAGCTGCTTCGCAACGCCGAGAAAAAGGCCTCGGCGACGTCCGGTTGGTTCTCGTCCGCGACCTCCAAACTCGAGGAGTCCATCGACCTCTTCAAAGCCGCCGCGAACAAGTTTCGCATCGCCAACCGGTTCGAGGAAGCGGGCAACGCCTACATGCGAGCTGCCGAGGTGGAGCTCAAAACCGGCGAAAAGGACTATGCGGCCAACACGTTTTTTGAAGCGCAAAAGTGTTTTAGGATGTCGAGGCCGGAATTGGCGGTGGTCGCGCTCACCCGAGCAAGAGAGATCCTCATCGAGAGGGGGCGATTCAGACAGGCTGCGGATCGAGAAAAGGCGGTCGCGGAGCTGTGGAAGGGCGAAGGGGCCGATCCGGAGCGGGCGCTCGAGGCGTATGAACAGGCGGCAGCATGGTACTTGCAGGAAGGGGCGAATGCGACGGCGAGCGGGTGCTACAGGGAGGCAGCGATGCTCGCCACCGATCTAGGAAGGTTTCCACAGGCAATCGAACGGTGGGAACAGGTCGCCAGCATGTCCCTGGAAAGCAATCTGACGAGGTACAGCGTCAAGGATTACTATCTCAATGCGGGCATGTGCTACCTCGCCATTCCGGTACGTTGCACACACCCTCTCCCGTCTCGTTCATCCTCGTCTTGGACTAACACTCTCTCCTTTTTGGAAAATAGGACTACGTGGCCGCCGTACGAGCGATGCAATTCTACGCAGAACAGGACCCCACATTCCCGACGACCATGGAGGGCCGATTCCTCCACTCGCTCGTCCAGGCGTGCGAAGAGGGCGACCTGCAAGCCTTCGACGGGCGCGTCCAGGAGTACGACCGAACCAAGAAGATCCAGGGCTGGCAAGCGTCCCTCCTCCGAGCGGTCAGGAAGGGTGTTCAGGACGAACCAGATCTCTCTTAGCTCTCACTTTCCCACCATGCAATCTCCCTTTCTCACGACGACACGGGCTGGAAAGAGTGTGAAAATATGCCATTGAGATAATCAATACTCGAGCTCGCAAGCCAGCGCCAAGAAGGCTGCATCGTCATCGACGTCTCCGAAGCTGTCGTCGGAGGAAGCGGGTTGGCCAGCGCGCTTCTCGGTGGCTCTGACGACGTTTCCCGCCGCGGCTACACGGGCGTGGATCGCGGGCGGGCGAAAGGGCGCTGCTGGACCCACACCGCCCACCGTCGCAGACTGCGTACCGGCAGCCGTTTGGGAGGGTGCGAATTGCGAGCAGCTGCGCGGCAACCCCACTTGTCGCGCTTGCGACATTCCGGGTGGCAGCGGATGTGTGCGCATGCGCGAAGGCGTGACTTTGAGTGGCGAAGGCTTGGTGTGTGGAGAGACGGATTTGGACAGGAGCGAGGGACCGCGTACGCCGAGCTTCTTGTTGCTCGAGACGGTCTGCTGCCGCGCTTCGATCCGAGCGGATCGCTTGACGGGGGATGGCTCGGCAAGGGGAGCGGGCGCAGGCTTGACCGGTTGCGCGCGGGTCGCAGACGTACGGGCTGGCTGTGGTGCTGGTGCACGAGGTGCGGCTGCTGAAGGTGTGGATGGAGCATTTCCTGGTTTGCTTTCGAGCTGTGCTGCTGATCGAGCCTGTTCGATGGTCGCTGCGGCCGCTTTGTTGTCGCGACCTGCCGATCGAGCCTGGTGCGCAGCTTCCGCAGGGACGTTGATGGGCCGTGGCTGAAGTGGTCGCGTGGGTGTATGCCCAGCCGGTCTGAAGACATCATGGTCCGACTTGACTGGACGCAGACCTCGGCGCGGTGTCAAAGGGTCGTCTTTGACCACGGCAACGGCTCCCTGGGCCTGCTGAGATCCATTCTGGCCCTCCTGCTGCGACAGCTGCGCTCGAGACGCGATCGGTGCCGAGAACGTCCGATTGATCCCTTCCCTCGGCGTGAGCCCGCCTCCTTCACTGCTTCGATCGAATGTGACTGTGGGGCGCAGATTCTCAATCTCCGCCGATCCGCTCGTCGACGGCCTCGGTCCATTCTGCATCCCCTGTATCGCAGCCTGTAGATCCTCGAACAGCTTCAGACAGTCCGTTGCGCCGCCCGCATTGTCTGTGAAGCCGAGCCCGGCGATGAACGACTCCTTCTTGCGTCGGCGTGGTGGGCGTCGATCCTGCCTTCGATGCGAGGCGATGCTGGCTTGTGGGTCCTTCTCCGTGGCAGCAGTGCGGGTGGTATTGCCACTGTATTGCGACGGTGACGATGACCGCAGCCTGCCCGTGTTGCCTGCATCCATGGTTCGTCTCCGTCTCGACTCGGGTGACGACTCGCCCGCATCGCCGAGCAGCAACCTTCTCGGTCCACTCGCTTCCGCATCGTCCTCATCGTCATCGGTGAGATCGATAGTGATGTACTCCCGTGCCCGGCTCCTGTTGGCGCTGGGATCCGAAACGTGTCGACTGGCAGTACGCGGTGTGTCGAGCAGCTTTTTTCTCTTTGCTGAGTCCCTGCCGATGAGCGGCGACTGTGCCTCGAGCGCTCCTGGCAGCTTCTTGAGCTCGCCAACGAACGCCTGCGTGCATAAAGGTAGTGTTGGTGACTCTTGACTCTTGCTCGGCGTCCAGTTGGCGAGCTGGCGGAGGACGCCGGGGGAGGGCGAGGCATGCCAGAAGACTTTGGACGTCGAGGGCTGAGAGGAGGACTGCTGTGAGGAAGAGGGACCGGCTGATGTGCTCAGGTTGAGCGAGTCGAAGAGCTCGGACATGGCGACCTGGGTCGGACCGAGGATGGAAGAGGTCCGAGTAAGAGGTGAGAGAGGGTGCGAGTCGATCCTATGGTGTCATGGTCGAGCTTGGATGAGAGTGCAGAGATTCCGGGGGTGGTCCCTCAGTGGTGGTATACGAAGCGAGCCCGGAGAGGTGGCGAGGATGAAGAGAGCGGAAAGATGAAAGGGACGGCGGGTGATGGATGTGATGCAAGGGAACAATGAGGTGAGAGGCAGAGAGGCGAAGCGACAAAAGATGCACGATTCGACCCTGCAGCCCGCTTACCGCGCGAATTTTGACCTGAGCAGCATGCACTCTCTCGCGCGGCCTTCTAGAAATTCATTAGCTTCATCTAACACGCACACGGTCGAGTCACAGTGATTTGTCTCGAGAAGTGCAAAGCTATCATGTACTTAGGCTCATCGACAATCACATCAAAGCCCGTCTGAGGCTCGAAGATAAAGCCAGATGGAGGCGATCGAGTCTCAAGAATGTTGATCTGCAGTCGAGAGGGTCGACAACCACGACGCGCGGAATTCAGAGACCAACACTTTTCTTTTTCGCTCCAAAGTGTTACACCGCCGCGCGTGAGCTCGCGGAGCGGAGGAAAAGGTCACGCGAGTGTGTGTGGCCTTGTCAGCTCGCAGCCTTGCCTCCTCACCATCGTCCCGACGTTGAACATGATGGAGCAAGGAGTGCTTCTATTCCACACTGACTTGTTCTCTGTATCTTCTACAGGATCTCAGCTCCTGGACAGGAACACTTTCTTGTAACACAGCTGGTGAGGCGCACCATCTTCGTCGTACCTGTCGCCTACAGGGACGTACCCCAATCTAGAAGAAGGAATGGCAATTTTGTATCAAGGCAAGGTGCAGGGACAGGTCAGCTCTCTTAGTCTCGAGTTCGTTTTGATGTACTTTCGATGTGGACGTACTTCTTGTAAAAGTCGATCACATAGATCTGACTGCTGAGCTTGATGATGATGCTATCGAGTCTCTCCTCGTCCGCTGCTTCTGCTTCGTGTTCTGGGCCTTTGAGCGATGGTCTGGGCCCGAACGCTCCCTGCTTGGCCACCTCGTCACTGCTCAGCATCTGCACCAACCAAGCTTCCGCCTTTGTGACTAGCAAATTGCCTAAACCCTTCCCTCTGGCCTCCTTCATCAGCGCCAGACGTCCCAGCTTGGCGCCGCCCATCTCGGGCATCTGCTCCTCGGTCTCCTTCTCCTCCGCTTTGGTCTGCGCTGGATCCCGCGCAGCAGACGTCGGGTGCGGGTAGTGCGTCCAAGCGGCGCTGATGAAGTCGCTGGCGATCGCGGACTCGCTGCGACTGCCGCCGAGGGGGAACGACGAGGCATGGTCTGGTTCTGCTGGTGGCTCGTCTGGCTTCGGGATGGGTAGAGGGTACGGCAGCAGGCGAAGGGTGCCAATTGCAACGTCGGGTTTGTTCTTGCGGGTAAGAACAAAGTGCGCTGCGAGCGGGTCGTACTGATCGATTTCGTCCGAGAGGTCGAAGCCCTGCTCGCGAACAAAGACCTCGATGCGCACGTCGCAGGCGCCGCGCAGCTGCGCACTGGATGTGCACAGCGTCACGCTGTATTCGTCGTCGTGTGTGGTGCTCGGCATGTTTGTTGGTGGTGTGAAGAGGTGGTGGAGGACGTGAGAGAAGGCTTCGCATGCTGGTCATGATACTTGTAGCCGGAGGCGAGCCTGAGTCATGCGCCTTTTGCAGATGTCACTTTGCGGAAAAAGTGCTGCATTGCCGGGGCTGCCAGAAGAAAGGCTCGAGCCACGCGTCAACGAAGACCAACACCTTTGCAGTCCAAAATTTAGAGCTCGACGATCTTCCTTTTCGTCATCCTTCTCCCTACCTACCTTGTCGCCGTCACTGCAGAGCAACAATGTCGGTGGTTAACGTCTTTATCCACGCGCCCTCGACGCTTGTCTCCGCCGAGCGTCGCATCCCCTCCACTATCCGGCTGCACGACCTCAAGTACCGGCTCGAATCGATCGTTGGCGTCCCTCCCTCGAACCAGATCCTCGAGATCCACTCTGCGCGCACCGACCATGAGCAGCAATCCACCCTCCCGGGTCCTTCGCCATTCGCCTCTTCCGTCCGCTCGACACTCCTCACCGCCATCCCGCAGAATTCTCCGTTCGAGGACCGAACACTAGAAGACCTTGGCGTGGTCGACGGTATGGCGCTCAAAATCCTCGATACTCGCCCCAAGGAGCTCATCCAGACCTACACAGACGAGAGCCTCGTCGAAAAATACGTCATGGACGACGACACGTACGCTGCGAGACGGGATACCGTGCTGGCGTTCAAGCAGCGGAACAAGCTCGGCAGGTTCGATCCGAGCAAGGATGGCACCTCGAGCACCGCATCCGTGGAAATCGACGTGCCCGAGGGGCTCGAGGCTGGGGCGAGGTGTCAGGTGGATCTCTCGGGCACCGGGACAAATCAGAGAAAGGGCACGGTGCGGTTCGTAGGCATGACACAGTTCGCAACAGGCACATGGGTGGGCGTCGAATACGACGAACCCGTGGGCAAGAATGACGGCTCGTAAGTACACCCCTTTGAAGCGACGGAGAGGCCATCGCTGACCCAAACTCCATCTCACTTTGGTATGCGCAGCGTGGCAGGCGAACGATATTTCACATGCAAACCCAACTTTGGCGGATTCGTACGGCCAGATAAGGTCCAGGCCGGCGACTTTCCAGCAGACGACTTTGATCTTGAGCTCGACGATGACGACGAGGAAATGTAGAACCAGCACCACACGGGAAGACGAAGCGTGTGCGATCACAAAGCAGCGTAGATTGCAGATCGGAACAGCACCGTGAGGCGCATTGATGACATGTACATCTTTTGAGGTTTTCGACGGTCAACGAGCACTTACAGAGACGTGGGAGCAATTCGGCCCTTGCCAACGCGACGAAGCGACACGTCAGAAGAGCCGACTTGTTCGCAGGAAGCGATGCGAGCAGTCTGCAGAACGCAGTCAAGAAGGGAAAGGGAGCAGGAAAGCAAGTGCAATAGTGGAAGGCACGGGAAAGGCAAGAAGAGAGATGTTGGTTGGTCGACTGCAGGTCATGAGAGCGCAAACGTCTGATCGGAACGGATCCCGCCCTCCAAAGCATTCGAGCAGACATACCCATGATGGCTGATCGTGGCAGCAGTAGCTGTCAAGGGCGTCATTGTAGCCAGGCGGGCACACGCAGACGCCCATGATCTTATGTGCCTGTCTGTATGTCGAGAAAGACTTCTGCCGAGAGCGGAGACAAGCGGCTACCGAGGGCTGCAAAGAGTCGGTCGAGAGGGAAAAAGACGGAGGATGAGCCAGACGAGTCTGATGCAGGAAGGAAATGGAGCAAGTAGGGATTGCTGTTGAGAGTCTCGCTGAGCCTAGCGGCTTGACGCGATTTTGAAAGGCGCAAACGTGCTTGATGCCTTGAAGTAGGCTGGTTCTGGGAAGCAGCGTGGGCGTGCCACTAGTGGCATCTGTGAAGCCTGCTATCGCAAGGGAGATCGAGAGAAGATGATCGAAAGATGTGAGCGTCACCGAAGGAGCGAGAGCGTAATCGAGGCGTCTTTAAGGCGTAGGAGACCACGGCTCAACCCAGCTTGGCCTGCACGAAGGCGTCCGGAATGCTGTTGACAGAAGTGAAGAGCGGAAAAGGAGAGGATAGTCAGCATGATGTCAAGCAAAGAAGCGTGTCGATTGCGGATGGACTTACTATTGCGCGCTGATGGGCTTGCCACCAAAGAATCGCCCGTTGAGGCCATCGAGTGCCTTTCTTGAACCATCGAGATTGGCGAAAGTGATGTAGATCTCGCCGGCCGAGTCCTTCTCGACGTGGATGCTGGAGACAGGTCCGTACTTGGCTTGACACTCGTCCTTGACGTCCTCGGCGAGATCCTTGTCCCAGTCAGGCTCAGTCTCTTCGGCCGGGTTGAACATGTTCTTAAGGAGCAACGACGTCGAGGTCGATTCTGGGATGCCGGCTGGACGCTCCTGCGTCGTCGTCGCGGCTTCGGAGGCTGACGGAGATGGCTCGTTGTTGCGTGCGAGCTTCTCCATCAGAGCGGCTCGTCGCTCTGGGTTGAGACCGGCACCTCCGCCGTCGTCGAAGGCAGACGTGAGCTGCGGAAGGTGTCCGCCGCCTTCCGACTGGCCAGAACCATTCTGGTACGATGAGCCTCCGCCGCTTCCCTTGGCATTGACGTTGCCCACCCTGATAGCGCGTCCGGCCAGCTCGAACCCGTTCATCTGCTCAAGCGCCTTCTTGGCGTCTTCGGCTTGCTTGTATTGGATGAAGCAGAAACCTTTGCTCTTGCCCGTGCCCGGTTCGCGGTGCAAATCGACGTACTCGATCTCGCCGAAGGGTTCGAAGACGGCCTTGACGTTTTCGTCGGTAAGACTGAAGTGCAGGCTGCCGACGTACAGCCTTGCTTCGGTGTTGGGCATGCTGGGACCGGGACGAGGAGCTCGTGGTGCCGGAGCTGCGGCATTCAGGTGGATAGGTGCGCCAGCCATGTGATACTGCATAGGCAACGGAGCGTTCGCCAGAACATGAGGGTCGAGCTGGGTTGCTGCCACGGCGGGATGCGGCGCCATGCCATGACGCTGGGCCGCATCGCCGGCACCTTGCGAAGCACCACCGTTGCGAGCAGCATCAGTCCTCTGCACAACAATGGGAATGCCAAAGACGATCTTGCCCGTCAAGTCCATCGCTTTCGGCACCAGCTCGCGAGCAGCAAACTCGACGTAACCGACACCTTTGCTTCGGTGCGTCATGCGGTCCATGACAATGCGCACATCTTGGACAGCGCCTTCGCCCAGGTGATCTTCGAAGAATTCGCCCAGGTCGCGCTGACCCAGTCGAGCCGAGAGCTGACTGCAGAAGACGGAGCGCTCTTCATAGTCATCGATCTCCGGGCTGGGAGTGCGACGAGATCGAGTCGAAACGGATGGACTATCGTAGTGACCGCCGCGACGTCTGGGTGGAGGGCGACGAGCGTCATCTTCGTAGCGGCTGCCTCGTCGGTGATGGCCGCGGTCGCCTGCGCGGTCGTAGCGTCGGTCATCGCGTCGGTCACCGTAGTAGGAATCGTATCGATCGCGGTCGGCACGGCTGGATGAAGGAGCAGGACTGGAGCGGTGGCTATCAATCGCTGCAGAGGCTTCCCTCCGGTCGCTTCGACGACGGCGTCGTTCTCGAGCGCGCTCCTCGGCGTCGTCGTCGTGGTGATCTCGGTCTCGTCGAGGAATGTCCTCGCCTCTGCGTCGCTTCCTGCGCTCTTCCGCCTCTTCATCCGCTCGTGACACGCTCTTCCTCGAATGGTGGCTGCGTCTGCTGTATGCGCTGTCCCTGCTGCGGCTACGACTACGTGCGGCGGATCGAGCTGGAGAAGATGCGCGCGAAGAAGCACTCGAAACGGAGGGTGAACGCTTTCGTCCCCTCGAGCTGTCCCCATTGACGCCGCCAGAACGAGAGGCTTGAGCTCGTTTGCGCAGCTGTTCTGCCAGCTCCTTCTCCCTGGACCGGGGTCCTTGATCTTCGTGACTCGATCTGGGGGTGCTCCTTTCAGTCTCGACATCGGAGCTGCGAGATGGACGGCGCCCACCTCGTCGATTGCGTGCCTCCTCCAAGTCTGCGTACATCGCGGTGGCTGTCCGTCTCCAAGACGGGCAAGAGAGTTGGCAAGGTGTGGGGGATAGGAATGTGGTGATGGTGACGACGGAAGATGGGTGCGCAGTCGTTTCATCGAATTTGACAATTCAAAGTGCGGGATTTCGACATCACGTGACTGCCAAATTTAGGCCATGAGAACGCGTTGTCGAGCGAGAGTGATATGCAGGCCAATTGACCCTGCAGGTTTTCGAGGTTGGCAGAGCAAGCCGACCAACACTCGTGTGACCCAAGGGTCTGGTGGCTTCTTTACACCATCCACTGGCCTGAAAGATCGCGATGTCGAGCACATGATCTCTCCTTCAACCATAGACCAGCTCCAAGCGGAATGGATTTCACCGCCGCATACCGGCATGCCTCGTGGCGGTGCATCGCCTTCTCTCCAGGCTCGACTTTCCTCGCCTCGGTCACCGGCGAAGATGCATGCTCGATCGTCGTGAGAGCCAGCTCGACGCTGCAAGTCATCCGCACATGGGCACTAGAGGCATCGATCAGCGCACTCGAATGGTCGCCCGATGGAGCGTTCCTGCTGGCAGCACATCCTGGTCAGAGGGAAGATGGCATTGTCTTCGTCGTGTCGCTCGACCCAGCTAAGGAAGCCAACGACGGCTCCGACTCGGGCTCAGGTTGGGTCGCTCGCATCTCGTCTGGCTCCGACGGTCTCTCTCACGCGACATGGGCGCCGCCTTCCGGTCCCAAGACACTCATTCTTTTCAGCCAGAACCATCTGCGAGCCTCGCTGTACAACCTCGTCGACCAACACATCTCGGCTATCGAGGGGCCGAAGCACGATAAGATCGCCTGGGTCGCCAAGCAGCCCAATTACTTTGCAAGCATTCTCAAAGGGGCCGAGCGCGACTCTCTCTACGTGTTCTCGTGCCAAAGACTCTCACACAAGGATCTTCAGAGCTTCACAAACAAACCCAAGTCGGAAGAGATGTGGAAGGCGGAGCAAGGGTTCCATCTCGCCATGAACGACGCACATGACGTACTGTGGGCCCCGGATGGAAGCTGCTTGGCGGTGTGGGAAGGACCACTAGAGTACAAACTGCAGATTTACACGCCGCTTGGCGCACTCCGAGCCACGTTCCTCATCGAGCCCGATTCGGACACCAGCACGCCAGTCACACGAGCAGGAGCCCTGGTCGAGCCTCGACAACCATCGAAACGACGCACAGAAGCGGCTGATCTAGCCAGCGTCGTAGCGGGTGGCGGAAGCGGCATCCGCCAGGTCGAGTGGCATCCATCTTCGCTCTTCCTCGCGGTCGGTGGAGGAGACGAGAAGGTGCGGATCCTCGAGAGCTTAGAATGGGAGGAGGTGGCCTGTTTGGACCTTTCGAGCTCATCTATTCGTGCAAGCAGAGAAGCGCCATTTATGCCGTCGTATGGCCCACTCATCGCATGGCGAGAGCCACTCAGCTGGCTGGAAGAAACACGAGCACGCGGCATCGTCGGATTGGAACAGGCCAGCCTGCCCATTTCGCTGACGGCGTCCAAATCGGACACCCGCAAGCCAGGGTCGAGACAAGGCATCGCATGGATGGCCTGGAGTCCGCAAGGCAACTTGCTAGCGGCATTCAACGAGCGACTGCCGCACGCCGTGTGGATCTTTGCCCTCGCAGAGCCTGGCGAAGGCAGAATGCTTGTCGGATCGCCACGCCTTCTTGCGGTGCTGCAGCTCAACAGCGCGGCTCGAAAGGTCTGCTGGCGACCGGGTCACGTCGGCAAGCTCGGCGTTGTGTGCGACAATCGCGCCGTCTACACCTGGGAACTCATCCCATCGTCATCGAACGAGTACAGGCAGAGAGCGGAGGCGATCCCAATACCCAACGACGACCTCAAAGCGTCACAACTGCAATGGTCACCGGATGGACAGAAGATCTTGCTCGCGTCCGACTCGCTCTTCTGCTGCGCCTTTGAGGCGGGCGAAGCGTGAACCCTCGGACGTTGTTTCACTGTTCCGCATGTAAAGTAGCAGCTGGCCTCAAGCTAATGTATTCGTATTGTGCTGATCTCGATGGCTTTACAAGAAGCCTCGACCTGTGCCTCGAGCCCAGACCTGGACTCGACCCGTATTGGAGCCGACTGATGCACCGCCGAGTGCCGCGCTTTGTCCATCGGGTGCGATGCGATACAGCATAGCCTTGGCGCGGTTTGGACAGGGTGTTTCGATCGCGAACGCCTGCAATGGCGGCGTCGCTGTCGGCCCTTTAGCTGGAGGAGCACGATTCGATGCGGGCAGTGCACGCGCCAACGACGGCCGCACCAGAGGATGGACCGTAATCTCGCCATCGCAGTCCCTCGCTCGTCCGCTCGCAAGCTCCTTGACTTCCACCCACACATCTGCTCTCTGCAGCACATTGTTGAACAAGCACTCGTCGACGGGATCCGAAGCGCCATTCTTGCTGCTCGAAGTCGCATCGGAGTGCATGAGGGTGATGACGCTTGCGTGATACTTCGTCGCAAGAGATGTCACCGAGCTGAGCCAGGTGGTCAGCAGCCGAGCAACGTCGATGGGCTGGCCGGAGGGGTCGTGAGGATCCAGGGACCATGCTAGAGCGGTCAGGTCATCGATCACTACCAAGCTCCGCGATGTCCAGTCTGCCTCCTGGTCCTCTGTCGGAGCTGCGTCCTGGAGCTGTTCAGCTATCCTGACGTACAGCTTGCGAAGCGCTTGTTCCGCCGCCGATCCTGCCTCCTGAACGTTCATCGCAGCGACGCCGCCTGCCAGACTTTCTTCCGCAGCACTGCTGTCGATCCAGCAGAACGCCCCATCTCGAATCTCTTCGTCGAGATGCACCGCCGACTTGCGAGTGATGTTCTTGAGATGCACGAGGCCGTCCGAGTTGCAGCCGAGCCAAATCACCTTGGTATGAGCTTTTCTTTTTCCCTTGCGATCCGCGATGGCTGGAGGTAGCGTGGAGCGACTAGCTTTGTTGATGACATTCGCAGCTCTGAGAAAGTGTACGAGGACGAAGAGAGCTGGCGAGTCGATGGTGTCCGTGACGAGGATGTGCGACGAGCATGGTGGGATGGGCGTTCTTTGCTTTGTCGACGACGGGCCGGCGCCATTGTTGCTGGGGAAGGAGAGAAGCGTACCGAGATTCGGCATTGTGAGAGCTCGATCGCCTGGTGCGCTGCGGAAGCCAGCTATGGAACTAAGCTGACGGTGTCGAAAGCACCTCTTCCATGTTCGCAAGAAGAACCTACACGTGTGAGCCAACGGTAAAAAGTTGTGGAGGGATCGTCCCGATTTCAAAGTTCGTACCCGATGAGCCAGAACTCCGCTCGTAAATAAATTTGGATAAATATATATGTTTTTGGCCTGCACGTGGACAAGCTTTGTCGCCGAAGGTCCAAGCCAAGGACGAACGTGGACAGCCTTGGTCCGACCAGCCCAAACGCTGACAGCTCGCCCCTATCTCAGCCTCCTGGTGGCGGTATCTTTTCAGTCACCTTGCACTGGCAGTCGAACAGTTGCGCATTGCAGCTCTATCGTCTTCTGACTAGACCAGTGGGCTCACTGCGATTGCCTGAGGTCGAGCGCACCATTCGATCCGCATCTCACCGGCAGAGCGCGGGGTGCAGGAAAACGCCGGCAATTGTGCATGGAAGGGGAGAACCCTGAACAGGTCGATTAGCGCCGCGCCTCTCTCTGCATGGCTGATCTTCGACGCTGCCGGCAGAAGTCAACGTTCTGCTGCTGCTCCACAAGCCTGCCGACTGCGACGTGGACAGTCCGACATGTCAACGTGCGCTCCTTTGGCCTCCTCAGATCTTGTCCTTGTGTGTCACTTTGCTCGACCATGCCGACGGGTCCTCGCCCTCGCTCGGCACCAGAATAGCTGCTGTGTCACGTTCGCTTGCTCGCAGCCCTTCTTTCCGAGTGTTGTTCTCCCTGACTGTGACTGCTGCTGGTGGGATTGTCTGCACTCATGCAGGGTCAGCCGTCGCATTCCGTCGTTGTCATCACAGAACGCCGATCCGGCCGTCGGAGGAGGTCAACAATGCGCCATGCACATAGCGATGCGCTTCCTCGTCTGACTGTTCGCGTAAACGCGAGCGTGTGAGCGTCTCTGCAGGTGTGTGACACTGTGCTGGAAGGCAGAGACGCAAACAGCAGCCTCAAGTGGCAACCTGCTCCATAAACCTCCTTTCCCTACATAGCCGCTACTCCTCCGCTCACCACCACCTTCCTCACGACTCTCACGACATTGATACCCACCCTTTCGTCCCTCTGCGCCACCCCTGCAAGTCGAAAGGCAACATGTCGCAGCCTCAAGTAACGCCCATGGCCACGGTCAACGACCTCGTCTCGGCCTACCCGCGCGACCTCAAGCGTCCTAAGCTGCGCGTAGCCATCATCACCGAGAACTTCCTACCCAAAGTCGACGGAGTCACTCGAACGCTCGCCCGTCTGCTCGAGCATCTCAACGCGGAAGGTCACGAAGCCATGGTGCTTGGTCCCGAAACCGGCATCCGTCACTACGCCGGCCATCCCGTAGTCGGAACCTTCGGCATCCCCCTCATCATCTACCCGGGTCTCAAACTCAACTTCATGCGCCCGCGCTTCGTTCGTCGTCTGCAACAGTTCAAACCGGACATCATCCATTTCGTCGATCCCATCTGGCTCGGTGCACAGATGCTTCCCACAGTCCAGAAGTATCTGCCCGAAGTCCCCTGCGTTAGCTCGTACCATACGAACCTGCCTACGTACGCGACGCTGTTCGGTATGCCTTGGTTGGAGAGGACGATGTGGAACTTGACCCGGAATCTGCACGATCGGTGCGAGATGGTCTTCTGTCCTTCCGAGACGACGCGCCGGATGTTGCGCGGCAAAGGGTTCACCAACGTGGAGATCTGGTCGAGGGGGGTGGATACGGAGCTGTTCAACCCGCAGGCGAGGGATGAGAATCTGCGCGAGAGCTGGGGATGCACGCCCAAACCGGCGAGTTTGCGATTGCCGTTGAGCCCGAGTGTGGCGGCGGCGGATGCGACGACGATGTTTGGCAGCGAACACGCAGCCTTATCGCATCTGGCAGGCAAGTTGGGGGTCAAGATTGTGAGGAAAGAGGGGGATGAGAGCTTCATTCGAACTCCACCGACCAACCCGGTTTCGCCAGAGTGCGCCTTCACCCCTCCTCCGGCGTACGACGACCTTACCGGGCTGCCGGATCTGCCGAGCGGATTCCTTCTTCCTCCTCCCGCACTGCCGGCGTCCACACTCACGGCAATCCCACCGACGCTGAGGGTCAGCCCCGAACCGGCTTCAAGCAAAACAGTCGTGCTGTACGTCGGCCGCATCAGCTGGGAGAAGAACCTCCGTCTGCTGATCGAGGCGTTCCACCTGCTCCCCACATCGGTGCGCTCCAAGGCCAAGTTGGTGTTCGTCGGCGATGGACCGGCGCGCGGCGACCTCACGAGGTTGTGCAACAAGCTCGAGCTGGACGCCTCGTTCATGGGGCACCAGAAAGGTTCCCGGCTCGCAGCCATGTATGCGAGTGCTAGTATCTTTGCCTTCCCGAGCTTTACCGAGACGTTTGGGCAGGTGGTGCTCGAGGCGTTGGCGAGTGGATTGCCAGTGGTGGGCATGCATGCGGAGGGCACGAGTGATCTGGTTGTCCATGGAAGGACGGGGTTGTTGCTGGACGTGAATGCTGTTGCCAAATCGGCGACGGTGGGTGGGAGTCGACCGGCGACGCCGGGCGCTCCAAAGAACCGTGGTGCTATCGCAACCGAGTTCGCCAACGCAGCATCCAGTGCAGCTTTCAACCTCCCCCCCTCCCCCTCGTCCCCTTCCAAACCAGCTCAGACGCAGGACCAAGTCGGCCTCCCTACCCCCATCCCAACCACCCTCGACTTCAAAGCGTCCATGACCCCCAACACGCCCTGGTTCCAACAGTGCGCCAAATCCTACTCGATGCTCCTCGAGCGTCTCATCCTGGATCGTCAAACGCGTGCGCTCATGGGCCAACGCGCCGTGCTCACCGCCTCCCGAAAGACGTGGTGGGACGCCATGGACGCCCCTGTTCGCGGCTACGAGAGCGTCATCGCCCAATGCGGAACGACCAACCTCAACGACGACGAGCTCGAGGCATGGCGGAACAGGCAACGCCGCAACGCCCCTCTCACCGGTCCCCGCGTCAAAACCGCCATCGCCCTCCTGGTCCTCCTGTTCGCTTGGCTCCTCTCCCTCCTCTTCCACTCCAAGTAGCTGCCTACCTATATACCCAACGTATCACGCAACCCAACGACAAGACCTCAGAACTCACGCAATACCAATGACATCTATGAAAGGCAAATTGTTCTATTTGAGAGCAAGACCTACATGAGTAACGCGACAAAGTTGCTCGGGAAAGTGTTGGCGCCGTGCTTGCGTCGAGCCTCATCCAGCAGCTCGCCCTGCCACCACCCGTCCGCCTCGGTGTGCGTCACCGCGATGATGTCGCCCGTCGTAAAGCTGAACTCGTCCGGGTTGGTCGCTTGGTAGTCGTACAGCGCCTTGACGTAGAACAGGATCGGTTGGCCCGCGTCGCTGTACTGCCCGGTGGGAGCGTGACCCTGCGCTTGCGGTGCCGCGGGAGCCGGGGCGGGAGCCGGGGCGGGCGCGGGAGCAGGACTGGTGGCTCGTCCCCACTGCTGCTGCCCGTAGTGCGAGGGCGCTACGCTCGCCGTGCTCGGCTGGTGAGAGTGGCCGACACCATTGGGGGCGCGTTGCGGTTGGGTCTGCGCTGGGGGCTGTTGTTGCTGTTGCAGATATTCGTGCATGTACGCTGACGCTGGTGTTTCCTGGCCCGGGTACGGAGCTGGTGGCTGCTGCTGTGAGGCAGGCGCGCCGTAGTAGCCTTGCTGTGCGAGCGCAGGTGCTGGCTGGGGTGCCCCCGCGTAAGCGCCCTGCACTGGCGCCGGCGAGCCACCGTACTGCGAGCCTTGCGCCAGTTGAGACGGCACACCGTGACTCGCCGCTGGAGGCTGGGGCCCTTGACCGTACCCAGCAGGTGCATAGCCTCCGTACTGCTGCTGCTGTGCTGGCTGCCCAACGGTCGAGTACACGGACGGTTGCGCAGCGTGACCCTGGTAAGACTGACGAGCGTCGGCAGCAGGCGGCGCACCTTGATAGCCGTACGGGTTCTGCAGCTGTGGAGCTGGAGCAGCGCTGTACTGACTTGACACAGAGGGGTGGGCCTGGTGACGTGGCGGCTGCTGCTGCTGGTAGTTGGCGTGGACGACAGAGGGTGGGCGAGCAGGTTGCTGCGCCGCCGCGGACGCAGGTCGCTGCGGCGGCTGCTGCTGCTGCGGTGGAACGCTGCCCGCCCTCCTCATGTAGTCGACGGCCATCTGGTCGTGAGTCACTGAGCCTGTGGCATCCAGAGCAATGCCCAGCGGTGTGGTGCTGCGAACGGGAGGCGCGTTCGATTGTCGTCGCGAAAGCGTGCCGCTCTTGGGCTGATCCGTGGACGGTGCTGGCACTCGTGGAGACTGAGCTGCTTGCTGCTGAGGGTGCTGCGACTGCAGCTGCGTCGTCTGCTGAGGTGGTCGAGACCACGGCTGTGGGCTGGGACTTCGACCTCTGGCTCCGACCCCAGCAAAGCCCTGGTCGTGATGCTGCTTGGTGGGGCTGGGCGGTACATTTGCTGCCTGTCCGCCTGCACGAGATGCAACTGAGTTCTGGCGAGAGAGCGACTTGCGCTCGCCCGGGAAGGATTGCCCGTACTGCCCGACCACGTCCTCGACTGGCAAGGGCGACGTTGCGCGTGCGGGAGCCTGCATGAAGGCGGCTGAGGGCGAGCGAGCGCGAGGTGGCAGATTGCTGGCCATTGATGGCGCAGGAGAGTGGGCTCGATGCTGAGGAGGCATGTTGTGGACGATCTGACCTGGTTGAGCGAACGGCGCAGGCGGCTGGGGTTCGACGTCTCTTTGCGCTGGGACGGGCGACTTTCCGCCAGGACGCATCCGCAAGCTGGCGAGGGCCTTGGCAATGGGATCTTCGTCATCGGCAGCACTAGCGGCCGGCGCAGGACGAGAGGAAGCAGGAGCCGCGGCCTGCTGCGGCTCGGCCTCGTATTGTCTGTGCGACGGCTCGCCGGATTGCTCAAACGGCTGAGGAGGGACGGGCTTGTCTTGGTAAGCACCGTTGCGCGAAGCTTGTGTTGGCTGCGTGGCAGGCTGCAGTGGCTGGACGGGCTGTGCGGACTGTGGCGGGAGAGGCGACGCTGCCTGCGATGAAGGTTGTGACTGCATAGGTGACGGCTGATGATGCTGTTGCTGTTGCTGCTGATGCTGCTCTTCTTGCTGTGGCGGCTGTTGCGGTACGGGAAGCTGCGTAGGACGTGTTGTGTTACGTTGGAATCTAGCTGTATGGTAAGTGGGTCGCGCAGGAGGTGCCTGTCCCTTGGCGTAGTTGATGTACTCGGGAGGTGCAGGGATGAGCGAGCCCGTACCGCAGTACTGAATGAAGAACTGCACGTCGCGTGGGGTGTCGACATTCTCGAGGCTGACGCGGATGCGCTCGCATGACTCGTCGTCGGCCACGCAGACGGCTGAGACGGCATTGGCAAAGTTCCAGAGGTTGCTCTTGGTAAAGTCGATGCGCTCCTCTTCCTGATCCTGGCACTGATCGAGATAGGCCTTCCACTCGGCATTCCACTTGACGGTGGTGTCTCGGAGAGCGCGCACAAAGTTTTGATAGTCCTTGTCGTTCTGACTAACGGTGGCCTGGGCCTTGTCGAGCTTGTAGGCGACCTTGTCAAGGTCCTTGCCCTGAACGAGACTGCTCTGGGCGGTGTAACCGTTGATCTTGATGCAATCCTGCTCGTACTTTTCGCGCGACTTGTTGACGTAGCTCTCCTGGGTCTGCTTGTGCTTGTGCAACTTTTCGATGTTGGCCTGTGCCGCTTTGCGCGAGTTCCAGCTCTTGTTGGCGAAATCGGTGACGGCGCCCTCGAGGTCCTTCTTGATCATGGAAGCGAGGTCGCTGTGGGTGCGGGACGTGGTGTCGAGCTCTGCCTTGACGACCTCGAAGGCCGCTTTGAGGGCGCCTGTCTCGCTGTAGCCAAGTGCGGAACGGGAGAGCTTGGAGAGTCGCTTTGCATACTCGGCCTCGATGTCGGCGCGTTCCTTGTAGAGCGACTTGAGTTCGTCGAGGGTGCGCTGGGACGCTTTCATTCGCGCCGAGATGGCTTCAAAGCCGACGTCACCTTGACCCCAGAAAGCGTTGCAAAAGGAGGTAGTCTCTGCGAGTTCGCGACGGATGTACTCGTCTTCTGCGGCGATGCGTCGACCGGCTTCACCACCGTCATGACCCATGCTGTCGCTTGCGCGTTCTGCTCGTGAACGTGAGCTGTGACCTGAGCCCGCCGAAGCTGAGCGACGGTCGGAAGGCATAATGAAGAGCAGTGCGTGTGTGCGCTTTGACTCGATGTGGCTGAGTTCGGGATGGGCTTCCGGCCGGAATGAGTGGTGCCGCGCGAACGGATCCTGCGTATGTGATTATAGAGAAGGGCCGTGCTCAGCTGTGCTTTGAGCAAAAGATGTTCGGATCGGATGCTTTGGCGATGTCTTGACTCAGAAGATAGGCAAGTCACGCGATAAGGGCTGTGGTTATCGGATCGATCCGACCGAGGGGTCTGAGAGCAGAAATTCGAGGTGGGACCAGCGCTGAGTATCGTTGGCCAACTGAAGAGACTGTGCTCGACGTAGGTGACGTCAAAGAGAGTATACGCAACCGAGACTAGGGAAGGTGATTAGAAGCGAGCAGACTCAGTTTTGTAATGCTGAGGTACTGGAAGATTGTGACGATGACGAGAAGAGCTCTGTGGAGTTGATCTGACGGTGGTGGCCTTTGCGCACACACAGCAGCACAGGTTTCAGACGATGAGAAAAAACATCAACATGAGGTGGGCACCGACAGCAGCGGCAGCAGCAAAGCGCACAAATTTCGAGAAATTCCACAGCACAGCACAGCCAGATCAGCGACGCGTCTCTTCGTCATCTTGGCCCGGCTGCTCCCATCATCGCCGTCTTGCTTTCGACAGGGGCTATCGTGAGACCCCCTTCGATGTCATGCTACCATTTTTGGCGGTCAAATGTGAGATCGTCGTGTTCTGCCGACGAGGAACGAGAACGCATCGGCTTGGTTGCCGTTCTGGCTCAAACTCTCGGCATGATTTCAAGCAAAACGTGCGCGGAGAAGAGCATCTTGCAGCTTTGACTCTTCTTTCTGCGTTGAGCCCTGGGTCTTCAACCGTGCAGCCTTGCCGCCGGTTCACTCAGCAGCGATGGGCACCAAATACACATGCATACGAGCCTCGACACTCTTCTTTGCTCGATGTGATGCAGCAGAGAGCCGCCTGGACAGCAGTCTACAGTACAGGGCAAACAGGCCCATTTCATCTCGCAGGCCGGCACTCGCAAGGAAGCTTCATCTCTCGACAGACCCTTCTTTGTCACACGATACGCAAGCAGCAGCAGCAGCAGCAGCAGCAGCCCTCGTCCAAAACGCTTTTATTGACCTATTTTTCGAAAACTTAAAGCTAAATTTGGCCAAAAAATGCGACTTTTTTAGGTTGCTTTCAACAACACTCATCCTGCCATCACCGCTCGCCTTCCCTTCGTCCACCATCGCACCGTTCCTATCTCCACCCTTGCGCTCATCGGCAAACGCAGACATGGCTTCTCGTGTAGTCTCGAATCCGTCTCCTGCTGTACTTTGAATCTCGGAGTTGTGCTGTCGCAGCACTGCAATACCTCTGTCGGCACACTTGGCCGAGAGAATGGGTTCCCACGCATCGGCCCGACCGTAGACGCCAACGTCGGAGGATTCCGTTACTGAGCTGCTCCGTAGTCAGCTTCCATCCCAGAGCCAAGATTCGAAGCGTAGTCATCATGTCCGACGCAGCTCCCGCGCCTAGGGGCTCGGACGACGCTCGTCAGGCTGGGCCCTCAGGCACTTCGAGCCAGATCGACAACGGCGCGCAGAACGTGGCTGCTTCTTCGACGTCCGCCTCGCATCAGCACGAAGACATCGACTCAGCCTCTCTTGACCTCGGCCAGCCAGCGCTACCGCCTGCTGCTTTGCTACCAGCAGATGTGCCTCCTCTACCAAGGAGACCAGCTAATCGTCAGGATGCCCTCATGGACGACGCCTTGCGCTCTCTGCCACCCGCTGCAGAGCGCACCATTCAACGCCAACGGCCCCCTGCTACCGTACGCTCCATGTTCAACACTTCCATCTTCAGTGCTGGCTCTTCATCCTCACAAGCCGGTCCCTCCTCCTTCGCCTATCCTCCACCACCTCCAACAGCTTCGACCTCATTCCATCGCACAGCCACCTCAGCCAGTGCCAAAAGCGCCGCATCGATAGGCAGCAACTCTCAGGACTCAAATCATCGTTCCAGATCCAATCCGCTCAAAGCCGCCTTCAGCAGAGTTGCCAGCTTCGCTGCCCCTTCTAGTCCATCACCAAACATCGCGCCATCTTCGCCCAGGACTAGAATTCGACCTTCTCCCGTGTTCGAACTCTCTTCGGTTCAGAGAACCAAAGAAGCACGAAGAGCCGCTCGACGAGAGGCGAGAAGGCTCGAGAAGCTAGCACGCCAGGAGCGGGATGCCGAGCTTGACTTTGCCGATGACGAACAAGAGCGAGCCGGCTCGCACATGCCTCGTACATCTCCACGAGCCGCGCAGCTTGGCGACGAGATTGTAGAGCTTCCAGCCGAGCCTCCCTTGGACGTACCAGAAGCAAATGCTCCCACCGCATCGGCACTTGCCATGGCTTCCAAAGTGGGTCGCAAGCCCAAACGCAGACTTCAATTCGCTCCAGATCAAAGACGCGTCCGCAAGGTCGATCTGCCTCCCAGCTTCGAGGTTGAGGACACGTATCGAAATCTGGACGACTACGTCACAGCATCTCGAGAGCGCCGTAGAACTCAACGTGGACGTCGCAGCGCCAAAGGATCGCGCAGGGCTCGCTCACGACGCGGCTCTCGCAGCAGTCGTGCAAGTCGCAGCTCCGCCCGCAGTAGCGCAGGGTCCAGTAGCTCGAGCAGCTCTTCATCTTCGTCATCATCCTCTTCGTCTTCCAGCGGCTCCTCCAGCTCTTCAAGCTCGGGTAGAGGTATCACTATTGCACGCCTGCGAGCCTTCTTTGGTGACAGCTCCAGCTCTTCCTCTAGCTCCGATTCCGACGATTCGTCCTCCGGCTCCTCTTCGTCATCCTCGTCTTCAAACTCATCCAGCAGCAAATCATCAACTACAAGCGGCGCACGCTCACGACGCTCTTCAGCACGTCGTCTCTCCTTTTCAAATGTGCGCGGCAAGTCCCGCCGCAGCGCCAAAGCTCGTTCACGCGCCGATCAGTCCGAAGCTAGCGATATACCCGGTTCACCAGTCTCGAGTCGCAAAGGTCCTTTGACGCCCTACTTTGCCCCCTTGACCGACTTCCCGCGCGGCAAAAAGGCTGCAGAGAAGCGTCAGATCAAAAAGGCAAGGCAGGCCGCCAAGCGCGCAAAGAAGCGCGAAGCCCAGCTCATTCGACAAGGTCGATTGCCGCCCAAGCCCAGTCGAAGTGCTCGTGCCAAGGCTATGCGAGCCAAGGAGCTAGCCGGTGGAGTGACACAGTATCAACTATTCACGCCGATGAAGCTCCCCATGGATCTGGACTGCACCACGCTGTCCACCTTGGAAGCCACCCCGGATCCACAGCAGGGCACTTCTGTCGTACTCAAGAGGACCATGAGGACGCAGACTTGGGTTCAGGTCCGCAATCAGCTCTACGTCATGCGAAACTACCTTCGACAGGCCGATGTGCAAGGCGGCGACATGGGTCTTGCTCCCGAAGCAGCGTACCCAACGCTCCATCGACACCATCGCCACGCCGCCAAAGCTGCAGTCGAGAAAGCCCACCATCGAAACAAGACCGCTCATGAGAAGGATGGAAAGACGTCCCATCATCACCGAAAGACTCCCGTTCCCGAGCCAGTTACGAAAGCACCCGAAGAAGATGAGCTCGACCTTTTCGACGGTGACCTGGCTCTTCCTCCACCTGCCTTGGAATTGCCCGATGACATGGAAGAGCACGACCTCGTCGGAAGGGGCAGCGATCTCAGGCATGCGTCTTCCTCTCCAAAGCACTCGTCACCGGGCGGCCAACAACCGTCTTACATGGATTACCATCACAACCTTCCAGCCGACCAAGAAGAGGAAACGCGCACAGGCCGACATCTGTCCGACATCCCACTCAGCCCGAACTATACCACAGCTTTCGGCAGAGATTTTGGTCGCACTCCACGGATCTTTTCGCAGCTGCGAGCCTCTGGAAAGAAGCGCGCTGGGAAGGACAGCGCTTCCGCCCCTCTGACCTCGGATCCTCCGTCGGCTGGGAAAGAGGGCAGTCAAAACAGCACGACAAAAACGCCATCGGATGGCGACCCGAGCAAAGCGACCGCAGCGACGACCGCAGCGGAAGATGAAGGCGCATGGTGGCTTCACGTCCACTGCCCTACCTACAAAGACATGCACGAGATCTCCAAGCTCTTTCCCATGCATCCGCTCACAGTCGAAGATGTGCTGCAGCAGGACCCGCGCGAAAAGGTCGACGTCTTTGATCGACTTGGCTACTACTTTGTCGTCATTCGAGCCATCGATGAGCGATACTTCCGATATACGTCGACAAGCATCAAAGGCTCACCTGGCTCACCGAGTTTCACCGGGTCTGGATCTTCCAGTGCTACCGTCCACGGCGAGGCTGAGGCAAAGACGAAGAACGGCGAAGACAACGGACAAGACACCAAGTCTGAAAGCTTGGAGCTGCGTGACCTCGCTGACAAGACCGCGACGAGCCCTGAGGACGGACACTCGAACAAACACCAGGACGGCGGACATAACGCACGTCTCGCAGCCCCAGCACGGCTTGGTAAAGGTCGCGTCGAGATCGTCGAGGGTATCGGCGGCAAAGAGGGTCTCGAGGGCGTCAGTGTTGGTGGCAACAATCTCTACCTTCTCGTCTTTTCGCACGGCGTCATCTCATTCGCCTTCGAAGACGTCAGCAAGCACATCGATCGCGTCGCCGCCCGTCTCTTGGAGATCACGCGTCCCGTCGAGCTGACAGCCGACTGGATCGCGCACGATCTCTACGACTCGGTGGTCGACGCCTTCTTCCCGCTCATCTCGTTTGTGCAGTCGGAAGTCGTCGAGGTAGAAGATTTGGCGAGCGTGCCGGTCAGCAGCTCGACCAGCCGCAAGAAAAAGACCAGCTTCGCGCCCAAGCAGCGACGTCAACGAGCGTTGCTCGGCTCCAATCCTCAGGGCCGACTCATCAGTGTCGAGCCTGTCTCAGCCATGTCGTCACCCACGGTGTCTGAGGTGGAGAAGCGGACGCCGATGCTGGAAGTGCGTCGACTCAAGACGATCCGTGCGTTGCGACCGCTGCCGATCCTGCCTCTGGGCGACGGAATTCTCAATCGCCTCCCCGACTTCCTCGTCAAGCAAAAGCAAAAAGTGACCATCTCACGCCTACCCGAGTGGGAGTTCAAAGACACGCTCGAGGCCGAGATGCGACGTACGGCAGCCGAGATCGACGAGGCGAGCAACTCCGTGTTCGACACGCAGGCCGCCGCAGACCAGAGCATCATGCTGCACCGCATTGCCGACACGCGCAAGATCGTCACTGGTCTTTCGCGTCTGCTCGGACCCAAGAACGACGCGGTCAAGGGTCTTCGAAAACGACTTGCCGACATGCAGCAGCTGCAGCGGCGAGAAGAAGCGTTGATTGGCGGCAACTCGCGCAGCACCCTCGCCCGAACCGAGGTGAGCATGTACATGTCCGATGTGCACGACCACATCATCTCGATGCTCAACCAGCTCAATTCGGGCGAAGGCCGCTTGTCCGAGATCCACCACACCTACCTCGCTCAGATCACCATCGAGAACAGAAAGTTCCGGCAGGGGGCGGATACGGCGATCCTGACGCTCGCGAGCGTCGCGACGACCGTACTGATCATCGTGTTCATCACGTCGATCTTTTCGCTCAATGTGGCGCGACCGGGGAACGAGCTGGAGAGCGATCAGCACGCGTGGTTTGGCGGCATCGTCTTTGTCGCCGTCTGCGTGCCGTTTGTGCTGTGGAGGTACGTCAAGTGGCTGTACAAGGAGAGCAAGAGCCGTGTTGCCCGGGTCAAGGCGGCTCGTTGAGAGAATGCATTTCTTTCGCATCGCAGGGCTCATGCCCATGCCTTCACGTTGTTTCAGAATCATATTATGGAAAGGAATGAAAAGTCACCAAGAGCAGGCGAGAGCGACGACTGTGACGTCGGATGCCAATGCTTGCTGCTTGAAGACGAGTTCGTCAAACACACGAGCAGCACCGGCCTTTCATCTTCAGCCCTGAATCTGAAGTCGGAAGCTGGACCTGAACTTCCCAGCATCATCCTGAGTGAAATGCACGCTAGCAAAACGGTGAAATGCTTGTATTGAAGATGGCAAGACGTGATCTTGATCAACAGATCATGCGTGCGCTACGAGTGTACTAGAGCGACACCTTCGGGAGTGCGTTCGCCTTGCTATCCCGCAAAAGCGATTACCACGAGGCCTTGGCGATCTGGAACTTGGCGGCGATGAAGGGGAGGGAGAAGCCAAAGACGAGGAAGGTGGTGAGGCCGATGGCGACGGGCACCTTGCGCGTGGGGCCCGAGGGGAAGGGCAGCGACTGTTGTGCGAAAGCATCGAAGAGAAGAGGTTCGAGACGCAAGAGGAATAGAGTGTCACAGATCAGCATACGGATACATATGATCACAACATCTGGCAGCTGTCGGATGGCAGCAGCAAGTGTCGTCTGCCAGCAAGTCATGCGAGGGGCGGCTGCTATGTGCGATGCTCGATTGCTCGCTCTCTGGGAGGCTGAAAGGATGATGGAAAACTCACAGTCTCGGCGGTGTTGTCGACGTGGAGGTTTCGTCGGAGCAGGGGAGCCTGCTGCTGGCGGAGCGCGGTGCGCGCGGAGCGGACGGTCTGGCGAGCGATGATGGACATGTTGACGATGGATATCTGTGATGTGAGGTTTGCGGAGATGGGATGACGGTGAGAAGAGTCGGTATCGAAACCTATGATGGCGATGAGAGCGCTTTCCGACCAAAGGCTGAATTCGGGTGTGATTTCGATGATCAAATTACAAGAGCATGACAAATCAAGCTTTTCACACCATCACGTGCAGGGCAACTTTTTGGTAGAGTGTGGAGCGGCTTAAATTTCTCTGTCAAAATTTCCAACGAACCCTGCATCTTGGCCTTCCACCCCTCACCGCTGCCCCTCATCTTGAACACCCTGAACTGGTCTCGCAACGATCTCGACTCAGCTTGGAGCAGCTCAAGGTCCATTTCGCACACATACATTCCGACCAGCAGCTGAGTCGAACAGAGAAGAAGCTCTCACCATGCCGGGCAACGCAGAAGCTTCCTCTTCGGGCACAGGCGGCAAGCCCGCCGCCTCTGGCTCTTTCAAGCACGTCGGCAACAAGATGAAGCGCACCGAGCTCTATCGCAAGTACAAGGCCGAGAAGCGCAAGGACAAGTTCGCACGCCGATCCGCTCAGGCTAAGGAGGAGCGCGGCGAGGACGGTGCTGCCAAAAAAGCGGCCCGATTGGCGGCGAACAAGACGCGGACGATCGAGAACACGCGTGATTTTAACCCGACCATTATCAATGCGCCGAATACGCACGAAGGGCCTGGACCGAGCAGCTTGGACAAGAAGGTGGGAGAGAAGAGCGATGGTGAGGACTCGGATGAGGACGATGCGGAGGAGATGATGGAAGAGGAGGAGCAGGAGGCGGCGGAAGAGATCGATGATGATGAAGATCCCAGTGCGCCACCGGCCATCCTGATCACGACGTCGATGCCGTCCTCCTCGACATCACCGCATCTCGACTCGCTCAACGCACGCTCGCACCCTTCCGAGAAGACACGCGAATTTGTCGACGAGTTGCTCTCCGTCTTTCCCGGTGCGGAATACCGCCCGCGCTCGAAAGCACAGGGTGTAGGGCTGGGCAAGATCTGCGGCTGGGCGCGCGAACGTCGGTTCGGCGCTGTCCTTGTCGTCGGCGAATCCCGCAAAGAGCCTTTCGCGCTCACAGTCATTCAGCTTCCTCACGGGCCCACAGCGTTCTTCCGCCTCACATCCATCAGCACGGGCGCCGAGATCTACGGCAAAGCACGCCCCACACCACACACCCCAGAACTCATCCTCAACAACTTTACCACCGTCCTCGGTCACCGTGTCGGCAAGGTACTGCAGAGTCTGTTTCCCAAGATCCCCCAGCTGGAGGGAAGACAGGCGGTGACATGTCATAATCAGCGAGACTACATCTTTTTCAGGAGGCACAGGTATATGTTTAAGAGCGACACCAAGACGGCGCTGCAGGAGATCGGGCCGAGGTTTACGCTCAAGTTGCATAGTCTGAAGGAGGGGCTGCCGAAGGGCGCGGGCGTGTGGGATGGAAAGTATAGCGAGGAGTACGCCGAGTTGGAGCCCGAGGAGGTGGAGGTGCTGTCGAGGCAGGAGGAGGGCGAGGAAGGAGAGAAAGTGGTGGACGCAGAGGGGTCAACATTGAGTGGAAAGACAGTGAGCGCAGAAGGGACGGGCTCGTCGTCGTCAAAGAAGAAGAGACAGCGCGGAGAGGAAGAGACGGTGGGCATGGACTTCCAATGGAAGCCGAAGATGAGCGTCTCGAGGCGAAACTTTTACCTCTGAGACCAGGCTCGTTGCTTTCGTACCCATTGTCAAGCTCAAGCTGCATCCACGCTCCTCACTCGACATTGCAATCATGCATTTCTATCCAGCTGCCCATGTGTCACCTTCTGAGCGCTTCGATGGCATCCTGAGTGGAAGTCAAAGGTGCTCAGTCGCGCCGCCTGAAGCTGCAGCAGTCGCGTGTCCGTGAACCTCAAGAAGAAAGAGCTGGACCCTGAATTTACTCGACGCTCAGACTTTCACCCCGCGTGGCTCACCTTCGCATCTTCTCTTCCGCCTCACCACACCATCTGCGACCTCACTGGCTTAGCATCAGCTTCGTCCAAGCGCAACAATGAACGCGCAACTCCTCAACCCGTTCACCATCGAGATCCCCGACTCGGTCTCCTCGACGCTCTCCACGGCCGAATGCAGCACGCTCCTCTTCAACCACGGCCGCTCCACCCTTTCCGGCCAGTACCTCGCCGTCGGTCGTTCGGACGGCTACATCACCGTCTGGGACATCGAGACCCGATCCGTGCTTCGGTTGCTCTCCGGTCACGTCCGTGCGGTGACAGGGTTGGCGTGGAGTACGTACAACCGGTACCTGGCGAGCTGTTCCAACGACTGGAATGTCATCGTTTGGGATCTGAAGGCGAAGAGTGCGGGTGGAGCGGCGATGAGAGATCCACCAGGTGTGGGAAGGGAGGGGATGAATGGAGATGGAACGATGGATGCAAGACTGCCATTTGCAAGCGAGAGGAAGACGACGATACGCTTCGACTGCGCCGTGTCGTCGGTCCAGTTCGCGCCGGATAGCAGCAGACGGTTGCTCGTGGTGCTCGCGTCTCAGGAGGCGTTTCTGGTGGATCTTCAGGAGCGAGTTCGATTGCGACGTAGAAAGGGCGCGCAGGTCGAGGTGGAAGATGTGCACTCCGCGCCCCGGCGTATACCTCTGATCGGTACCACAACAAAGCCTTCCTCGTCAGAAGAGGAAGCGGAAACCTCAACACCAGCCGGCATCACAGCAGCCCGTTACACGCCCGACTCGCGCTTCGTTGTCGCCGGAACCTCCAAGGGCTCCCTTCTCATCTTTGACGCCATCTCAGGCGAGTTGCTGGACGAGCAAAAAGTCCTCTCGACCAGCTCAGGCGTCAAGGAGCTATCCTTCGATTCGGCCGGACGATACCTCGTGGTCAACTGCAACGATCGTGCACTACGTCTTCTCCACGTCTCTACCACCACTTCAACCACCTCGGAAGAGGGGCGGCCTGCAAAACGCTCTCGAACCTCCCTGAACCTGACACTCGTCCACAAGATTCAAGACATGATCCAACGCACCGCCTGGAACAATATCGGCTTCAGCCCTTCATCCGACTACATCTTTGCCGGTGCTGCGCACAAGGCGTCTCATAACGTCTATGTTTGGGACCGAACCTCTTCTACTTTGTCGAAAATCCTGGAAGGGCCGAAGGATTGGAGTATCGGCGTGGATTGGCATCCGAACAGACCGATGCTCGCGAGTGCCAGCAACACAGGCGCGATCTACGTGTGGTTTACCCCGAGCGAGGAGATTTGGTCTGCGTACGCTCCAGGGTTTGAGGAGCTGGAGGAGAACGAGGAGTACGAGGAGCGCGAGGATGAGTTTGATTTTATCGATGGGAAGGAGGGGAGGGATAGGATGCGGATGGTGGAGGAGGAGGCGGCGGATGTGCGGGTGCGGGTGGAGGGGAGAAGCGTGCGGACAGGGGTGGAGATGCGGGTGGTGGAGGAGCTGCTGGAGATGGGGGTGGAGGAGAGAGAGGGGGCGGTGGGGAGAGCGCTGCAGATGGTGGTGAGCAGGTTAGGGGAGCTGTGCCAGGATTCGGGGTGGGTAGCAGCGACAGGGGCAGAGGGACAGGAGAGGATGCTGGAGTTTGTGGTGTTGGACGACGACGATAGCGATACATTCGTCATTCCGCCTCGTCTCGAGATCGACTATTCCGACTTTCACGACGATCACTTTTAGACAGCGCATCACAATCGTCAAACCAGGTTTTCATCGCATGCGTGTTCCTTGTGCCGGTTCCTGTTGCAATTCCACTGCTTTCCGAGGTCCCTTACCAACCGCTCATAGTGAATTGTTGATGGCGAGGGCTGTTCAGAACCCAAAAACCTTCGCAGAGCGTTCATTAGTCAACGCCTCCATCGCCTCCTTCCTGTAGGTATCCTTGATCCGCGTGACATTCCCGCCCTTCAACTGCAACAGTTCCCCACCCTCCCTGTACCTGGGCCAATCCAATCCACTCAGCACCGTCGGATCGTGGTAGTAGGTAAAACTGATGTATGCTCTGGGCATCTTGTCCTCCAGCACGGGGTCTTTGATTCTGCCATCGGGGAGGACGAAAAAGTATTTGAGCTCGCTACCGTGGTACGCACCCAGCGGGCTGCCGGTGCCATTGGCGAACTTGTCATTCTGCTGAAATTCGAAGGACCATACATTCTTCCCGTTCTTCTTGCCGGCAGTGGCGGCGCGCAGATAGGTTCGGCGGTGGGCTTGGAAGGTGAAGTCGCCGAAGAAGGCGGCGGATCGTTTGTACTGGTTGCCGGTCGAAGGTGGATAGACGCGGGAGGTGAGGTTGGTGGTGCCTGCCGAAGTGGTCGTTTCGGCGTTGTAGTACGGCGAGCCGAGGGAGGGGATGTCTGGGTAGGCCGAAAATACGCGCTGAAGAGCTTGCTCGGTGTAGGAGGTGTTGTAGATGACCGCGGCGGAGCGGACCCAGGTCTCAAAGTTTGAAGAGGAATTGAGGTGTTGCTGGGCGAAGAGGGGGCCTTCGTCGAGGTTGTTGCCTGCGATGACGGGGATGTCGGCCAGCTTGCCCTGGGGGAGATTGACGGAGGGATAGTTGGTGATCAATTCGTAGTCGACGAGGGGGAGCCAGGCGAGGGCGCCTGCAATCGGAAACGTCCCTCCAGCTTGACCTGTCAGCGCAAAGGATACCTCCAGAACATCGTTCGCGTTTGCGGCACGAAGACACTTGAGCAGCGTCCCGTTGCCACCCGTGCACCCAACGCCCGCCGCCAGGCTTTCGAAGGACTTCTCTACGGCCGGATGTTTGGGCGTGAGCAGTGGGCCGGGTGCAATGCCACCCGAGTCCATGATCGCCGCGTGCCAAAGCCCTTCGTTGTCGCCATCGTAGGCAAAGTTGTTAAGTGCGACACTCATCGCCCCCGCGCTCTCGCCAAAGAGCGTCACCCTCCCCGCATCGCCGCCAAACTTTCCAATGTTCTTCTTGACCCACTTCATAGCGAGACGCTGATCGTACAACCCTGCGTTGCTCGTCGCCCCCTCCGAATCAGCCACTTCCGACCCACCGATGAAGCCAAACGGTCCGACGCGGTAGTTCATCGCAACAAAGACGATGGGTTTGCCAATGTCGACGCTCCTCTGCACGAGTTCGCTTGCGTTGTAGGCGGGAGTGCTGCCGACGAAGAACGCCCCGCCGTAGATCCAGGTGAGCACGGGGAGCTTGGCATGTTCAGTAGTGCCGACAGGACGGACGACGTTGATGTTGAGACAGTCCTCGCTCATGTTGTAGAGCGGAGAGGGGGCAGCGGGCTGCATGCAGATGTCACCGAAGCGGGTCGCGTCGATGGTTGAGCCCGGGTGACCGTCGACAGGTTGAGGCTTGGCGAAGCGGAGATTGTTGATGGGGGCCTTGGCATAGGGAATGCCGAAGAATTGCTCAAGACCATAATTGGCGTCGACGATACCACGGACTGTGCCCTGATGCAGCTTGACTGTGGGCTGGCAATCAGCGCCGCGAGGTTGAGGAGCTACTGAGGGGAGAGCTGAGACCAGGCCGACGGCGGCAGCTGCCGCTGCGACCAGATTTAGAGGAGATAGCCGCATGACGAAGAAGGTGGATAGTCAAATGGTCGAAGGGAAGGATGGAGGGAAGAAGCGTGCGAGACGGGAAGGGGGGGGGGGACTCAACCTCATGAGGGGCTCTCTTATATCTTCATTGCGAGCCCCGGTCAAGGCGATGCTCGCACATGGGCATCTACAGTGAAGCACGAAGGCGTAGCGAGGTTGAACGGCTTCATGGATGGGGCTCAGAGAGGCAACGGTCTCGCAGCAGCAGTAGCAGCGAATGCAGGGCCACCCCTGATCTCGCTTAGCTGCTGTGCAGATCCTGCCCTCAGTAGCCATTCGGATGGACGTCTGCCATTTTCCTGGTGCAACACTGGCAAGCCCATGCGCCCCGCATAGTCGCCTGTATCGAGAGCAACAGGAAAACGCGGCAGGACCAAATCACGGCGAAGGCGATCCCTCGCGGAGGATCAGAAGGGGCCCCAAAGGCGTCAGGTAGCGCTGTGTGGGGAATTCAGCCAGAGACTGCGTGTCCACCTTGCGCATCTGCCTCGAGGACCGCGTCGAGCCATGTCTGACAGGTGTCGACCCCACACTTGGAACATCCCCACATCCCGGCGGTGACTGTGCACATTTCATTCAGCTAGCGAGCGGAGCCAGAGTCGCAGAAGCACGTTCATGCATGATCCCAAGGCCATGGCAATGCAAGGTCCAAGGGCAGAGCTGCAACCGAGCTGTTGGTCCTGTTCGACAGCATCTTCTGGTTGATGACGGCCGAAATGAAGGCCCAAGTCGGCCGGAACGCCAGGGAAATCGCGGAACGGTGAATTTCGACTGGGACGGCGGGACTTGCACGCCGGCGGGGGGCGGCTAAGCGAGATTTTTGGAAGAGGAGAGCGGCGAGCACGAGCCTATGGATGGCATGGCGAGCAAGCGAGGTGAGCTGCGCGTGCTGCGCTTGCAGTTGCATCGGTTCGAGTCGAGCCGACGTGGGGCTCCGCGATCCGTGCTCTCGGGGCTCATGGTCAGTCACGCGGCTTGCTGCGTGGTCCAAGCAGTTGCCCAGCGAGAAGATGCAATCATGTAGGATCGGCATCGTCGCATGGACATGGTATGACGGAGCAATCTGCTTGCTAAGATAGAGCCATGACAAGGTACATGCAGGAACAGCAGAACGACACAGACTCTTAAATGATCGATCAAGACAATGCTGCCGCTGCCACAAACCAACACTCTCCATCAAAGGCTCTCATGATCGCTGAACAATGCGATGTCGCTTCAATGCGGAATGCGGAACGAGGAGGAAGTGTATTGCGCTTTTGCTCATGCTCGTGCTCATGCTGCGCTTTGTTCGCTCCATGGAAGGAGGAAAGAAGGGTCCCAAAAAGCAGAGATGCACGCTCATGCACGTCTTACCGCCCCGGACGCTCGTCTCCGTATGGTTGGACTTGCTGGTCCAGTTTGTCACTTGTTCTTTGTCAACCTGTCCATGTCATTGATACGCAGCTGCGCAGGACAGCGTGATAAAAGTGACAAGAAAGTGCTCGCCCAGCGACTAATCTCGGTCGGAACGCGGGATACAGCTGACTGCGGCCGAATCTTGTTTGAATTGGTCTCCATGTGATTGCTTCAAGCAACTGAGCCTTCAATCAGATCATTGTGATTTCGAGCAACTTGGTCATTGTGATTGCGATTGTGACTTCATCTCATCGGTAGCCATTCTCTCCGCCTTGCCGTGGCCCCTGCGTCTGCCTCTGCATGGACATGTTGACCTTGGACCATCAACTTATTGACCATTGTTCTTTTGCTTCGGCTCCATCTAACCGGATCGAGACCCTGGCTGGCTCGTCCGCGGATTCGGAAAAGTGAAATGGCAGCACTTTGGCCATCCTAATCTCCATCGATCTATCACATCGACATCGACTCATCCTGGCATCAGCCTGCCGACGCCACCCTCACTTCCACCGTCCCCACATACGGCTTATCGCGTCAACCGACCACCGGTTGCAGCATACCACCTCCCAATTCATCTCACAAACTAGCGCCATTCGGGTGGAGCTCCATAGCCGCTTTCCGCCCACCTCATCACCTCGGCTCTCAATCAGAGCCCCGCTGCACTCAAATAGCGCCCCTTCTCTCGACCTTCAAGAGGCGGGCTCCTGCTCTCAATGTCTCGCTCATTCGTCTACGCTCGTGCTGCTCTTTCTCTCTGACACTGAGCATGTCGACTCTTCGACCATTCGCATCACACCACCACCATCATCATCGTCACCATGGCTGATGCGCCAAAGCCCAACGTCAATACGCGTATGCCCAAAGGCGCAAAGCGTCCAAAGACGTCACGCGCCTGCCTCGCCTGTCGCAAGCTCAAGGCCAGGTGCGAACCTGCCGCTGGTGCCAAGCCCGTGACCATCGATGACCCCCAATCCTCCTCTACTGCCTACACCATCTGCCATCGCTGCAAGACCCTATGCATCGACTGTCTCTACGAGACTCCTTCTGGTCAAGTTGTCAAAGGCGAAGACGTGCAGCCTCTTTCTGCCTCCACTCCATCCCCTCCAGCCGAGCATAATCGTCCTCCTCGTTCCAACAAACGTTCCAGACCCGAGGACGATCCCTCGGCCACCTCCAATCCTTTCAGCAATGATCGCGCCGTCTTCCTCTCCCCTGCCATCTCACCTAGCCCTCTCACGCGCTCGGTCTACAGAGACATCGACATTTGCTCGCTCCAGAATGCCTCGCCTGCTAGTCTGGAACGTCCCGTCTTGATCGCCAACGCCTTCTCTCGACTCATCGGTGCAGCTCCCGCACTCAAGAGCGATGCTCAGCAATATCTTCTCAAGCTGTCGGGTGCCTTCCCACAGGAGACAGCCTCTTCTAACAGCTGGAAACAAGCGCCTCCAGATCTTTGTATAGGAAAGGCTGCGGCGCGCCTCATGTCTGGCCACGCTCCCTCGCCCCCTTATCCTCAGCACGAACTCATCTTCCTCAGCCGCTTGCTTCAGCCTCACGAGCACCCGATGCGCATCCTGTTCCAAGGACTGTACGGACCTTTCACACCCTTCCTCTCGATACCCTTTGAGGAGTCACTCAACCTTTCGACCTGCCAATCCGAAGCCCAGTGCTTCTTGCTGCTCACCATCTATCTCGTCGCCTTGCCGCACCTCGAGCCAACCATGTCCATAGGTCCAGTCAGGCAGCCACTACGTAAGGCCGTGGATGCTATGCTTCGTCGCGCCATGCACTCTTCCCTCAACGACCATCTCAACATCTTTGCTCTGCACAATTGCGCGTCCTTCTTGCTCTTGCCCGTCGATGGCATGGTCGAGGCTCATCGTCCCATCTCGACCCCAGAACAAGAGGATGACGGCTTGCTTGAGTTCGCTCTCGACCTCAACCCTAGAGCAGCCATCATCACAGCGCTCATCGTGGCGCAGCAGCTCGGCTACGCCTCCCTCGCCTCCAAGCTGCCAACAATACGTCAGTCGATCGAGACGGATTCACCTGCCGTCGGCCACGCTGCAGATGAAATTCGGGACGAATACGCTCATGCTGTCTTGTGCACCTTCACTTGGCTCACCCTACTTCAATTTCGCGCCTCGATCGACGTTGCCGAGGAACGCATCGAGTGGGATTCCTTGGCTCAGTTCGAACACGAGATCCCACGCGTCCGCATCGAGGCTCTGACCGCCTCTATTTTGCCTCCACCATCGTTCCTCTCGCCTCGTGAGCAGAGTCGATGCTGTTGGATGGCTCAGCGTGCCGAACTGTACGCCATCGCTCGCGATCATCGCCATACCAAGCGTGCCTCAGCATCCTTCACCAAGAAGGAAGCCGAGGAGCAAGCAGCTGCATACAAAAAAGCAGTCGACGAGTGGCGCTACAAGTTCAACGAGCAGATGCGAAGCATGAGCACCGAGTTTCGCAGAGACCCTCGTGGGCTAGGTCTGCATCGGTACTATTCCATCTTTGCCAACGCCGAAGCTCAATCGCTCCAAGTCTCCATCGGCTCGGTCTACCACAAGGAGTTTGTTAGCGACATGCGACCTAGGCTCGAGGACCCTTTCTACCAAGACAGTGTGCCCTGGAAGTCGGCTCCCACCATCATGCTCGGTCACGAGAATGATCGCCTCACCAAGGCCATCCTCATCAACTTTGCCTTCACCGATGCCATGCTCAAAGCCATGGGCCATATCTCGAGCTTGACGCCCGTCATGCCCCAGCTCTACGACTTTGTCTCCTACGAAGAGTCAGCAGGCAGCGAGATCCCATCGCTCTGCATTGTAGCACCACCCAACATTCAGGCTGGCCTCTTTGCCGTTCCTCTGCTCGCAGCGGCAGACCTGCGTCTTTCGGTGATCGAGACGTGGGGTGCCAGTGCTTCCTACTTCAACCACCACATTCTGCCTCTGCTCACCAACTGCGTCAAATCGCTGCGTGCCTGCCACGTCAACGTCGCACTTCCCGGCGTCCTCAAGATCCCCTTCACTACCGCCAATCCCATCGCCGACTACTTGCAGGGCCCCTTCGAGATCCTTATGCGCAAGGTGGCCTCCGCTGAAGAGCGTCTTCAGATCTCTCATGTCGAGAGCATCCTCACCAATGCGTTCCTACTCTCGCGCAAAAAGAAGGAAATCGAGACCATAGCCGAAGAGCTGGCACCCGACGCACCCGAGATGGTGCAAGCGATCGCTGACAGCCAGAAGATCGAAGACGAGATCTCGGCCAGCATGATGGGCTCCCTGCACGTGCAGGCGATACAAGAGATAGAGGAGGACGAGACCGACTACGCCGTCAAGGTCTTCGGCTCAGATTTGCGCCAGGGCGACATCAAAGCAATCCGCAAATCAAGCAGTGGTATTCGCAGCAATGCCGCGACGCCAGACGCGGAAGGAAGTGCGCGAAGGGGACGACAGATCAGAGTCAGCAGCGAGGACTCCCAGCCAAGGGCGAGCACATCTGGAAGCGTCAATGAGCAGTCGTCACCTGCCTATCGCGGCACCCGTTCCATGGCCGAAAGTACTCGTTTCTCCAGCCCGGCCGCCACTTCGCAGCCGCTGCAGTCCTTGCCTCCAAGGACCTCGGCTAATCCGTACATCCAGGCAGTGGAAGCTCAGCACGATCTCAGCGCACACAGAGAGAACGACACGTTCACTTCTACCGCACACAGCAACGACGCTCAATCGTCCCCATCAGTGTTGCACCAGCGGCCACCATCGGCATTCGGATCCGCAGTGGCGACTGCCGGTCCGCCGCGTACAATGCCGTCTGACGCGTTCTCAATGGCCTCCTATACGGATCGTGGTGCATCTGGCACAGCTTCGTCACGCTCCCAGGTACAGGATCAAGTGCATGACGAGCATCATCCTCCGCCGACTCGGGCATCAGCATACGCATCTCAGCCCACTGCTGATGGACATGCGTCGTCGGGCGGTGCGCTCGCCGCCTTTCTGTCAGACTCTGACAACACTCAACGTCTGGCCGCGCCCGACCAAGTCTTTGCATATCAAGCGAGCTCTGACGTCCCTTCAGTGCATGCAATTCCTTCTGGATACGACGCCACGTACCGGCGACCTTCCGATGCAAGAGCCGGAGGCGCTGCATACCCAGTTGTCTACTCGACAGAGGCTGTCTGGCCTGTGAACGCCTCCGGTGTGGCAGTGTCCGAGCCTTGGCCCGCGTCGACGCACCAAGAGCAGCCACAGTACGGGAATCCTGACCGACCTGAGCACGGCTTCCGAGGTCATGCTGCTCACGGCAAGTACGAGCCATACTTGGAAGCTCCAAGCTCACGTCAAGCTGTCATGCAAACGGGCCCGCACGAACTATACCCAGCCGCCCATCAGCAATCTTCACAGTACGCAGGTCAGCACGATGGTCAATACCCATTGCAACATCCGTCTGCAGACCCTCGGTACTTGTCTGCGCAGCATCAGCAGCAGCTGCAGCAGCAGCAGCAGATGCATCCGGGCGAGCATGGAGGCGGAACATCTGGGATGCCTGGCCACTACGCACCAGCAAACCAGTTGCATCCCAGCGAGAACCAGCCTCAGTCTAATGTTGCTTGGGACGTTTGGAATTGGACCCCTGGCCAGCAGCAGCAGCAGCAGCATCGTCATCCTCAGCAGCAACCTCAATACCCACAACAACAGCAGCACTATTCGGGCTGAGATCTCATTTACATTCGCATCACCTGCAAGAACAATTTGTAACAACATCGCTCAATGGCATCCGTCGGTTCTCTCATATCTTGCACGAGCACACCACATCCTGTCTATCACATTGTCACTGAGCTTGGCTTGATGATTGAGTGATTGAAATTTCCTCGCCTCCGACGCAAGCGTCCTTCACTCGTCCCCACTCTCGCTCTCGCCCGCGGCCCCCTCGTCCAGCCTGAAGAAAGCCTTGATCACCGCCGCTAGCGCCGCGCCCACACCCCACCTCCCCACGCCCTCCCCCAGCTCCTCCTCGTCATCCTGGTCCGGCAGCCCAATCAACCCGTTCGAGTCGATAGCAACTCTCAACAGATGCAGCGTCTCCTCCTCGAATCCGCGCAAGAACGTCTCGCTTCCACCCACCATATCCCTCGGCACATCGGGCACCGCGCTCACCACCGGATATGCGTGGCCGAACCGATTCCACCTAATGGCAAATTTGGCCGTCAACAGGGCGCCGCGTGCGTTGGTGAGTGTGAACCTCTCCGCTGCGATAGGATCGAGCAGGGAGCGACCAAGAATTTCATCCATCCCCTTTCTGTTTCTACCCGTGCCGGAGGAGGCGCCAGGGTGGTAGGGTGTGAAGTCGACGCGGTACTCGGTTTCCCACGATCGAACGTGATCGCGTGCCAACGCGGTGTACGTCTGCATCAACCACACGAAGAGGTTTCTTCGCAGCGCGGCTAGGGGCACCATGGTACGCAGCATGAGGAGCAGACAGGGGAGGTCGTTCCGCTTGAGCGCTTTTGTGTACTGTTTGTGCGGGTTGTCCAATGCGCTCACCAACCAAGGGGGGAGCTTGGCGGTGAGTTTCTGAACTTGTGGGGACGGACCAGAGTCGACGACGTCAAAGGACAGGTCGAGCGGGTACAGCCGCGCCACGTTTCCGTTCAACCGAATCCGCCTGGTATCTCTGCTCGGCGAAGTGGTGGTGAGAGTGTCGATCTCCAACAGTGTGAATGTGGACAGGTGCGAGAGGAGTGAGGCGAGACGTTGCTGTCGAATCTGCACCCACGCTTCCTTTGCCTCACTCGAACCCAATCGTCGATCCATCTCACTCGCACTACCAACTCCCTCGACACCTACGGTCTTGCTCGGCACCATCTCACCTAGCACCTCGCCCACCTCCCCGCCGACAAAGCGACCCAAAGCGGAGGTGGAAGCGGTGAGCAGCGAGGTGAGCGCATCGTCGTCCATGGAGCGGAGTTTTTCGAGCAGGGTGGCTTTGATGGACGAAGCGGTGAGCGTGGGGTCTAGGAAGGAAAGGGTGAGGGAGGTGGAAGGGCGGTGTCGCCGCGAGCGCTCGGCGGAGATCTGCCGGCGCAAATCGTGGATGGCGAGATCGAGCTCTTCGGTCCGGTCGAGGAGGGTGGTGCGGTCGCCCGCGGTGGAGGTCGTGGAGCGCGCCGAACCGGGGGTTTCCGGCGCAGCGCGGCGGCGGGAGGGCGTGCTGGTTGGTGTGGAAGACATGCTGATAGAACTGGGACGGACAGTCGTGTGGAGCACGGAGGAGTGGTATGCGTAAAGCTGCGTCAGAAGCCGTGAAGGCTAGTCGTTTGTCGTGCGTGGTACGTCGAAGATGATGCCAACGAGATGTTCCTGAAAAACGATGGCGGATGAAAGCGAGCGAAATCCTCAGCGATGGGTAGCGACGACGAGCAGATAGAGCGACTGAGCTGCTGATAGCCAGGAAGCTGTATGGGTATAAGGAATGTAGAGTCGTGCGGATGCTGATGGTGATTGCGTGGACACTGTTTGGGAATGTTGCCAAGGTGTCAAGGTGGACAAAAATATGGTGTTGGATTCGGTGCTGCAGGGTCGTTCGCGCGTCGCGTCCCGAATTTTCCGAAATGCAATAGCGTTCGATCAAACATTCATTAGACCTGCGAAAAATCCTCCACCCCTTCTACTAACGCTCTCCTTGACGGACACTTCAAAAGACACACACTGGCAAGGCTGGCGACGATGACATGCTAGTAGAAAGGCATCGACTCTAGTATTTCGAGCGCTTGCCCGAGTCGCCGCTGCTCCCTCCTTCCATCCTCTTCCGCTTCGGGACAGCCGCACCATCCCTCGCAAATCCGATACCCGCGGGCATATCTCTCTTCTCCTTCTGCGCATTCTTCCTCCTCCTTCTCTCGAGCGCCTTCTTGAGCTGCTTCTTCTCCTGCCCACTCGCCCTTCTCCCTTCCCCATCCGCCCCGCCTGCCAATCGATCGTACTTGTCTTTGAGCAACATCTGCTTGACCTCGCTCTTCTTGGGATAGAACGGCTGCAGCCCCTTCTCGACCCTCTCCTTGTTCTGCGCCTTGATCTTGCCCTTGACGCTCGACTCCCGTGCCCTTCTCTCGCGCTCGCCTGCCAGTCCTTCCGCGCGACGCAGTGCCGCTTCGACTTTCGCCCGTTCCTCGCGGATCGCCAGCGCCTGTTCCGACTTGGCTTTCGGCCCGGCTTGCGCGGATTCTTGCTTCTTGAGTTTGGCGAGCGTCTTCTTGAGCGTGCTCAGCTCGTCCTTGAACATGTCGGGTAGGAACGAGTAGGACTTTGCGAAAAGATCCCGGTTTACGCTGCCAGAGAGCGACTCGAAGCGAGGATCGCGCACTTGGGCGGAACCGGTCTCGATGACGTTGCGACGCCGAGAGACGGGGCGCTTGCTCGAGACCTCGGTGGGGGCGTTCTTGTTGGAGCGCTTGACGAGCTCTTTGCGTTCTTCGGATCGACGTTGCTCGCGCTGCTTGCGTGCTTCCGCCCAGGCGTTGTCGGACGCATCGGGGGTGCTCGAGGATGAGGAGCCATTGAGCTGGCGGAGACGCTCGCGCACTTCGCGTCGCTTTTTCTCCAGCGCTTCGTCTGCGTCGAGATTTTTGCTGGACGATTTGGCGTGGCCGTTGCGCTGCGGTTGCTTGCCTGCTTTCGCCTGGGTGAGACGCTTGCGGTCGTGCGCAAACTCGTCTTCTTCCAAGTCCGAGATGTCCGGCTCGGACAAGTCGTCGTCGCTGGCGGATCCGTCCATCTGCTGTCGAGCCTTGATCAATGCCGAGAAGGGAATCTCCTTCATCTGCTGTTGGAGATCGTCCTCGTCGTCGTCTTCCGCGGACGTTGCTTCGTCGCTGCTGTGGGCGTGAGCTGCATCGTCGTCGCTCCCTTCGCTGTCCTCTAACGACTCGTCATCGGAAGCCTCGTCGAGGTCGGAATCGTCCATGAACTGCGCATATTTGGGTCGCTCCTCCTCTTCCTCTTCGGAATCTTGCTGATCATCTTGCTCCAGATCCGATCCTAGCTCGCTGCCCGACTCGAGCTGCAGCGATCCAGCGTCCGAGTCTTCCGAGTCCTGCTCGAAGACTGCCGCTCTCTTGGGCTGCTGCCGTGACGCTGCTGCCTTGGCCATCTTGAGTCGCAGATATGATGATGTGAGGGAAGAAAGGTGAGAAGAAAGTGGAGTATATTCAGAAGGTTTGCCCTGCAGCTCAGTTTATAGTCCAAGACCAAATTTTGACTTGAAAGATTGAGCTCAGTTCAGGGTTCGGCAATTCAAAAGAAAAAATGTTGTTGCTTTCGCCCCACTTCGAGATTTTTTCTTCTTGTTCGACATCGTGTGGAGCATACTTCCTTCCCTCGACCATCACGACACACCTTGCTCGGCGAATCGACCCGTAACAGGACTCTCGGACGCTCGCACGACGAAGGTGCAGCAGACATCACGGCAACGGCCTTGAAGCGGATCTGAGCCGACACAGCTGACAACCCTCGAACCAGCTCTTACGTGGCATAAACCGCGACGGACAGCCAGTCGCTGCCAACCTCGCCAACATGGAGGCAGGACCTTCCAAGCCGTCTCGCCCGGCCAACGGCTCCAAGAAGTCAAGATCTAATGGCGAAAAGAAGCCTTTCCACAGCCAAGAGGCGCTCGACAAGCAAGCGCACTCAATCTCATCCGCCACCTCCCTCCCACGCTCGATTGAGAGCTCCACGCCTGCCTCCGTCCGCGACGCCAAGCTTCCGAAAGCCGTCACGAGCGTTAAGGATAAGAAGCTCAAGAGCAAGCTCGTCCATCAGCATCTCTCACAGAAGCGTGCGGCCGAATCAGCTCGTCTTGCCAATGAGTATCTCAACACATCGGCCCCGGGTGAGGGCGCAGGGATGATCGAGACGGAAGGCGAGCTCGAGCGAACATTCAAGGTGACACAAGCGCAGATCAAGGACAACGTTGGCATCGACACAGCTACGAAAGGTTTCGAGCTCAAGCTGGATGGCGGGAAACAGGGCGTTGGGCTAGGTCCATATCGATGCGACTACACGCGGAATGGCAGGCACCTCGTCATCGGTGGGCGGAAGGGCCATCTGGCAGCATTCGACTGGCAAACGGGCAAGCTCAGCTGCGAGATCCAAGTCCGCGAGACGGTGCGTGATGTCAAGTGGTTGCACAACAACAGCTTCTTCGCCGCAGCCCAGAAGAAGTACGTCTACATCTACGACGACGCGGGTATCGAGATCCACAAGCTCAAGAACCACACGGATGTCAATCGGCTCGAGTTTCTGCCGTATCACTTCCTCCTCGCTTCCGTCGGCGCCACAGGCTACCTCAAGTACCAGGACACCTCGACGGGAACGCTGATCAGCCAGCACCGCACCGGGCTAGGAAACTGCAACACGATGGCGCAGAACCCGCTTACCGCCGTGTTGCATCTCGGTCATTCCAACGGAACGGTGACGCTGTGGACTCCCAACCTCTCCACACCCGCTGTGAAGCTGCTCGCGCACCGTGGACCAGTGACAGGCATCTCGATCGACACTCGCGCCGGCGGTCGCGACATGGCCACCTGCGGCATGGACGGTACGATCAAGATCTGGGACACACGCATGCTCGGTAAAGGCCCCCGGCGCGAATGGCAAGCGCGTCGACCCGCCTCTGACATTGCCTTCTCGCAACGCGGTCTTCTCGGTGTTGCATGGGGACCGCATGTTTCGGTCTACGACACCCACGCACCCCTGGGCAACGCCCCACCTGGACCGTACATCACCCAGGGTTTCCCGCGCGCCGAACCGCTGCAGGTGAAATTCTGCCCCTTCGAAGACGTCCTTGGTGTTGGGCACGCTGGTGGATTTACGAGTCTGTTGGTGCCCGGAGCGGGAGAACCCAACTTTGACTCGTCCGAGCTGGATCCTTTCGAGACGCGCAATGCTCGACGCGAACGAGAGGTTCATCAGCTGCTCGACAAGATCTCACCGGATCTCATCTCGATCGATTCGACCATCCTCGGTTCGGTGCATGTCGCGGAGACGAATGTGTCGGCTGCCGAACAGGATCGCATCCTCTCGGAGATTTCAAAGAGAAACCCGGAGGCAGTGGCGAGGAGTGCGGATGGTCGGGCGTACTCGCAGCTCAGCCGAATCGAGCGGATGCAGTTGGACAATCCGGATGCATCCCCACTCGAGCCTGTCGGAGACGGAGAGGTGGAAGATGAGCCTATGACCGGTTCGCTAGCCGCCAAAATCGCCGCTCACGATACGGCACCGAAGAAGGAAAAGAACAGGATGAGAGGCAAGAACAAGGCCCTCAGCAGATACCTCAGGAAGAAGAGGGAGAACGTGATCGATCCGAACCGCATCGCGGTGAAAGCGAGGATGGAGAAGATGAGGAAAGAGGAGCAGGCGGAGAGGAAGAGGAAGGCTGCGGCGGGTATTGCTCAGGATGACGAGAGCTTTTCTGCGTTGGACATGTTCAAGAAGCGCTCGTGAGAGGATGTCAATGCAAACATCAGTAGCCAGACAGGGTATGAAGCTGCGGCAAGCGTCCGCGTGAGGAGTGAAGCGTCCCAGCAGGGGACCAGCGTATGATATACCGACTTCAACCCGTTCTGCATGCGATACACTCCGGATCCAGAAAGCGATTTTGTCGGTCAGCATGGATACGGCTATTTCTCGCTCGATAACCTTGGCAATGGCTCGATCGAGCGGCACAAAGCGCGAAGGCGGGTCACAAGCAGGCATACTGGTCGCCATCGCTACCCGTCTTGAAATCACCACATGGAATGTCATTGCAGCACCACTTTACTCGAGCGAGTACTCCTGGCCGTCAAACTTGATCTCGACGCTCTTCTTGGTATCCAAGCTCCTCCTGCCGGCCTCGAGAATGGCCGTTGTCAGCACGGTATCCTTGATGGTCGGCAGAATCCTGTCGAAATCCTCGACCTTCCTTTCGCCGCGGTTGATGCGCGAGCACGCATTGACAAAGTTCTCCAGGCTCAAATAGCCGTAGCCATGCTGTCCTGCGAAGTACCCCTCTGCGTCGGGCGTATAGCGCATGTAGAACGGGTTGAAGTCGGTCGAAGAACCACCTGTGGATTGTTGGGATGGATCGTCCTTGCCAAATTGGTAGCCACGGCGGGCTTGGTTGATGCGCGTCTCGCCCTGGGACGCAACGTAGTGGAAGTACTGTTCCGAGTGAACGCCTGCGCCTTGCGGGGCGGTCCAGGAGGCGGTGAAGATGGCCGTGGCCTTCTTACCCTCCTGGACGTTTCCGGCGTCGTCGAGGATGGCAAAGTCGGTGAGGAGCGTGATGGTGTCCTCGGTCTCGGGCACGCAGCCTTTGCTCGCAGCAATGCCTTGCGAAGCGCTTGCTGTGACACGAAGAGGAATCGCCCGTCCTTGGACCATCCACAGGCATACGTCGATGTGATGCGAGTTGAGGTAGTACGAGATGTCGCTATCGCGCCCCGCCCAGGCTTTGAACGTCTCGAGCTGGTTCTTGGGCTGCGACATGTACGAGTAGAAGTAGTTCATATCGCCCAGTTCCGCCCTTGCGCGCTCTCTCGCATCCGCATACGCCGGATCGAACCGCTTATGGTGTTCGACCATGCACAGCACGCCCTCCTCCCGTGCCGCCTTGACGAGTTCCTGGTGGTCCTTCAACGTTTGCGTCGCCGGCTTGGTCACCAGCACATGCACCTTTCGTCGGATCGCATACAGCGCAATGTCAAAGTGCGTCGAGTCCGGCGTAAAGATCGTAATGGCATCCCCTGCCTTCAGCGAATCGATGGCGGTCTTGTACGCATCCCCATCGCGAACGCCCGCAGCAGGATACGAGGTGAACTCGGTCGACATATCGCGGTACTTGCTCTCGATGTTTTTCGCAAAGTGATTTCGAATGCCGGGGAACTTATCACCGTTGGTTCCCACCATCTTGATCTCGGGGGCGATGAGACCGCGACGACGCAGATCGAACATGACTAGACCCACCACGCCGAGCTTCTTGTCGGAAGGAGACTCCGAGTTGCCCACGAAGCCGGTGGTGTATTCGCCCGTGCCGACGGCGAGGACGGTAGGAAGTCCGTTCGACATGTTGCGTTTAGAGGTTGAAGCGAAGAGGATATTAGAGTGTGATGGTGAGGAGGAGTGTCGCACCGGTGACGATGGCTATATATGACCAGAGTGAGCTGTCACAGGGCCTGGCATGCGAGCGGCTGCCCCACAAGACCACGCATTCAGGGTTTGGGGGCCAGGAAGATCCTCGGGAAAAGCACAAGATTGAGGAATTCGCCGTGCCTCGGTGGAAAACGCGGCGCCGACAAGCTGCACGACCGGTCCGGAAGGGTCCGCGCCCTGCGTGGCTTTCGGATTTACGACCATCAGCCAACTCTGATCCGCCACTTTGCCGCCCACACCCATGTCCTTGTCCACGCCTACACTCACGTGGACTAGCACCAGTTGGCTTCAAAGGATCTCGGAATTCACCGATACGGAAGCCAAGATGGTGATCATCACGTGCATGCAGACCGTTCCGTCTTTCGTGTGAAGGTATGTGTTCATTGCAGGCGTTCGAGTTCTAGGTATCTACGATTGCGCGAGTATCACTGTCCAAGCTTTGCCGACGACGGTACATCTCCGGTTGACCCATCTGCTTTAGATCTTGGAAGGAATCGTGTAAGCCTCCCCCCTCCTACCAGCGTTCTTGAGCTCGCCGTTCTGCCTCTGGCCCTTGAGCGGGTTGATCACACCCGTCCTGCCCTTGGCACCGGACTTGAAGCCAGGTCCATCATAGAAGATGGTCTCGTCCGGTCGGTTGAGTGTTGGCCAAGCAACATAGTCCAAACCTCTCGAGACCATGAACTGCAGACTGCCGACAGCAACGACGAGCCAGAGGGTGAAGAAGTAGAGGTGGGACGAGAGGGTGGATTTCTTGACGACATCACCCGCGTCGGTGCCGGCGACGGTGGCGATGGTCTGCGCTGCGGTGTGACGAGGCAGTACCACGCTGGCGAAGAGCATGAAGAGGGCAAAGAGGAAGACCCATGGCATAGCACGAACCAGCAGCGCTCGCTGATCCGGGTGAGGAAGACCCTTCGATGGCTCCCACGCTCCCGTGAAGAGGTCGTACGCGTCCTGTCGTGCACCGTCAAAGTAGTTGTTCTTGACGTAGCGCGTGATGGAGTTGACACCGTCTTGCAAAGCACCCTCCTTGGATCGCTTGCCCGTACGCGTAAAGTCCGTCTTGAGCGCCCCCGTGCCACTGTACGCCTTCGAGATGACATCCGCATGATCCGCCCACACGTTGCGGTAGATGTGCATGAACTCGGACTTGGTCTCGACCTGCTCGTCGTCCGAGAGGATGCCGATCTTGCGCAGCTGCTCGTTGAGCATCCAGCGTGCCAAGGTACCCTGCACGACGTTGGTGCGGTCGAGACAGTCCATGCAATTGGTTCGCACCACCGACTTCTGCTCGCTCACCACCTTGCCGTCCTCGATGGCAAAGTAGTCGCTGTGCTTGAGCCCGATCTTCTGCAGACGATCGATGAGATCCATGACGCGCTCAAACTTCATCCCTTTGCACTCGTGGTGGAAGTCGTAGTAGGTGTAGTGCACCTGAGGGTTGCCGAGCTTCTCGACAGCTCGCTCGTAGGCCTCCTTGACGGGCTTCTCGTAGCCCTTCTGGTTGACAAGGTTGACGAGGTAGTTGTCGCCGTATCGGTCCACCTGGTCCTCAAAGTGGCGTCGAGTCGCTTCGGTGGTCTCGGGCTTCTCCATAATCTGCAGATCGGGCTTGTAGCGCAGGTTGTTGACCTCGGCCCAGAAGACAGGCACACTGCCTCGCGTCTGGACGTAGCTCTTGCGAATGCTGCCATTGGCCTTTGTCATCTTTTGACCGCCCTTCGGGTTGGTGATAATGAATTGCTCGGTCTCGTTGAAGTTGGACACGTTGCCGTCCAGGTCGATACCTCGAGAGAAGTATCGGGTACCCACGCGGTGACGCGATCGACGAGCGATGAGACCGAGGACGAAGGCGTGGTTGTTGATGGTGACCTCTTTGACCTCGAGGAAGCCAAAGACGCAGGGGAGGATGAAGCGCGACAGATCCTGACCGCTGGACTGGGAGGTCTGGATGAACTTTTGCATCAAGAAGCGGTTCCAGAAGAAGCGCTCGTCGGTGCGTTGCCAGAGGGGAGCCGAATCGTGCTTGAGACCTGCTTGACGCTGCATGCTGCTGGTGAGATCGTACTCGTAGCTGAAGTAGAACGGAGCGCTGTAGAGGTGCGCCTTGAGCAAGCCGAGGAGCGTCTTCTCAACAGGGTGCTTGAGCAGCGAAGGGTTGGCCTCCTTGTCGAGGGGAAGCGTACGGAACTCGGTGGCCATGAAGACATCGGCACCAGCAATCTCAGCGACCTTCTTCTTGCTGGTGATGACTACGACAAACTCGGAGCGGTGCAGCTTGATGATACCGACAATGCCGTGAACCGACATGGTCTTGTCACCGCCCGAGGGAGCCGGCTCCTTGGAGAGACGGATGGTGCTGTCATTGCGATCGATGATGAGCGTCTCGGGGGCTTCTGAGCCAGAGGCGGATGTTGGCTCGAAAAAGTATGCTTGGGGCGAGATGCGCAATCGAAAGCCAGACCACAGCTGCGGATTGCCGCTGTGCCACTTGGACATGATGGGCGGTCGACCTTGGTCAGATGAGCTCTAGAAGATCGGTGTATGCTCGTTACAGGCGGATACAGGCTGGCAAATCTCCAAGCGTTGACGATCTTGTGCGAAGGCTTCGTGTAGAGCTGAGGCGATAATGGTAGAGAGCGAGGCGAGGTCGTCCAGGAGAGATTTCTTCCGACTCAGCTCAGGCCAGGCTAAGTGATGTGAAATTGCGGGGATTCCAGGCTGCCACACGCCATCAAGCCGAATTTTGCTATGACGTTTCGCTTGCAAAAGGAGCGAGCACGGTGCACGTCGACAGCCGCTCCGTGTGAAACCCTGCCCGCCCGATTGCCAATCGCCCGATTCGACTTCTTCTCACATATTCTAAGCTTCACCCTCCAGCGAACGGCTGCTCTCCCTCGAAGTGACAAAGAACAGCTGCTTTGCCAGGCTCGAGGTCAAGAACGCACATCACACATCCCAGAAGGCCATCTGCGTGTCGTCGCCTTGATGATTTAAAGAGTCGCTTCTCGATAAAGGCTCGCGCTGTCGACATCACACTACCATGATGACAATGCTATAAAGAGTTTTGTTACCACAATCTGGCTACATATACAAGTGGAGAACGCCGACACTGGTGCGGAGGGTGAAGTATTGACCGCTTTTTGAATTCAGTCGGACAGCCGGCAAAGCTGTTGACGAGGCCTGCGCCTCGCAGAAAGTGTGACTGGCTGCTCGAGGCATGTGTCTGATCATCATGCGAGTCTTCACATCTAGGTGAGGAGAGTGAGACGCGACGAGACCTCGGCCTGAGCTCGAACGACGTTGGCAAGGTACGAGACCATGAGGACATCCTGGAGGTGAGCGTTGAAGAGCGTCTCGAGCTTGTTGTCATCCATGCCAGCAGGTACGACGCTGATGGTGTCGTTGAGGAAGCGACCGACCGCCTTGTCTCCCTCCTTCTCTCCCGAGATGACCGCACGAACGTAGGTGAGCACACGGTCGAGCTGCGCCTGCACTTGCTTGAGGCTGACGGCAAGCGCATCGAGGTCGCTCAATGGCGACGAGATGTTCTGAGATGCGAGCAGAGACAATGACGAGTGTTCCGGTGTCGAGTGGAGAAGGTTGGTGGGAAGGGGCAGGAAGACGCAGTTCTCGGCCTTGGGTGCCGCGCCCAATGGCGACGAGATGTACGACTTGATGCCGAGTCCTGAAGCTTTCGAGCCGTCGATCGAAGTGTCCATGGTAAGGTGAACGGCCTGGTGAGGTGCGGTCTCCCGCGAGTAGAAGTCCTGGATGAGAGCGCTGTAGGTGTTGAGCTCTGGCGAAGTGGCGTACCAGCCGACAATGACCTCATCCGGTCGCACCTTTTGGCAGAGCTCGTACATGTTACGGTGGTACTCCATGTCGACCTGCACCTGACCCTCCTCCTCATCTTCCAAGTGTGGCACCGCAAAGCAGTTCTTGATCTCGATCTCGGACTCGGTGCGGGTACCGAGCAGAGTACCAATCACGCGGTGCTGGCCATCGTTGCGTCGGAGGTAGTGATCCAGAATCGAGAAAAGGGCGACAGGGTGAACGTGGACACCGGTGACTGACCGAGAGTGCATCACACCCGAGCCGGTGGAGGCCGGAAAGTCGAGGTGAAGGGCCGATGAGGATGATGCGGCGAGCGACATGATGTATAACTACTGGACCTAAGATGGAATCTGCGGGAGCGATGTGCGAATCAAGACTTCTTTCGAAGTGGGCGTGGAAGCTGGACCTGGTCGAACAAAGATCGGTCGATAGCGGTGAACGTGTCCGGTGGATGTAGCCTGGCCGAGGTCTTGGTCCGTTCCGTGATGCGGACTTGACGTTCAAGTCTCGCTGAGGGTTGGTGAGAGTGTGAGGGGATGTTGAGAAGATCGCCGTTGTCGCCGTCTTTGATGGTCAAGAGTGGTGTTCCTGCGAAGAAAGCTGCACACAGCGCTGCTCGCCTGGATCCGTTCGAGCTTCAGACTGAGCACACGAGAAGCACTCGCGAAGAAAAAATCCAACTCAATTCTTCTTGAGCTTCAAATTTGTATTCGAGCCATAGAAGCGCGTCTTGGTCAATTCAATTGTGCCTCTCAACTTGTATTTACGTCCAAGACCCTGTTCAAAGCAGTGAGCGGGCCCTTTGTGTCGCGCTGCGCTGCCTGATGGACCAGCAGGAAGAAAAATGGATTCCAGATGTTAGAAACGAGACACCTGATCTGATCGAGTCGAGCTGAGTTGCTGCTCAGACCGTGTTGGTTCAACGCAGCTGCCAACCTCAACTCATCTCATCTTCTTGAATCCACCGCTCCTTGACCGCACCAATCTTCCACCTACCACATCCATCCTTCATCGAGTCGGCATCCATTTTCATGGCTCTGCACCTCTCATTCACCATCATCAAACTCGACAATTGATCTCCTACGCTGTCTTCCGAGCGCCAGTCAAAGTGCTTACTGCGACAAAGGAGAAGCATTCGTCACATCAACAGCGCAATCGTCGTATTCCTGCTTCGAAACCGTCTCGGCCACTCAGCGACAGCGACTCCGCTCCTCCTTTTGCTTCACACATCGGCAGTCCCCTGACTGATCCGACACTTCGTCTCAGCAGCCTTCCATCATGGCTGACGAGGAGAGGGTTCCCGCTCCCTACTTTCAAGATGACGAGGAGGGAGAGCCATCAGACGAGGGCGAAGGCGTCGACCTCATGAGGCGAGACGGCAACCTTGTCGGCTCGGGAGGCGAAGATAGCAGCGACGAAGATGAAGAAGATGATCCCGAAGAAGCCCGACGCGTTGCAGAGGGCTTCATCGCAGAGGACGATGAGGAGGAAGAGGAGGATGACGAAGCGCGGAGAGAACGTCGTAGGCGCAAAAAGAAGAGAAAGCAAAACGTGGAGGACTTCGAAGTGGACGAGGATGATCTCGAGCTTCTCGCAGAGAACACCGGCCAGTCTAGGCGCAAAGAGGCCGGCCGTCTCAAGCGTTTCCGACGAGGCTCTGCTTCTCCACCAGCAGACGACGAAGCTGCCGCTCGCAAAAAGACACTCGACCAGATCTTCGAAGATGACGACGATGACGAGGACGACATTCGCTCAGGGCGTCGGGGCGTCAACTACGATGACGACGACGAGGACCTTCCCTCCGTCGGCCAAGCCATTCGAGCCGGTGTCGCTCGCAAGCAACGTGAGGCTGTCGGAGGGTACGAAGATGACGGCCTGGACGACTTCATCGAAGAGGACGAAGATGACGAGGAGATGCAGGGCCTCGACGAGGATGAGCGTGAAGCTCGACGACAAGAGAGGCGTGAGGAAAAGCGCAGGGCACGCATGTCCGGGTCCGGAGCCAACCCAGCCAAGGCCGGCATCGACGCCGAGGCGTGGGACGAGGTGCACGAGATCTTTGGCAATGGCGAAGACTATTTCTGGGCCCTTCAAGACGAGGAAGAGGATGCGCTTGAGGAGGGCAGCAAGAGCAAGATGGCGTACAAGGACATCTTCGAACCCGCCCAGATCGCAGAGCGCATGTTGACCGAAGAGGACGAGCGCATCAAGCGGATCGATATTCCCGAACGTCTTCAGCTCGCATGTCCTGGCGAAGAGGGCCTCAAGCTGCTCGAGCGGAAGCTCACGGACGCCGAGCTTTTCGAAGCCGCAAAGTGGGCCTCTACACGCATCTCGACCAGAACCTCCGCCGAGTACCTCGACGAGGCCGGTCTCTTCCACGCTCAACGTTCCGAGTTCATCAACGCCGTCCAGCTCATGCTTTCGCACATGCTCAATGACCTTCTCGAGGTGCCCTTCCTCTTTCAGCACAGATTCGACGAGCTCGAGCTTCTCATCTTTGACGAAATCGAGCAACGAAATCGCCCCATCGATCTCCTCACGCGCAGGGAGCTCTACACGCTCAGTGGACTTGGCCTCAAGTTCAAGACCCTGCTCGTCCGCAAAGATCAGCTTCGCGCGACCTTCAACAAGATCCATGTAGACGTCAAGCCCGAGAACGCGGATGACAACGTCGCTGCCACCGACGCTTCGAGTCAGCAGAGGCGCACCTTCGAGGGCATGCTTGCGCAAGCTTCCAGTCTGGAAGAGATCTCCGACATTACCGAGTATCTCACCCTTCGCTACGGTCAGAAGATGCGCGATGCGCAGACTTTCGCGGCCAAAGACTCGGACGGAGCTGCCGAAGACATGGAGGGTCTTACGCTGAACGGCGAAGCCGTTCTGAGCGCCACGCCTGGCTTCAAGAAACCCAGTCTCGTCGGTCAGTACGAGCGCAACAAGAACACGGTCCTCTCAGAGCTCGCCAAGAAATTCGGCATCACCTCCGACGAACTCGCAGCCAACATCACCAGCCATACTCGCCAGTACTCGCCTCGTGATCCCGAAGAGTCGCCGTTCAAGTTTGCCGAGCAGTTCACGGGTTCCGCGTGGGGAGCTCATTCGCCCGAGATTGCTCTCGCAAAAGCCAAGATGATGCTCAGCCAGGAGATTGGAAAAGATCCTATCCTCAAGAGGGAGATCCGTCAACTCTTCAAGGACGCTGCCGAGATCAACATTGAGCCGACGGAACGCGGCATGACCGTCATCGACGACCAGCATCCCTACGCCAATTTCAAGTTCATCGCCAACAAGCCCGCTCGCCTCGTTCCTCAGCAGCCCTCGCAGTACCTGCAGATGCTGCAAGCCGAGGATGAGCTGTTGATCAAGCTCGACATCAACGTCAAGGAGGTCGTTCTGACACGATTCGAGAACCGCCTCTACAACAACTATGCAAGCGAAGGGGTCAGCGACGTCAGCAAGGCTTGGAACGATCAAAGGCGCGAGGTCATCCGCGATTCGCTCAAGACTCACCTCGTTCCCAACGGACGAATCTGGCTCAAGGAATGGCTCCGGGAAGAGGCTCGCGAGACGCTGTTGCGACACCTCGACGTTCTCATCACCAAGCGTGTTCAGGAGGGACCCTTCATGTCCAAGAGCATGATGGCGCGCAACCGCGATCCCAAGATCGAGGAAGAGGACCGCATCCCGCGCGTCCTTGCCGTGTCGCATGGCGGTGGTGACCCCAGAAAGGACGTGGTGCATGCAGTCTATCTCGACGAGCGAGGTCGATTTCGAGAGCACGCCACCTTTGACGACCTTCGTCCGCTCACTCCGCGCCAGCTGCAGGAGCGAGAGATGGAGATGGAGCGCTCACGAGGCAAGGCCGTGTTTGACGATCATCGTGCCGACTTCATCAAGCTTCTCAAGCAGCGCAAGCCGGACGTCGTGGTGGTGAGTGGCTGGAGTGTTCGCACAGCCGAGCTCAAGAAGCACGTCACGGAGCTTGCTGCGATGGCGCACCAGGAAATCTGCGACGAGGAGCGTCTCAACTCGGATCTCGAACGCGATCAGGCCCTCATCGATGTCGTCACTTGCCATGATGATGTCGCCCGCATTTACCAGCACAGCAACCGTGCCGCCGAAGAGTTCCCAGAGCTCAGCGAGTTGGGCCGCTACTGTCTCGCGCTGGCTCGCTACGCCCAATCGCCAGTCAACGAGTTTGCGGCCCTCGGCAGCGATCTGACGGCCGTCATCCTTGATCCCAACCAGCGCTTGCTGCCGCAGGATCGCTTGCGTCTCCACTTTGAGCGCAACATCGGTGCTGTCGTCAACGAGAATGGTGTCGAGATCAACCAGGCCACGACAAGCACCTACTTACAAACCATGCTGCCGTTCGTGGCCGGTCTCGGTCCAAGGAAGGCTCAAGCCCTCGTCAACGCCATCAGCACCAAGCTCGAAGGCACGCTCATCAACCGCACGCTGCTCATCTCGCGAAGCATCCTCACGTTCCAGGTGTTCCAGAACTGCGCCTCGTTCCTGCGTATCGAGCAGGACATGCTCCTCGAGGCGGACGAGGACGATGTGCCAGATGTCCTCGACAGCACGCGTATCCATCCCGAGGACTACGACTTCCCTCGAAAAATGGCTGCCGATGCGCTCAACAAGCACGAGGAGGATCTTGAAGGAGAGCACCCGAGTCTCCCGTGTAAGGAGCTGATGGAAGATCCTGACCCGGAGGACAAGCTTAACACGCTCGACCTCGACAACTACGCCATGATGCTGCTGGAGCGCAAGGGCGAGCGAAAGCGCGCGACGCTGCACTCGTGTCGAACCGAGCTGATCAAGCCCTACGACGACCTGCGCGAAAGGCAGCGCGAGCCCTCGCCGCAGGAGATCATGACCATGTTCACGGGCGAGACGCTCAAGACGCTCGACAAGGGTTTTGTTGTGTCAGTCGAGGTGATGCGGGTGCAAGAGGGCAATCGCATGCAGGAGGGCCACATCCGATGTCGACTCGACTCTGGCATCGAAGGCACCATCGAGGCCGAGAACACCAGCGACAGTTATGCGCCTGGCTCGGTGCGTCTGCGTGATCTGGTGCGCCCGCAACAGACGCTGGACGCCCTTGTTCTCAAGATCGACTACGACAACTGCTCCGTCGATCTCAGCATGAAGCCTTGGGACTTGCAGCCCCAGCATCGCGCATCCCACCAGGGCAAGACGCCGCTCGATCCCAAGTTCTACGACATGCGCAAAGCCGAGCAGTGGAACGAGCAAGCAGCAGCCAAGGCCAAGCTTCGAGTGCAGGCGCGTCGACAGAACCGCGTCATCGACCACCCCAACTACCACAACTTCAACTACAAGTCGGCCGTCGCTTTCCTGCGCAGCCAGCCTCGTGGTTCGGTTGTGGTGCGTCCGAGCAGCAAGGGCGACGATCACCTCGCAGTGACTTGGAAGGTGGACGACGACGTGTATCAGAACATCGACGTCCTTGAGCTCGACAAGGAGAGCGAGTATTCGCTCGGACGTGTCTTGCGCATCGAAGGCATGGGCTCGTACTCCGATCTCGACGAGCTCATTGTCAACCACGTCAAGCCGATGGTTCACATGGTCGAGATGATGATGAACCACGAAAAGTACAAGGGCGCCGACGAGGAAGACCTGCAGCGCTACCTGACCAACTGGTCGCTCGCCAACCCGTCGCGCTCCGTGTACGCATTCGGTCTCAACAGGGACCGACCTGGCTACTTCAACCTTTCGTTCAAGGCGAATCGAGATGCCGCGATCCAGACATCGCCGGTCAAGGTACTTCCCAACGCGTTCAAGCTGGGCCCTGCCGATCAGCTCGCCGACGTCGCTGCGCTGTGCAACGCCTTCAAGACGCAGTACACCACGCAGGCATCGATGGGACGCGGAGCAAAGACTCCTTACGGAGGCGGACGCACGCCTGCTCCTGGTATCGGTGGTGCGACGCCGATGGGTGGTCGTACACCGTATGGCGCTATGAGGACCGGAATGGCCGGTGGTGCGACGCCTGGACTGGCTGCGGCAGGTGGCTACGGTACGCCTATGATGAACATGGCTTCGGCGACGCCGAACCCTTACGGCGGTGGAGCCTACGGTCGCAACGGCCTGAGTGTGGGTGCAGGCGGAGGATACGGCGCCCCACCTCCTCCTGGTCGCCCACCTTCGATGCCCGGTGCGCCTCCCATGATGCCCCCTGGCATGGCCAGCGGCGGCCCGCCTCCTAACTACCCTCCACCGTATGGAGGTGCTGGCGGCGAGCCTGGCCCGCCTCCTTCGCGCCCACAAGTGCCGCACGGCATGCACCCCGATCGCTTCGCGCAGGCGGAGTACGGTGGCCGTAGCAGTCAGCAGCAGCCTTACAGCGGCAACAACGGCGGTGGTGGTGGATACGGCGGAGGCTACGGAAGATATTGACCGTTGCACGCTGCGCTTCTTTTCTCGCTTCACTGAATGTATTCGTATCCCTTTCCATCCCAAAAAGCAATCGCATTGATCTACAGGACACGCATCGTGAGAATCGTCGACGTGAACGATGCTGAGAGCGCTGACGAAGGCGATGCTGAGGATGACTTGAGGGTCGAGCTTTGAGCGTGCGAGTGTTGAGTCGGAGCGTCTCGCGAAGTGGAGTAGAGACGGGCGATCTTCAGGGTTCATGCGGCTTTTCAGAAATCGCGCTTGAGCCATCAGCACGGTCGTCTCTCCCTTCACCCTCATCATCGCCTCCCTTTGCGCATCCACACGCTCGTCGCATTCACACTCAACGGTGCCTGGCTGAGCCTACCTTCATCGGATCTCCAATCCGACGTCAGAAAACCTGGGATGACCGACGCGGACGGTGCGACCTTCACGGTCGGCTCTACGACCGCTGGCGCATCATCATCCACGAACGCACCGACCTTTGCCTCGGCCTCCGATCCACCGAGCTCCAGCGGCTACCTCGACGATCCCTCCTCTTCCTCCTCTCTTGCGCCCACCTCTCTCTTCTCCCAACTAGCGCAACGTCAACTCGACCTATCGCAGGCCGAATACGACGACTCTTCCGCCTGGCGCTCCTCTTCACGTCGTCGCAAACACCGTCGGCGCAGAAGAGATAGCGATCACAGCAGCAACAGCAGCACTGATTCTTCACACGATCGAGCCCTTCAAAAGGAATGGGACGAGCAACTGGATCAGTTGAAGTTGATGTTTCAGATCATCATTTTTCCTTTTGCCGGCAAGTTTTTCGGTAGGAAGTTTGGATACTTTTGTAAGTCACACCTTCTACCTTTGCCTCGATCGATGCGACATAGGTCGAATAGGAGAGAAGATGGGGGAAGAAAACGAGCGATGAAAAGAGATGCAGACGCTGACCGATGGAATGGATTTGTCTTTGACAACAGTGTTCAATCGGTACAAGACGCTAGGGACGCCCTTTGCGGCGGCTTTCTGGCGAGGCGCCTCGTCCACCGCATAGCACTCTCGCATCAATCAACTTCATCTGCCATTTCAACATGATGCTGTGCAACCTCGTCGGTGCTCACACGCCTTCCGCTGCGACACTTCGCAGACCAGATCTGTGTAAAGAGTGTGTATTCCTATGCAACCGATCACCCACGACTCATGAACCTCGGCACGTTCCTTGCGCGTCTCCAGATCAACCCTGCACTAATCACCACCGCCAGCGCACATCCTATGCTCGTAACGACAAACACCTGACGATAGCACTCCTCTCCGTCCATGCAGAGGTGTCTCGCAGCGGGATGGTCGTCCCTGTGTCCCTTCATCGCCTCGAGCACCGTGGCTAACATCGTCGTATCCTGTGGAACATGAGAGTCGTAGATGTGTCCGAAGAGCAAATTGAACACGTTCCCTGCAACGACGGGGGAGAGGGAAACGAAACCGTAGTTCTGACTGAAATGCTTCATGCCGAACCATTCGAAGACGAGAGTGGGGCATACGCCGAAGAGTGTACCGTAGGCCAAACCCGTGAGGGAAGAGACGGCGAAGAGGTCGTCGGTGGTTCCGATGGCGCCTGGGTAAGCGGCCAGGATCTGACTCGCCAGCGCCAGGGTTGTCACCACGATCAGGAGCCATACGCGATCCGCAGCCGTACCCGTTCGATTGACGAGCAAGTCCGAAAGCAGACCAATGATGATTCGACCCGAGAAATTGCACAGCGAGATGGCCGAGACTTGTTTCGCCTGCAACTGTTGGACGGACGACTTGGCGCTCAGCTTCATCGCTTCGAACGCAGTCCTGCGAAGAGGAGCGTTGGATGCAGCGACGAGAACCGGATTGTCCCGATGATTGAAATCCCACAGCGTCTTGGTGATCGTCCCCACATTGTTGATCAGCAACAACCCCGCCCCGGAGACAAGCGTCATGACGAGGAAGATGAGATAAAAGTCGAGCTGCTGAAAGAGACGGCGACCGGAAATGTCGATATGCGCCGGATCGATGTCCGTGGCCGAATCGCGTTTCGATTCGTCCCGACCCGAAAGAAGACCTTGGGATTCGGGATCGATGTCGCCGTCCTCGTCGAGGCGGGTGGTGGCGTTGCGGGAGGATTCGGCTTCGGTCTCGTCGTCGGAGGGGGAGCCGGAAAGCGTCTCGGGCTGCTGCCAGATGGTAGCGCGCGCACCGATGTCCGAGGAGGTTCGACGGCGTAGGTAGTCGCGCGCGGCTTGTGGGGAATCCTGTCGGTCTTCGTCTGGTTCCGCGATGGGTGGGATGATCTTGATCAACCCGAGACCGATCAGCATGCTCGTCATACTTCCGAAGGCTAGCAGCAACAGATAGTCGCCGGTGTTGCCCGGGAATAGCAGATGCGACAGAGACGAGTAGAAGAAGGCACTCAGCCCAAACCCAGACAACACCAGCGCGGTTGCGGTACCCCTCCGACTGCCGCCCCAGCTCTTGGCCTGCGCATTCATCGCCGCTGTGAACCCGCCACTGTTTCCCAAGCCAGTCAGCAGGTTCAGGCCGAACAACAGGCTTGTCGAATGCAACGACCAGTCGCCCGAGTAGCTCAGCGACAGACCTGAGTACCCAATCGGCACGAGCACAGCTGCAACGATGAGCGCCGTGTGCGGCCCGCGCTTGTCGATGAACCGCCCCCACAGCGGCGACGAGAGGTAGACGCCTGCATTGCCCGCAATGCCGATGAGGTTGATCTGCGTGGAGGTGAGGTGGAGCGACTCTTGAAGTTGGGGTGCGAAGGAGGAGAACGCGTAGTTGGAGCCGGCGGAGAGGGCGACGCATACCGAGCCGGCGAGGGAGATGATCTTGCGTCGTAGGAGACGTTTGCGCTCTTCGGGGGAGAGGGGCTGCGATGCGCCGTTGGTGAGAGGCGCGGAAGACTCGGTGAGAGCCATTGTGGCAGATGGTTGGTCGCTGCTGCGAACTGAGACGGGGTGGTTGGTTGCCTCGATGGATGGTGTGCTGTGATACCGCGCTTGTAGGGGGCTGAGCAGGACCACTTTTTTAAGACCGAGCAACGGATATCGCCGAGTCGATGGCGCTATCGACGGTCGATCAGCTTCAGTGTTGAAAGTGAGGAGCAAAGGCCGCGATGATAGGCGGATGAAGGTAAAGGTGGACAGGAGTAAGCACATTCAACCTCGAGCCGCTGGTCGGTGGGCGTGCGGAACGAGAAATCTGAGATGCATATGCGGTCGATCCTCGAGTTGGCACTCTGACACTCCGCCTGAATTCACCGCCGCCGCCGTGTTTTGTGAAAAACGTGCTTGCACCGCCGTCCAGCAAGGCACAATTTAACCGGCAGCCCTCGTAGAAAGAGCTCTCTTCTCGCTGTCATCATTGAACTCGATTCGACAGAGTATCATGCATGCATCGTCTTCAGCATTCAGGGATTGACAAGCGTGATACGGATCTCTTGGTACGGCTCGTCCTGCTTAAGCTTCAATCTGCCGCGCGTCGCCAGAGCCAATGTGTGATAGAAAGCCTGAGCAGCCACAGCCGGCGTGCTAGACGCTACAGGCGCCAGGTCGCTGAAGAACAAGAAGTTGGGATCCTCGAGCTGCTGACGGATGGATCGAGCGTATTCGTAAAAGTTGCGTGTCTCTTCCTCCATGTCTTCCTCGAAGATCTGAGATGGAGGCGTCGGGGAGCGTTCCGCCGGCGCGGCAGGGGCGGTGGGCAGGCCCAGCCTGATTCGTTCGACGGATGGCGTGCCGGGCAGCGAGAGGGGTGGCTGGTAAAAGTCGTCGAATGGGACCGCGGTGGAAGGTGATGCGGGAGGGAAGAGTGGTGACTCGAGCGGAGGCAGTCGTCGCAGTCCAGTGGGCGTTTCGACCGAGACCTCGCGCAGGCGCAGCGGCGTCGTTTCGCGTTCGTGTGAGATAGACGGCATCATGGACGATCGACGGCGGTGCTCCATAAAGACGTTCCAGGGCAGCGACTCTCGAGCGCCTCGGAGGGCGGCTGGAATCTCGGGCTCGACGGCCGCTCGCGCCACGCCCACTTCCTGCTCGTCCAGATCCATAGGTGTGGGAGGAGGCGGGACAGGAGGAGCCTCGTCGATCGGAGAGAGTACCGCTTCAGCTCGCATCTCCCGCAGTCGAGCTCGTCGGGACTGCAGATGCTCTCCCACGGTCATCTGCCACATTTCAGTCAGCATCGGGTGGAGCGAGAGATCCTCGGGTGGGCCAAACATGGCTTGACGAACTGCGGCATCGGCTGCTCGCGTCTGTTTACGAGTCTGCTGGGCCAAACGGTGGGCTGCCATGCGAAACGGATAGTCGGCCCGTGCAGCGCGCATCTCTGCATCGCTTAGCATCGTCTCGGGGTCATCGAAGGGTCGAGGTGGCGGCCGCGGGCGTCGAACGGCAGGAGCGAGGAGAGCTTCCACTTCGGCCGTCTCCTCCTCTTCATCTCTAGGGCGACGAGCAGGAACAACGGTGGGGACGCCCTCCATGATGGGGCCGATCTCCATACGTGCAGCTTCTTCGGCGAGTCTCTCTTCGAGTTCTGGCCATTCGACCAGCGGTCCGATGGTGGCAGCGGTCTCGTCGCCCACTTCGCGTCGCTGGATGCCTTCGGGTGCGCCTGGGATAAAGGCCTCTGGTCTCTCGATGCCTTCGAGACCCAAGTCGAGCCCTTCGATCTCTTCCTCGTCGTAGTCACCTTCGCCAAACATGGGATAGAACTCTTCTCCCTCGCCAAACCCACGGGGCAGTCCCAGCTCGTCCTCTTCAAACGCTCTACCCGGCAATGTGATCCTCCCCTCTTCCGCAATGAACGAGACTGGCGTCGGTGTCCTGAACCCGTCTCCGAGCGCCTCCTCCAGCATCTCCCGTCTCTCCGGCGGCTCCACGCTCACCCTGTACATCAATCCGCTCGTCGCATCAAAGTCGAGTGTGAAGAATGCCAGATCCAAAGGCAGTGTGATGGCATCTACGCTCCTGACCGGTCTACGCATGTCGATGTTTTTCGTCTCGAGATCAAAACTACCGCCGGCAAGAACGTGTCGCCGAACTTCGCTATGCACGTTCGACACGTCCTGGTAGAGCAGCTCGGTCTGGTGGCCGTACAGCTTGACCACGCCGTACATGAGCTGACTCGACAGTCGTAGCGCCAGCGGCTCCGTCGGATGGCTGACATACTCGCACGCTTTGCGGACGTTGACGCTGAGAATGTCTCTGCGGCTGAGACGTCGAACGACGCTTCGATCTCCGAGAGTGGCTGCGAGCCACACGATGCCGAGTCCCGTCTTGCGCCGAGAGAGGATGTCGTGGCTGTAGAACATGATGTCAAAGAAAGTGGCTAAGGAATGTCGTGTTGGTCTGAGACGGAGCAGGGCGCTGGGTGGTGGAAAGGACGGATGTCATTCTGAGGGTGGACTTATATAGCATACATAGAGAGGTGAAAGCAATGTAGAGAAGAGAGATGGAATGCAGATGCGAATGCGATTAGACTACAAGCCCAGGCCGCGCGAGAGGAAGATTCTCTCCGAGGAAAGGGCGAGGGTATCGTTGGGGGTCTGTCGCAGAGCTCTTGGAAGAGCGTGGCGACAGAGTCTCGATGAGTATATGGTGTAGCAATAGGGACAAGGAGAGCGTGACGTTTGAGATGCTCGATCTCGAGCTTGCAGCGTTATGAATGATGGCCAAAAGCCGGTCGGCCGAAGCAGAGAGATCGCAGTTAGAATCTGAACCTTAATGCTGAGGCTGCTGCATCGACAAGGACCTTGCTTGAAACATGATCAATCAAATGACACAGCCAACTTAGTACGGCCGAAGCTGAGCTGCAGGAAAGTGTGCCGTCCAGATTGTGGGCGTGCTGGCTTCACTCGACCCCAAGTTGTCAAAGTGACCGAGCGAGTGCATACCAGATTTCTGCATCTGTCTGCGCTGCAAGAGGTTGTCGATGCTGGTTTCGGCATCTTCGGGGGCAGCTCCGAGTGCATGGTGCATCGCAGCCCAGTCTTCATAGGCTTCGTCCACTTCCGGGCCATCGCAGATTTGTATCAACCTCGTTTGTCGAGTTTCAGGCGCATATGTGAGGAATTCGTCCTCATCCGCTTCTGGCACGGTCTCGGCAAGGAAGGGTGCGAAACGAGGGGGCTGGTCGTGCTGGACCGACACAGCCTGGCTGACCTCGCCGCTGGATGTGTTTGTGCTGCGTGGACGATGAGCGCTTCTGCTGTAATGCGGCTCGACTTGATGCATGAGAGGAGCAACGTCCTCACCAGACTGCGCGCCTTCTTGTTGCTGGAGTTGACTGAAAGGCGAAGACCAGAAGTGCACCTCGTCTTCCTTTTCGCCATTTGCGGTTCGAATGTAGGTTCGAATGAGACATCCAAGGATGGCCAAGCTCACAAAGATGATGGCCCTGACCGTCTCTGAGCTCGGCATGGTTGCGGCAGAGCTTAATGCGGGCCGAAGCACGGTCTCTAACCAGTTGAGGGAGGAGTGCAGATGTTTTTGCGGTTGTCGTCCTGGTCGACGAAGGGAGTGGAGCCTGAGCAGAGTTTGAAGAAGAGAGGCCTTTAAGTCCTTCGGAAAGGTCAATGAGTGAGATGCAAGGGGATACAGTCGCTGAGCTTGAATGTGTCGTGATTTGTGATCAGCTTGGAGATGGATGAGCACCTTGACAGGTCTTATGTAGTTGAGGGACGAAGAACACGGATACCGGAGAAAAAGAGCGTCGTGGATCTGTGCGCCGATGACAGCCACTTGGGGCAGTGCTGTGAAAGCGGGACTCGCTGTCGGTGGGATCGATGGAGATTAGATGTGGGAGGAAGGCAGAAAGGTGTGATGCAACGTGAGAGCATAACTTTGCGAGGGCCTCTTTTTGCGGTAACATCTTCGGAAAGCATCGAGCTGAGCTTTCAAGTTGAAAGAGCACGCCTTTGGTCGGAACTGCAAAAGAAAAAAACTCAAGTGGGCCAAAAACACGGGCCGTGTTTCCCAGGGTCCCGCGGGGCATTTCCTCCAGGCTGAGTCTTGCTGACTGTGGTCACTTCTGTCAACCCATCGGCCTTGTCCGTCATGCTCATCCTTTGCAATGCAGCTGCGAATCTCAAGCTGCTCCTGTTCGTGAGAGTGAGCCAAAGACAGTTAGACGGATAACGCCGAGCCCGGCCAATGGAGGAGGAGTCAGCAATGATGGACAACGCTGGAAAACACATCTCTTCTAAGGAAGCGAGCGATCATCGGACCCTACAACTGATCAGGGCAAACAGGTCCAAATGAGTGTGCGTCTGCAGGTCAGCCGCGCAGCCGAGTTGGCTGATCCACCGAGCAGCGTCCCTCTTTCCCTAAGCGAGGTTCCATGCACAGGACAGACGGAAGCATCAACCTTCGCTCGTCTTCCTGATGCGATAGGACTGCAGCGAGCTCCTGTCTTCGTCTTGCCTCTTGCTGAGCTTGAGTCTCGGCTGCGTAGCAAGCAGAAGAGAGGAATCTTGAGTGTCGCTGCACCTTTGCGAGCTGCTTGATTCAAGGCGTGGCTGGATCAATCAATTCACATGCCGAGCAGGTTCGTGCGGTGGCGCATCCAGTTGACGCTGACCGCTCAGCAAGCCGACCTTCAAGACCTCGAAGGGCCGTAGCGCAGCCTCACCTCTTCCGAACGGAGCTGAGCCATGGTGAGGGGGCTCTTTCTCTCAATCCGAAAACGCACAGATCCATGTCTGACTCGGCGCGAACCGTGCATCTCGTCAATGCGGCCTTCATTGACTCTTGTTCTGCGCAATCTGAAGTCAAGCTGCACTACTGAAGTTCGCTGATATCCTCCGCTGCTGTTGCCATCACCATCAGCCAGGGGCAGACTTGCATAGGGGCTCTCTCCTTCTTGAGACGATCGAATCGGAGTTTGGTTCCACAGAAACAGAGCTTTTTTTCGGTTGCAGAGGCGAGCAGAAAAAATGCGGGGAAGGCGGTCAGCTGACTGAGCCCTCACGCGCCAAATCCTCATGATGTGAGATTTTGCTCCTTGCTGTTTGGCTGCGTTGAGTCTTCAGCAAATCGGCCGACAGATCTCTCCGATTCGGTCGCCTTTTGCCGAGAGAGAAAAAAGTCGGCGCCGGGTCCATGTGATCCGACACCTGACAACCAGATGCTCCGGTCCATCCTCTCTATCCTTCCATCATCACCTCCCTACCTGGCCTGAAGCATCTTCTGACCGCGCGGTCTCATGGTGCTGATTGCTTGTCCTTTCTCAACGTCTATTATTCCCGGCTTGGCTTCTCGTTCGTTCCGCTCGTTCGCTCCTACTCTCCGTTCCCGCGTCGTGGCACCTTCGACTCCTCTCTCCGTCTCTTCGCGCTTCTTCACGGCCTCTCGTGCATCTTCACCGAGTCCCATCACCGCACATCGTCTGAATTGTCGCACCGATAGCATTCGAGCTGCAACGTACGCGACCATGACCTGGACTCCCCCCAACCCCACCTCGGTCGGCGCTCCTGCCGTGCGCACCCCCGAGGACACCCACACGCATGCAGCGGTCGCAGAGTACAAGCCTGTCCATCTGCATCTCGACTGGAACATCGACTGGGATGCACGCATCATCAAGGGCCGTGTCTCTCACATCATCGAGCTCCTCCAGCCGGGTCTCACTTCCATCACCTTGGATGCAAGCTACCTCAAGATCATCTCGGTCCACGTCGAAGGCAAGTCTGTCGACTACAGTCTCGGCACGCAGCGAGGAACCCTCGGTGCGCCTCTCCAGATCCCAATTCCCTCCTCGATCAACAAGAAGGGCGACAAGGTGCATGTCGACATCGATTACAGCACCACGGAGCATTGCACCGCTCTCGGCTGGCTCACAAAGGAGCAGACCGCAGGCAAGACCAACCCATTCCTCTACTCGCAGTGCCAGGCTATTCACTGCCGTTCGCTCGTGCCCTGCATCGACACGCCTTCTCACAAGATCACCTACACCGCCACTGTGCAGTCGCGGATCCCGGTCCTCATGTCGGCCCTCAAGGACGACGCCAAGCCAAGCCAGGCTGGCACCTACCACTTCAAACAGCCTGTGGGCATCCCCTCGTACCTCATTGCCATCGTCGGAGGTGACCTCGAGTTCCGCAAGCTTGGCGAGCGTACCGGTATCTGGGCAGAGCCACCCAATGCCGATGCTGTCCAATGGGAGTTCGAAGCCGATGCCGAGCGTTTCCTCAAGCACGCAGAGAAAGTCATCTCGCCCTATTCGTGGACCCGTTACGACTCGGTCGTGCTTCCACCTTCCTTCCCTTACGGAGGCATGGAGAACGCCAACTTGACCACGCTCACCCCTTCGCTCGTCTGCGGTGACCGAAGCTTGACCGATGTCCTTCTGCACGAGCTCTGCCACTCGTGGTCCGGCAACCTCACTTCGTGTGCCAACTGGACCCACTTCTGGCTCAACGAGGGCTGGACCGTCTACCTCGAGCGTCTTCTGCTTCAGGATGTCCACGGTCCAAAGGAAGGTCCAGCTCACCGTGGCTTCTCCTACATCATCGGCTCGAAAGCCCTCAAGGATGCGCTCGAGCAGTTCACAGGCACCCCGCGATTCCAGCGTCTCATCCCCGCCTTCAAGGATGGTGAGGACCCCGACGACGCTTTCAGCTCCATCCCTTACGAGAAGGGCTCCAACTTCCTCCTCTACCTCGAGCGCACCGTTGGCGGCCTCGACAATTTCCTCCCCTACGCAAAGAGCTACTTTCACGCCTTCTACAACCGATCCGTCACCACGCAAGAGTGGCGCGAGCACCTGTTCAAGTTCTTCGAGGGCAACGCCAAGGCTACGGACGCGCTCAACAAGGTCGACTGGGATGCGTGGTTCCACGGCGAGGGTCTCGAGCTGCCCGTCAAGATGGAGTACGACACGACGCTTGCCGAGCAGGCCTTCTCGCTCGCTAGCCGATGGATCCAGGTCATCGACGGTCAGACTTCGCTCGAGAGCGCCCACTTCAACCCTGCCGATATCGACGGCTGGAACGCCAACCAGGTCGTCGTCTTCCTCGAACGTCTGCACTCGGGCCCCAAGGTGCCGCTGGTCGTGACGCAGAAGCTCGACGAGGTGTACGGCTTCAGCAAGGCGACCAACGGCGAGGTGCTGCTGCGCTTCTTCGAGGTCGCACTCGAGGTCAAGGGTGGCAAATACGCCCAGCAGGCTGCCGAATGGGTCAAGGGCCAAGGCAGGATGAAGTTCTGCCGAACCGTTTACAGAGCGCTCAACAAGGTCGAGCCCGAACTGGCAAAGAAGACGTTCCTCGACAACAAGAGCTTCTACCATCCCATCGCAGCTGCTCAGATTGAAAAGGTATGTACTGATCTCCCGTCTCACCACTTTCTCCCCTTTTATCTTCTCTCCCCGCCGAGTGAGGTGTTGCTGCCAGCAGCTCGTGCGACATCCTGGACACTGTTGCTGACACGCGCCTCGGCAACGTCGTTCGCCCCATCTTCTCCTTCCTCAGGATCTCGGTCTCTAGATTCACGCATACTCAAATACAAATTGCATTTTGCCCCATCTCCTCTTCATGCCGACGCTTGTGCAGGATCTGTCCCTTTCCTCCTCGACACAACCTCCCTTGCCGCCCGTGATCACGATCTTTGGCAGCACCGGCACGGGTAAAACCAAGCTTTCCGTACAACTTGCCCAGGCCCTCTCCGCATCCACCGACGCCCCCCATACCGGGGCGGAGATCATCAGCTGCGACAGCATGCAGATCTACAAAGGGCTGGACATTATCACCAACAAAGCGACGCCGTCCGAGATGGCCGGGATTCCGCACCACTTGATCGGCTTTGTTGACCCGGCGGATGATCTCGAGGGTGGGTATGACGTGACGCAGTTCGTCGCAGACACCAATCGTATCGTTGACGAACTTGAGGAGCGCGGCAAAGTGGGTTTGGTGTGCGGGGGAACAACGTACTACTTGCAGCATCTTCTCTTTCCTGGTCGTCTCATCACCTCGTCTCCCGACGAAGAGGTGGAACTCACCCTCGACCCGCTCTACCAGTCGCTGAACGAGGAGGAGCGGGAGCTGTTGGACCGAGTTTCGGCGGGAAACGCTGGGAAGGTCGACCTCGCCGCTGCAGCCACCGCCGATCCGGCGCTGAGTATGAAGCTCTGGCAACTGCTCTCCAAGCTCGATCCCACCATGGCGGCGAGGTGGCATCACCGCGACGCGCGAAAGATCGCCAACTCTTTGCGGGTGTACAAATCCACCGGTCGTCCACACTCCGCGTTGATTGCCGAACAAGATTCCCATCCCACCCCACCTCCCTCCAGCAGCCGGGGAAGTGTGAGTGGGCGTCGGAAGCTCCTTTTCTTCCTCTGGTGCGATCCGGCTGTTCTGCGAGAAAGGCTGGATGCGCGGGTGGACGAGATGATCTCTCGCGGGTTGCTCGACGAAGTGTCCACCCTCCGCACCATCGCACCCTCCCCGAGCTTCCAAAGCGGCATCTTCCAAACCATCGGCTATCGGCAGTTCGCACGCTACCTCGAGTCTCCTCAGGAAGATGCGTGGGAAAGGGCGGTGGAGGAGACCAAAACGACCACGCGTCAGTACGCCAAATCACAACTCAAGTGGGTGCAGAACAAGCTCGTACCGGAGATCCGACGAGCCCAGGCCAGAGGGGAGGAGGTCGAAGTCTTCCTTCTCGATGCAACAGACGCGCAGAAGTGGGGAGAGAAGGTCTTGACCCCCGCACTGGATGTCATGCGCCGCTTCTTGGCAGGAGAGCAGTTGCCAAGCCCAAGAGAGGTCTCCAATCCCACAGCGGCAGAGCTCTATCTGTATGCGGGAAGGAGCGAGAACCAGGCCCTCACAAGGATGGGCGAAGGAGATGGAGGGGAAGGAGGAAGGACGATCGAGGCCAACAAGCTGTACACGTGCGAGGTGTGCACGTTCGATCCTGTCCACCCGGTGCGCGTCCGAGAGGTGGACAGAGATACGCATAGGAAGGGCAGACACCATAGGAACAACGTCAAGCGCAGAATGACGGACGAGGAGAAGGAGAGGAGGATCAGAGACAAGATCGAACAGGGTGAACGGGTGAGGGCGCTGCGAGAGCAGTTGAAGCAGCAGCAGCAGCAGCAGCAGAGCTCAGCACAGGACCAAACATAAGAGTCAAGATAGACAAAGTCGCGATTAATCATATACCCCGGAGCGAACGAGCAACAAACCATAACTTCATGTGGGCGGCTGCTCTACAAAGCCTGCGTAGCGTCGATCTCAATGGCGGGCACGATGGACGCCATAAACTTGAGGAAGATGATCATGTACTGGTCCACCCTCAGCCCTTCCACTTCCTCCTCTTCCCCAGCAGCCTCGTTCGTTGCATTTCCCGCATCCTTTCCCTCGGCCGTCGCTGGCGTCTTTCCCTCCGCCCCTGACCCCGTGACCCTCTTGACAGCGCTCGAGACGCTCCAACCCTTCTTCTTCTTCTTTTCCCCGCCCGCCGTTGCTCCCCCCGACGCAGCCGCTGCCTTCCTCTGCTCCTCGATGACGCTCGCATTCATCCTCTCGATGACCTTCTTCATCACGCTCGCGTGCTTGCACGGGTGAATGCTTGCGGTCGCCACGCCCACCGCCGACGCATTCGACGTAGCCGAGCTATCAGGCCCAGCATGCCCATGGGGGAATGGCTCGATGGTGACCGTCTTTTGCGCATAGTCCGACGAGACGTCCTCGAAGATCTGCGCGGGCTTGAGAGGGACGCCATGCTCGTCGTAGCCGACGAGCCACATGCGTGGGGTCTGGTAGTACTTGTCGTACGTGATGATGCAGTCGTACTTGCGGACCGAGATGAGTTTGCTGTTGTCCCCTCCACCGGCGGCTGTTGTCGAAGTGGAGGTGGGAAGGGTGGGTGGTGCGGCGGTGGCTGGGTCGTCTTCCTCGACAACGCCGCCAGCGAGGTCGTCCGTCTCATCGTCCATGTCAGGGATGTCCGGCATGTCGGGGATGTCGCCGATGTCGGTGCCAGAGGCCGAAGCCTCCAGGTTGGAGCTCGAGGGCGTTATGCTGACACCAGCGACACGGGAGGCAAGATCGTCCTCCTGGCCCTCGGTGAGCTGATGTTCCGGCGCAGCTTGGTCTTCGCCAATGTCGGGAATGTCGATCATGTCTGCTGCTCGGTGGTTCGAGCCTGCCTGCTGCTCGTCAAAGTGAGTCGCCACCCACTGATCATCTTCAGCTGCGTCCGCTGCCCCCTCATCGAAGCTCATGAGCTTCTCGTCGTCATCGTTGACCCCGACTCCCACCCCCTTCTCGATCTGACTGACTCGACGCAGCGAGGGTACGCCGCACGAGATAAGGAATTGCTTGTCCTTGGGCAGATAGTCGCGCGCCTTAGATGAGCTGCCGGCACACCATTGCCATGTCGGGAACTTGTAGGATAGGAAGTCGCCCGCAGCTACAAACTCTTCCGGTGTGATCCGGCCGTGCTCCTTGAATTTCGACTCTCTCAGGACGGGTGAGAGGTAGTCGCGTACTGCCCAGAAGTGGGTCTGTAGCGTGTTCATGTTGCGAGGACCGCAGAAGGTCTTGTCGGAGATTCTACTCGAGAGCGTCAGAACAATCTTCGATGGCAAAGGCGGGGAGTGTCAAAGTGGCGAGGTGTCAAAAGGCAAGGTGTTGTGAGCTGCGTGTCCATCAGAGCTGAGTTTTTTAGAGTGATGGTCCGTGGTTCAGGCTGCGCTTTGAGTGTGACTGTTCGAAGGGACCCTGACTGGACCCTAACACGAGGGCGCAAATTCTAGAAATGTTAGTTATGCGGGTTGGAAAAGTCGCAGCAAAAAGTCATGGCAAGAATTGAGGTCGCAAAATGATGCTCCGAAAACAGCTCCAGCACTCACTTCGAGCCATCGCATGAGCCAGCAGGCTTCACTCGTCACGTTGTACCGTCCAGGCTGCTCCTACAGAAGCAACGCAAGGCGACCAAGAACAATCAGAGACGCATCTTCCGACTCAGCATATCAGCATGGAGACGCAGTCTACCTCGGAGATCGCACCGGCCAATCATTGTGCCTCTCGTGAGATTGCTTGGGACGCCAATCGGACCCTATGCAAACAGACAGACAGTAACCTTGCTGGCACATGCATAGACGCAACCAACACTGTGGAAGACTCTGATTGACTCTGGTTGACCGGCGGGCAACGGATCGTGGGAGCCGTCGCAGTTTTAACTCAAAAGCCGGGGCAACCGTACAGCGACAACGCTCTGCCGTTCCTGCTTTGTTTGAGATTCGAGCCAGTTGAATCTTTCCAAGAATCTGCTGTGCCTTTCTATCGAGGTCAAGGTGACCCTCGTACGGTCTGGACACCCCAGCTTTTGGGGTTCTAGGATCGTCCCTTTCAAAGTGCGGCGGGCGGGTAAACGGCGTTGACAAGATGGCGATGGTCTAGGCTTTGCGTTCTGTGCTCGGAGTGCGAAGCGTCGACATTTCAAGTTTGCTCTGCCGAAATGTCAGACAGTAAAGTATCGCGTCGGCGAAAAGAGAGCTTTGGTGCGCCCTCGTGCCAAAGCTATGCTTACGTCGACGCGCCGATCCCCACGTCCAAAATTCAAGTCGACGCGGTGCACTTCGACGATCGGATGATGCTTATCATGTGCGCGTTTGTCCGCACGGCACGTTGAATTTGAGTGTGGCTCGGCGCTTAGCCCGCTGCAGGCCTTTGAACAGAGCTCGTCCTCCCCTTTCCATCCGTCCCCGAAATTAACGGCCTTCAGCACCATCAACGGTTGCCTCAAAGGTCTGCGCCGGCGATGTTGTCGGCAATCAGATGGTCTAGACGGGCCGATCTTTCGCTTTGCACAGCCGAACAATCATGGGCGGAGCCCCAAGATTGGTCTGGATGGCCTGTTGCTTGTCCCTACATGTGCTCGTACGATTTGCCTCGTCGGGCATGGGCTGAAGCGAAGCGTCGCAAACAATGCTTTTCGAGCATCACTGGCGGATCTCGGATAGCAACTCATGCAAAGACGACTTCACCTTCAAGCATGGCCGATGCAACATGAGCAGCACTCGCAGACCAAAGCAAATGCCGGATGAGCTTTTGTGGTAGAGTGGGGGGAAATCCGCAAGCATCGCCAGCACAGCGGATGATCACTGGCGTCGGTCACATCGGCATTGTCCGTCTCGCTTTGTGACAGGCAGACCATGGGATGAGCACATGGGCAAGCACTTCCACCGCCATCGTGGGCACCGACAATGCATTGCCGAGCCTCTTGGGCGAAACAGATTCGGCAAATACCAAGCTTCTTGGGTTAGCTGACGAGCAGACGACGGCATACTCAATATCGGCATGGGAGGGTGGGCGCAAGTCGATCTGAACGGAAGAGCGAATCTCAAGCCGAGCCGCAAAAGAGAGTGACCCATGACAACTGAGCAGAGAGAGCAGGGTGGCAGTGACAGCCTGCCAGCTTTTCGACGTCCGCTTGTCTCCCTCTTGGCAGCGGCGAGGGCGACGCCCACACTCTAGAACCACGCTGAACTGGGGAAAAAATGTTGATCCAAACGAGGCGCTTACTGAGCCATCTCTGTCGGCAATGCCGACGATGGTCAAGTCCAAGAAAAACCTTCGTTTAATTTAATTCATGCCGGTGTTTGCTAGCGTTTAGGCCTCGATCTGGATGGATTTTATTTTAGTCAGTCTGGAAATCATGACTCAGGACGCAAAAAGGCTGTGAAGCGGATTTTGCTTTCCATCCACATCGTAAGCTTGTCAGACTGCTCTGCTGCTGCTCCTGGTTGAGTGGATGATTCACAGCTCGACGCCGCGGCCTTGTTGGACACGCCCAGGCTTTCAGCATCTGTTCAACTCCGATGAGCACGGCAGCCTCTCTTCTGACACCCCTGCTCCTCTCCCAATATTTCGGGTCGGAAATGCCGCCCACTTGCGGGCCATGGAACACGCCTTGCAAATATTGGCCACAGGGATCAGAGACAACTCATTGTCCTTGGCCCTCTCCGCCTGTGCCTCTCTGCCGTCTGCCGGCGCAGTGGATTGGCGTGCGATCTGTGTGGTTTGTGGTTCAGGGTGGTGGCGACGCTGTGCTGTACCGCAACTTTTTGGCGACGTGTAGAACCGTGTATCTCCTGCCTGCCCCTCAACTGAGCCCTGGCTCCCCTTCGCGTTCAAAGACTGTGTCCCATCTTGCTCTCCCCTTACTTCCCTTCCACATCCACCTCTCATCGCATCAATCTTGTCTCTACGACAACAGCCCTCTGGCACACCCTAACCTCATCACAGAGACCGATCCAAGAACAGCTCAATTCAGCTGAGGATCCCTTCTCTGTACCACATCATCCATAGTGACGTCCATCATCTCATCCACCTGGCTTGCAACCGACCAAGATCGACTCAGTTCCTATCGCATAACGACTTTGCAATCAGCAACCTTGCAATCCGACCGCAAAGTGTTCACCACAATGCTTCATCAGCGCACCCCCTCCCAAACCTCGATTGGGCCTTTCAATACGCCGAGGCCCACGGTGCACCTTGAGCACCCGCCTTCCATCCCGCGATCGCCCATTCGCAGTACCGACCCTATGCAGAGCGAGTTCTCGTCGGCGCTTCCGCCGGCGCGACCGCCCGCGTCGTTCACGCGCAGCGCCTCGTCGCGCAGCAACCCGGCACTCACACCTGCCAAGCGACCTTCGTCTGGTCACTCGTCGCGCCAGTCGTCGTCCGACTCGATCGGCTCCGTCAGCACCGCCTCGTCTTTCGCCCGCGCTGAGTCTTCGGACTCGACCGCCAGCAGCTTTGGCTCGTCCAGCGCGGAAGAAGAGGACCTGATTCAGGTGGTCTACACGTCGTCCGCCAAATCGCGTCACATGCCGCTCGACGAGGTCAAGCAGATCCTGCGTGCCTCGCGATCCAACAACACCGCCTTGGGCATCACCGGCCTCCTACTCTACCGCGATGGTTCCTTCGCCCAATTCCTCGAGGGTCCCGCTGACGCCGTCGACTCGCTGTACGACAAGATCGAGCGCGATTCGCGTCACCACGGCGTCATCCGCGTGCTTCGACAGCCCGTCGCCAAGCGCGACTTCCGACAGTGGAGCATGGCCTTCCGCGACCTCGACATGGTCCGCAAGCACCGTTCGCACGATTCCGACTGTGTTGGCGACGAGATGGCTCCGGAGGAGCACGTCAACGAAGGGTTCAGTCAGCTGATGAACGTTGGCTTGAGGGTGGGCGACTCGTCCGATGGCGATTACCGACCCGACGCGTATGGCAACGCCAAGCTCGATCTGCCCGCAGACATGTCGGCGAGCATGCGTAAGCTCGTCGTCACCTTCTACCGTCTCATGGATCGTCCCCTGTAGTCTCTCGTCTTATGTCTCTTTGGGCTTCCATTTCGGTCTCGCGGTCTTCCGGTATACCCACGCTGCTGTCATCTACATTGGCGACGCAGCTTCGTCTTGCTAGTTTGCCTTCTCTCTCTCACTCGGGTTAGCGTCACCTCTCTCTCTCTTTCTGCTTCCTTGTTCTTATTCAGCTAGCGTCGTGGACATCTATGGGCAAACACGTAATGGATACTTTCACTCACTTCTTTTCTCTGTGCGACCGGCCCGTGTCTTGCTTATTTTAAAAGCAGTCAAGGCCAGCATGAGCGAGCAATCCCAGCGTGAGCTTATCTCCTTCACCCCACGGTGGATGTATCATTGAGCGGAGGGTCAATAGAGCTTTGTTCGGCAACCACGCCGATCGACCCTGCCATGGCGGAGTTTGGAAAAGACCACGCTGCTTTCTCTCAGAAAGAGACCCAAGCTGAGCTTTTTTTGGTGGCTCTGCCCTGCGGACTCCGTCACCCGAGGGTCCAGCTGGATCAAGGCTCGAAATTGACCTTGACTGTTAAAGTGTTGCTACTCTCTTCGGGTCTCGGACTGAGCCCTGGGCGGGAAAAAAATTTGGGAAGCATGCACACTGCAAACTTGCTTCCTTCACAGACCAGCCAACTCGACATCAACGCCTTCCTGAACGAGAGGGTCTATCAAGATGGCGAAGGGCGGCAAGAGCAGTCGCGCTCCGGCGACGCCGTTCGTCGATGCACCAATGACCACCGATCCGCGCTTCGCAAAGGTCCACACCGACCCGCGCTTCCTCAAGCCCAAACGCGATGACACCAAGGTGGTCGTCGACGACCGATTCAAGGGTCTCTTCGAGGACGACAAGAGCAAGAAGAAGAAGACGGACAAGTACGGCCGCAAGGTCGGCAAGGGCAAGAGCGATGCGGATCAGATGAAGCGCTTCTACCGACTGGAGGAGGAGGATTTGGATCCTAGCAAGGGGGGCTCGGACGATGAGGAGGATAGCGACGAAGATGCTGCGCCCGTGGACTATGCCCGTGGAGAAGGCATGCTCGAGAGCAGTTCCGAGGAAGAGTCATCCGAAGCCTCGGACGATGAGGATGAAGGCTCGGATAGCGAAGACGACGACAGCGAGGAGGACGACGTGATGATCGGCCCTTCCACCGTCATCGACCGCGAGAAGAGGAAGAAAGCTGCTCGCAACGCACGCTTCGCCGACGACGACGACGACGATGACGGTCTCGGATCTGACATTGGTGAGATCGACTTGGACGAAGACGTTGACGAAGCCGTCTTTGCCCAGCTGGACGCTCAGGCGGAGCGTGCCATTGCCGAGGGGGGTATCGAGGACGACGAGTCCGACTCTGATGCTGAGACCTCCTCCTCGCGCAGGAAGTCCAAGGGCAAAGAAAAGGCACGCAGCAAGAAGTCGAGCAAGAACAAAATCCCACGCGGAGACGACACTTGCCGCCTGGCCGCCGTCAATCTCGATTGGGATCACGTTCGCGCCAAGGACATCTACAAGGTCTTCAGCAGCATTGTCTCGCCCACCGCGGCGATCTCGGCTGCCGAAGCTCTCCACGCTCACCGTCAAGCCGCCACCACCGACTCGTCCTCCCGTGCCAGAGCAGCACCCGCCATCTCGCAGGTCCGTGGCAAGCTGCTCCACGTGCGCGTCTACCCCTCTGACTTTGGCAAGGAACGCATGGCCAAAGAAGACCTCGAAGGTCCGCCACCCGAGATCTTCAAGGGGTCCAAAACCCTCTCTGACTCAGACGAGGAGATCACGGCCAAGACCATCATCCAAGTGGACGAAGGTGGCGAATTCGACGAAGAAGCCTTGCGCAAGTATCAACTCGACCGCTTACGCTACTACTACGCCGTGGCGACGTTCGACAGTCGCGAAACCGCGCGCCACGTGTACAACGAGATCGATGGCACAGAGATGGAGCGTACCGCCAACGTCTTTGATCTTCGTTTCGTTCCCGATGGCATGGACTTCGCGGACGGAGAAGAGGGGCGCGACGCCGAGTTCCGCGACGAAGCAACCGAGGACGCGGCCAACTACAAAGGTGTCGACTTCAAAACGGATGCGCTGCGTCATTCGCGCGTCAAGCTGACGTGGGATCAGGACGATCCGGAGCGATCCAAGTTGACGCGCATGGTCTCGCGCGGTGGACTCAGCAAGGAACAGCTGCGGGACGACGATTTCAGAGCCTACCTCGCGTCGGATAGCGAAGAGGAGCCGGATGCCGAGGAGATTGCGGCCAAGAATGGACGCAATCGTCTCCGGGCATTGCTCAACCTGGACGGTGGGGAGGACGGAGGGTTTGGCAAGAAGGGCAAGCGAAACGGAGGGGTGTTCGACGACCCGCGCCACGACGATGACGAGGAGCAGGGCGAGATGCAGATCACGTTCATGCCCGGTCTATCCGAAGCAGCGGCGAAGAAAGCCGCGAACGGCAGCAAGAAGTCGGCGGAAGGAGACGAGACGACGCTCGAAAAGTACCTGCGCAAGCAGAAGGAGAAGAAGGAGCGCAAGAAGGCCAGGCGAGGCGAGGAGCCGCTCGACGAGGCCGAAGAGGAGGTCGCCGTCGACGGTGCCATCGACAACACGGACGCTGGCTTCGATGACCCCTTCTTCAACGAGGACATGGACATGGAAGCTGCTCTCGCCGCCGAGTTCGGCGACAGCGCCCCTAGCACCAAGTCGAGCAAGAAGATCAAGTCCAAGACCACCAAACCCGCCCCAGTCGAAGAAGACCCGGCCGAAGCTGCCCGCCAGCACGCCCAACTGACATCTCTGATTGGGTCGACCAACGACGAGCTCACCCAGGACGGTCGCCAACATTTCGACATGAAGGACATCCTCCGCGTCGAGAGCGGTAAAGATGCCAAGCGGGCCAAACTGCTCAAGCGCCTGTCCAAGAAGAAGCAGCGCGAAGAGGCGCAATTCCAGGAACGCAAAGGTGCCCCTCTGGTTCAGGACACCTTCGAGATCGATGCCAAGGACGATCGATTCAGTGCGCTGATGGACGATCATCGGTTTGCGATCGATCCGACGCATCCTGGCTTTGCCAAGACGAAAGCGATGCAGAAGATCATGGATGAGAGAAGGGGCAGGTTGGATCGGCTGAATGGGGATGATGTGCCGATGGGGCGGGAGGGCAAGAGGAAGACGGGAGGGGATGGGGAAGGTAAGGGAGATGGAGAGCTGTCGGCGCTGGTGGAGAAGCTCAAAAGGCGTGGGAACGGCGCTGGGGATGAGGATGAACAGAGGCGGCACAAACGCAGCAAGCGCAAGCCGAAGGCGTAGTCGTTCACATCCTCCTTGTCTGTCTGCAATGCAAAGACACGCGCCATCGAGGTTGCTGCTTGGAACCCGACTGAAGCCGTGAGCTCTTTCTGCCTGTCGTGAGGAGCATTGAAGTCAGAGATGAGAACTTTGCGCCAGTGGGGCCGCCAGCTGAGCCACGGCATGGGATGGATCGTTTCCGAGCTTGACTTTCGGTTGTGTGTCGCTCCAGTCTTCGTTCTTTCGAACCCGGCCGTGTGTGGCCGTGTGTGTCTCCCATTGAATCAAGGTACGCTGAACAGTGTCGGATTTGTTGCTGTTGAGTACAAGTACATTGTGTGCGCGGGCCTATGCGTCTTCAGGACCTTCCGAGCCGGGAATGAGCTGAGCGAGTCGGTATTCAGAGCAAGCAACGCGGTCAGTATCTTCCAACAATCAAGCCTTCCTTGCATGTGATTGACGACTTACCATGCAGATGTTGTTCCCGTTCAACAGCGTCTGGCCCAGCTTGACCTTGTGTTTCTTGCCGTCTGCAGTGGTCTCGCTATCAAACGCCAAGTTGAAATCACATCAGTATCGTCTCCTCTCTTCCGTCTTCGTGGCAGCTCGCACTTACTATTCAGTAACGTCCTCAAGAACCATGTTGACGTAGTCATCAAAGCCGAGGAGGGTGCCGCTGAATTCGCGGTCGGTCTTCATGATCACCCAGATGCTGGAGCCGATGCACTTGTCGATGAGTTCGAGAGGGAGGATGGTTGGGAGAGCAGCGGCGGCGGCGGCTGCGCCGGCGGGTGTTGGTTCGCCTGGAGGTGCCATCGTGTCGAGCTATGTATGCGTGTTGGTGTTTCAAGCGAAGAACGGGACCGATGAAGACTGTCAAAAGCGTTGAGGCGGGTGCGCGTGGAGCGACCGAGTTCCGAATATTTTTTCGACGCTCAGTCCTCGACACCTCGAACCCCTTTCCGCTCCCTTCACACACTTCGACGGATGCGCTACACCCGCTCGTTCGTTCCCGCACATTAGGCTCGGCATCGCGGTCGACGGAACAAAGAGCCATGCCAGACGAGAAACTTCAATCCTACCTCGCAGCACACTACCTCTCTGGCCCCAAAGCGGACGCCATCCTGGCGCGCAGCGCGGAAGGCAAACCCAAACGCAAGAAGAAGCGCGCCGACGCCTCTTCCTCCTCAGCTTCTTCTGGTCTCGTATTTAAGGACGACAATGATTCGTGGAAGGCAGGTGTCGCGGAGGACGACGAGGAGGGACCGGTGACGCAAGATGTTCATGATGCCAGCGCTCCCGGTCGGGCCTTTCGAAAGGTTGGATCGTCGAGCAAACGAACCGTCGAAGAAGCGACGACAGCCAGTGTACCAGAGCCGACCGAGTTCAAAGCGGGTCTTCGGAGCAAAGAAGAGATGAAAGCGGCGCGGTTGGCACGTGAAGCTCGTCGTCGCGAAGCACCCCCCACCACCACCGTCGACCTTGCCACACCTCCTGGACCCGAGGAAGAAGAGCAGCAGACGGTATACCGCGACTCGTCAGGTCGCGTCATTGACATTGCCGCCCACGAAGCGCAACTCAAGCAGCTCGAGCGCGAAGCGCAACGCAAAACCTCCGAGCGAGCCACCTGGTCCCAAGGACTGGTGCAGAAGCAACAGCGCCAATCGGACGCAGCCGCCCTCGCCTCGGTCTCATCCCAAACCGTTGCGCGGCGCGCCACGGACGACGAATTCGATCGCCACTTCAAGGATCAGCTCAGGGAAGACGACCCGGCGTTGGCGTTCCTGACCAAGAAGAGGGCGCAAGGACCGACGAAGCCCAAGTACAAGGGTGGCTGGCCGCCCAACAGGTTCGGCATCGCGCCTGGCTACAGGTGGGACGGCGTGGATAGAGGGACCGGGTTCGAGAAGGCGTTTTTCGAGCGAAAGAACGCGCTAGCGAGGAGAGAGCAGGAGGCGAGAGCTTGGGGCAGGGAAGATATGTGATGCTTCCACCATGCTGTCTCACAGCGCAAACATATACCCACGTCTTCAAAGAGGACAGCGTTCGTGACAAAATGTGTGTTGCCGGGTGAAGTAGAGTACAAATACAAAGGGCATGTGGGCCCGACTAGCGGCGTGATGCCGATGAGGTAGAAATACAGAGATGCCGCCGGAAGGCTCATGCGTGGTGCGCATTCGATGACGCGGTCTCTTCCTCCTCGCGCAGGCTGCCGTCTCTAGGCACCGACAGACCAGAGCCGTGGCGTTGGATGCGTCCCGAGCCACCGGTACCTGGTCGGCTTCCAGGACGACTCTGCGCGAGAGAGTCCGCGTTGCCCTCGAGGCCAAGGAGATTCGCCCTTCCAGCAGATTTGTCGAGCTTGTCGACACTGCTCGAAGGAGCAAAGAGGGTGGCGTCCGAGGAGCGACGGGACTCGTTCTGCGGCAAAGGGTAGGCATCAGGCAGATGGTCCGCCGTGGGATCTTCTCCTGTTGTCGGAAGATGGTTGAGATACTGCAGAGCGCCTCGTTTCGCATCGGTACTGTAGTCGTTCTGGCTGGCGCCGTGACAGAGTGCCGAGGATTTGGGCGAGACGTCTCCGGATTGCATGCCATTGGCCCCGGTAATCCCGATGCCATCTGTGACAATGGTCGGAACACCACTCGCGCTCAGCTCGGAAGCAGGAGACGTGAGGCCGCTCGCAGGATGCCGCCTGGCATCGCGAGATGCGAAGCGCGAGCCGAAAAAGGCAGGTCGAGAGGACGTGCCTGTCTCGGACATGACGGATTCGAGAGCAGGCAAGTGGCGAGTGTCGCGCGTCGGCGTAGAGCCTGTGGCGAATGGGTCGCTCGCATTCCGCATGCCGGGGAGCACCGCATTGTCGGGAGCAAGCTCGTCGGTGTAGCGCTCGTCTCTCCACTTGTAGGCGCTCGACAAGGAGGCGAGAACGGCACCGAAGGCTTGAACGTAGACGTTGGCAACGAGCATGAAGCCCATGTCGTTGGCGGACAGATCCAGGGCCTTGGCGATGACGAGCGCTAGAGCGTAGATGGTGGGCAGCACATAGCCAAAGGCAATGGCAAAGAGGAGCTGCTTGGACCAGCGCGCAACAGGACTCGACTTCTTCTGCATGAGCTCATTGTCACGGCGACCGAGATGCCAATAGCGCCAGAGCAGGAACGCCGAGGCGTAGACGGTGTCGACGAGCTGAAAGATGAGGGAGAAGAGGTTGCTGGTGTCGTTGGCAGAGCCGGTGACAGCGAGGCCGAACCCGAAGCGTCGGTATGCGGCGGCTGAGTTGTGCAGGGTGATACTGATGGTGGTGATTCGAGCGATCTTCATGAGGGACGGCAAGATGCTAATGGCGATGCGCTTCTTCCTGCTAGCGAGTGTAGAGGGATAGAAGGAGAGTAGGCGGAGCTGAATGGCGAAGTGAACGACGAGAGGCACCAGGTAGAGCAGAGCGGTGGAAGACATCCAGAGGCGAAACATGGTGTTCTCGGAGACGTTGCCGAAGAGCTGATAGGCCCAGAAGACGGTGTTGAGCGTTGAGCCGAGAAGACCGCCGAGCATGGCGACACCGAGGACCCAAACAAAGGGCAAGCGACGTTTCTGCGGACTGAGACCGTTCTTGAAGAGGACGGCGCAAAGAAGGACGAAGAGGAGGGTTGCAAACATGGAGTAGAGGATGATGTAGGTGACGCCATTGCGTACCATGTCGACGGGCACGAATTCGGCCTTGTGTGTCTGTTGGGTGGTGGCATCTTCAACTACAAGTGTGATGCGCTGTCGCCAGGCAGCGTCTGCTTGTGCGGCTGTGTAGGACATGCTGGCGAGAAAGCGAGCTGCCTCGCGAGATGCTGGAGGGCAGCGACGCTGGAGATCGAATGGGCTGCTTGTCGAGAAAAGATTGACTAGGACAGGTGATGTGCCATGAAATCGTAGAGTCGGGGTGTCATGACAAACGCGGCGAGGCAGATGAAGTGGATGAGCGGGGAATGGCGGGAAGCAAGCCGGTTGGTGGCTTGTCTTATGAAAGCGCGAGGGCAGTGGTAAGTAGAGTGAAGAGACGATGCGATTGAAGCGGCTGATTGCTATGGCAAGTGACTGGCTGCCGGAATGGCTGCGTAGAAGGCAAGTCGAGGGTTGAAAGCGTAGTGCGAATGAGTTCGACTCGTCAGCAGGTGAAGCTAGTGCGCTGAGGTTGCGAATCGAGAGGTGGTAGTCGCGAGTGAAGCGGGTGATGCAGAATGATCAGGCGAAGCAAGAGCTCGGATGGAGGCAGGAAAGGTGACCAGGTCCGGGATGGTTGGTGGGATGAGAAGAGGAGAGCTAGTTGGGATGTAGATGCAGGATGGAAATGACAAGAGGAGGAGGAAGGCCACCGGAAATGAGGGATGGCCGACTAGTTGGTAATGCGAGGCGAGAGGCTCGGGCTGTAAAGGCGCTCAGGGCGATGCCGTCGGTTAGTCGAAGCGGCGATCGAAAGGCGGAACGCAGCCAAGAGGGAAGCGAGTCGTGACAGAGTAAGCTAGCTTAGCTTGGCAAATGCCTTAGCGAAAGTGTAGCGCAGCGCTCGCCGTCTAGACTGAGCTAGTCGATTCAGGGGTGGCAGGCTAAGGCAAGAGGCGCAAAGCGAAGACCAAGACCCGAGTCTAATCAAGGGGTGTGTTTGAGCGGGAAACGGTGTTTGGAAGCGTGCATAAGCGACCACGGCACAGGCACCGACAGGCGACCGGGGCGAGAATGAGAAAGAGAGAGAGGCAGCGAAGAGGCGTAGAAGGGTCGGGATGGATCTGAGTCAAAGCCACAAGTGGGCAGCGTGACAGCAACTGCGCCATCGCAGCGGCCAAGTGGACCAAGATGCGAGGTCGATTGGATCGTCTTCCGTAGCCGAACTAAAAGCATTGCTTTATTGATTCGTATTAAATCACAACAATAGCAAGAGGGGGGAGAACCCAAAGCGAGCACAGCCGAAGCTTCGATGGAAGGGCACACATGTGAGCTGCAGCGTGACAGAGAAAGGAAGCGATGAGGCCAAAATTCGTTTTGCTCAGCTTTAAGCGAGGCCAAGGCGGAGGCGAACAAGCCAACACAAATTAAAGGCGATGCTGCTCGGCCCTTTCCGAAGGAATTTGGGATCAGCCAGCCGAGGCTGCCGCCCAGCCTGGTTCGAAATACAGCTTATTGACGAGGCTCGCCTGGCTGGCTCATCCCGTCGGGTTGCAGACGACCATCAGCCATCGGCCATCAGCCAGGCCGCTTGTGCAGGCTCAACGTGACCGGTGCAAGGACCTCATGCGATCGTGAATTCGGGCGCTGTTGACATCTCGCTCCCATCTCGCCGGATATTGTCTAGCTCAAGTCACGGCAAGGGAGCGGCGCTTAAATTGAGATTCAGCGATCCATCCCGTCTGAAGCAGCGCGGAAAAAGCTTTCAATTTGCAGCGGCGTTTGAATGCGGAAACGGCACTGCACAGTCGACCAACCGACCGACCCACCGACGCTAAGCTGACTGAAGATCTCGAAAGCTCGAGGAATCGACCGCGTACCTGATCAAGCTCGTTGCACCTGGATTCAGGTTGGACTTGGCTCGTCTATCATCAAGCCGCTCCCCTAACATAGTATCTGCTTGCAGCGGACGCTGCGATCACAGCGAGCTTTGCATGCATCCATCCGCTACCCTATCGTGTTTGGCCCTCGCGTCCGTTTGGACCTTGGTACGGCGTCGATCAGGCTAGAGATCATGTGGCGGCATGGACTTTGGCAACCTCCTCGGCCCAGTCAAGGGGCGAGAGTCCTGCCCATGGACCGGAAAGGGGCGGCCTTCAGATCGAGGCGCCGCTGTTGATATTATCTTACCCCGCTGCTGCAAGGGTCTGACCTTTTTACCCACGCTTCATACCTGTTTGAACCTCCGACCAGGGTCTGAGATTCGCACGCCTACGGAATTGCCACCCAGCTGCAGAGATGCCAGGGCGTTCTTTCCAGATGCAGAGCGGCACATGTCGTCGATTGCTCGTGCTCGTCCGCCAGGCCGGTGCAGCAAGTTTGATCGTACATGATATCACGTCTGACAGACTCTAGCGTTCCCCCGTTCTCTTCAGGTTCTAGACTTTTGGATCGCCGCGAGGGTCTGGATCGCCGATTTTGTATGATCGCGAGATCAGATTGCGATTCGCGACGTTCTCCACATCGTGCATGGAGCGTCCGTGAGACCCTGACCTCAACGAGGCCATCAGACGTCTTTCTCTTGACGTTGCATTGACATCCTCTCGGCCTGAGAGCGACAGCGTCGGGCCTCGGTTTCTCGGTACGATGAGTGCTCGCTCGCAGCACGGCGACCTGTCAGGGCGCCAACATCGGGCTGGTCTCTCCGCCACCTGGCTCACCACACTGGGCTTCAAACCACGAGTGACTTGGCGAAACGCAACGGCTTTCGTCATCCATTGCGCCTCTTCTATCCTATTTTTGGTCTTTCTCAATGCATCACAGCCATTTTTGATCCATCAGCTCGAGTCTAGATCAAAGCATGGAGATGCTGGAGGCACTCCGAGCCGAGCTGGATCGCTCAGTGGCTCACTCATCTTCTACGACGAGCTTCTGTCGGCCTTTATGTCGCTCATCTGGGGCGCACTAGCCGAGCTCATAGGTCTCGCTGCCGTCACTTCAACCTCGTACCTATTCATTGCCGTCGGTCTGGTCGCCTACACCCTGCCAAGAAAGCCTTGGCCGGATCTTGTTCCCGCGCGGCTCGTCTTTGCCATTGGCGGGAGTGGTGCCACGGCGATGCTTTCGGGCATCTTGTCAGAATACTCCGGCTCCACAACAGCGCAGTCATGGGAGGAGGAGGAAGGCGCAGAAGTCATCCGGTCTGCAGGCCGGGACCCGGAGACGACCTCGGACGGGACATTGCGGCCACCGTCCCGACCGCTGCTCGCTGAAGAAGGCGTTGAAGCTGAGGAGACGGACCGTCTGCTGGCTTCCGACGAGCAGGAAAGCAATGGCATTAGCCCTCTCGCGACTCAGAAGTCGGGTCGATCGCGACACGGTCGTGTAGCGGCCATCGCTGGCGTCTTTACCGGGCTAGGCGCGCTCATCGCAGTCTTTGTTCTGGTGCGCCTTCCCGAAAAGATCGCAGACTATCTCGAGCATCACGAGCACGGAGATGCTCCGCATAGCCCATCGCATGATCGCAAGGATGATCTGTCCATCCACCGAGCGACTGTCGGGACGTTCTGGCTTGTCGCAGCATTAGCGCTGCTGATAGCGTCCATCACCGCACTAGGTCTGAGGCAACCCAAAAGCAGCACACGTCGACTCGGTGCAGCCGACGCCTTGCTCAATCGATCGCAGCAACGCCAAGGAGACTACGGAGCTCTGCACGACAGCACGATCGCCCTCGCAGATGACTCACGGCAGGCTCGACGAGCGCGGTTGCGGCAGAGGCAAGAACGACGACAGCAAGCCACATGGGTCAATGTGATCCGCTCTCACATCCGACGATTTATCAGCGCATCCATCGGCGGCTTCCGACTGGCCGGGATGGGAAGCGCAACGGATGATACCGAAAAGGCAAAGGCACGGCAGCGCTTGGCATTGGAGCTGCGCATCGCGTATCTCGGTGGCGCTCTAGCGAGAGCATACACCATTGGCACGACAGCCTTCCTGCCGCTGCTCGTGACGCATCACTATTACACCTCAGGGCTGTGCCGACAGCTGCCGTCACCCAATCCGGACTCGCCGCTTCCGAACGACGAGCTGAAGAAGCTGTGTCGAAGCGCCTTCACCGCGACTGCCATCTTAGGCGGCACTGCGCAGCTGACCGCTCTCCTCGCATCGCCTTTCATCGGGATACTGTGCGACGCGCTTTCGCCTACCACGACCATCTCGATGACTTCAGCATTGGGAGCAATCGGCTTCTATCTGCTAGGTGTCGGCACATCCGGCTTTGCGGGAGACAAGCAGACGGGGGAAGAGACGCCGGACCCGTTGACAGGACTGTCGATCGCCGCTGCTGTGCTCATCGGCTTCGGCCAGATCGGCGCAATCGTATCGAGCCTAGCTGGCTGTGCTCAAGCCAGAAGCCTCATCGCGGAGCAATACGCCCAAGAAGAACGAGATGCATCGCCGAATCGAGAAGGTGAAGAGGCTGCCGATGCTGTGTCCGCTTCCGACACCATCAGACCACACGAGTCGGGCCGCCGCTCGCAATCCGAAGAGTCTCGCGCGGCGGAGGCGGGCCAGGGCGCGGGTGCAATCGCAGGAGCCTATACTTGCACTGGGTCGCTCTCCATCCTTATCATATCAAAGCTCGGAGGGTTCCTATTCGACATGTACGTGCCCAGTCCGTTCCTACTGATCGGCGGCTTCTCTGCATTTGTATCGCTTTGCGGGGTGGCTGTTAGCGTCGCAAAGAGGATCAAGCGGCTCTAGATGCATCAATACGACTTCTCACCAACGTCAAAGTCATAGCGGAGCAAAGCAGATGCAATTATTTGAGCCTGTCTTTGTAATGACTGGCTTCAGAGCCCACCGCCGATGCTCGAGCTTGCTTGTAGCCTTTCTTACATCGACTATCGGATTGCAACGGATAAACGAAGGGTTATCCACGCACGCCGATTCAGGAACGCCTCTGATCATCGCTGCACTCCTTCGCACGGGATTGCAACAGGCGCAGGAGGCGCGATGTAGTCATTTCAGAGCATAGGAAGGACATCCCGGCAGAGCGGTGTTGCAAGTCCGCACGAGAGGGCGTCAGGAACAGCGGATGGAAGTTTCTTTTTGATCGAGTAGTCGCGGCCCCGGGACTCGGGCCAGGCTCGCCCCAGAACGCGAGCTTGTGTCTCACACAAAGACATTCGCCTCACAATGCGGCGACAAGATGGCCGTACGCAACCTTGAGCGCCGAGAGAGTCGGTCAGGACCAGCGTCTCTCTCGCTCGAGGGACGGCGCTGTCTTCGGTAGGAAACGGACAAGGACAAAAGTACCGCTGAAAAGGATCGCTCTGAAAAGACCCTCGGCTTGCCAGCGGTGTGGTTGGTGTGGAAGCGAGGTTTTGGATGAGCTCGGCTAGGCATGTTGTTCAGCTGCTCCTGAATTAAGCTGTGGCATGTGCTTGCTTGCCGCACTCGATCATGCAGCCTCGTTCTTTCACGTGAGGTTGTTGGTGCTCGTCAGCAGTCCCGCTCGCTTCCTGCTCCTGTCGACAAACGTTGCTATCTGCTGTCGATCAAGAGATGGCATCGGTATGAGAAGCTGGATGGCTTGCAGGCTGTCTGGCTGGCGGCTGTGCAGTTGAGACACGAATGACGCTTGTGCCAGGGTATCCGGTGCAGGACAGCACAGTCGCCGATACGATTGAATCTCACGGATCTGGACGGAGTTGACGCCTCTTGATTGTGTACCGATCGCCATTTGCTTGTCAAGACACGGCAAAGCAAAGCGAGGCAAGACAAGCAAGGAGTCATCATGCCCCTTCAATCTAGACCTCGAACGAAAGGGCGAAAAGGCGAAATCTGAGTTTCAAGACCGAATTCGATATCCACCGAACCCTTCTTTCTCTGTTGATGGCTTGAGCCAAAGAGGCGTCCAGCCTCCGCAAACAAGGGTCTCGTCGTCTGATGCCATGAACTGTCGAACAAGCCGCTCGCAAGATTTCTGAATACGGCGGACTGCAAAAGTACGCCGCGTCTTGGCAATGTACAACGGCATTGAAACGAGGCGTACAGGAGCAGCAATGCATCAACACTGATGCGACATGCCCTGATGTCAAGACACTTGCCGGAGTTGAACCGTGTTGAGTGCAAGCTCGCCGTATCCCTGCCCAGCGACAGTAGTCAAAAAGTCGACGCTTACGACCGGGCCGCCTTGTCATTGTGCCTGATTTCAAGAGGAGCCGTGATCGTAGTGGCCGCTGTCTATAAGTGTGCAACCCACCACTGCGCTACGCCTGCGGCTGGCCACTTCCGCTGTGCACGATGGAGGGCTGTGCTCCTTGCTTCTCTTCCATTCGAGCTGTATGGGATTGCTCACACAAGACGCTTCTTTCAAAGCGAGAGATGCACTGACAACCAAGTCATCCCTCTTGGAGAGGAGGGAGTCAGCCTCGATCCGGCTGGTTGGGTTGGAATTGCTCAGATTTCAGTGAAATTTCAAATCCAAAAGGCGGCATGGCCCGGTACAACTGCCATCCCCGCGGTAGCCCGTCCACCGCGCTTTGAAAAAATGGACGGTCTCGACCCTGAATCGAGTCTGAGAGGAACGCTCTGTTGGACTGCCTCATGTCTCTGATTCGGATGGGAGCACAAGGGCGTTCGCTTGCTTTGCTTTCCTGCAACACGCCTCTTTGCCTTTTGCCTCGTGTCGACTCGCCTCGCCGGTTCGCTTACAACTGTTCGCTTGACCCTTGCGCTCCTCCTCTTCGTCCTCATTGTCTTTCCACGTCTCTCTCTCTCTCTCTCTCTCTCTCTCTCTCTCTCTCTCTCT